AGACTGGTGGGAAGTGTTTTTTTTTAAATGTATAAAAAGAGAAAATTCGGTTAAAAAAATTCTGAAATTTTCTGAATTTTCACTGAATTTTCTTGTTTTCTATACATTTTATCAAAATATTCTTCTTCACATTCTTTTCTAGGTACATTAGTATACTAATTGTGCAAAAGTGAGAGATTTAGACATTGTAGGGAAGGAGTAATTCAAATTTGAAAAATAACATGCGACTCAATTGAGGGTTGCAGCAAAATTCCGAACATGCACCCTGACCTTAAAACGAATTTTTCAAAAATGAAATCCAAATAGCTCCATTTAACCCCAGTATGCCCTAAATCCAATTCTACTCAAGTGCATCGATTCGTTTAATGCCTTGATCACATTTGCGCCGGGTGCTGGCTGATCAGACCAAAGCATAACAGGACGTAACCTTCGTGTACTTGCAGTTGAATGCCACCCTTGCCCGCAAGGTCATTGCTATTTTGAAAATGTGTGATGTAAATATTTTATACAAATATGACGTAAGTTATACTAATTGAACTGCATATCTGCTTGAAGATATTTTCTTTCGAGGTGATCTGACATTTTCATTTATTTTAATCATTTTCAAAATTGAAGAAACCAATATATCGACTTGTACTTTTGCTTTAATTCCAAGTACTAAGTGTACTTCAACAGAAGCGGGATGGTCGCCCGCCGAATGTTGAGCGCCCAAGTCTCGGTGTGGTATCACGAGAGGAGAACAATCTCAAAATAGATTAGGTGTTTTGAACGTAATTCCGCGTACATATACAGGTCTTTATACAAAATGACATGACTCTAGACGGATATACATATATTGGCATCGAATTATTTTACCGGCACTCAACATCCGAACCATTTTTCCCCATGGTCATGTTTGCCGGAATCCCCTTCTCCGATTACGGGAATACGTCATTTAACGCACGTGGCTAACGCATGATTCTGTACTGGAACAAAGACAAAGGTCAATATCCGGGAAGTTCGCCGGGTAGTCGCGTTTCGTTCAGTGGCTATTTCATTGTATGCTAAGTTAACAGGGGAGTCGAGGTTGATGGGGGATTACTGTGTTAGGGTTATCTTTATGGAGGGGAGTGTACATTGTAAAATAAAACTGGATTTATTTTATCCAGGTAGAGGCGGTGGTACAATAAATAATCACGATTTAATTTCCTCACTTGATCTCATTTCATCCAGCGGAAATCTAGCTCATAAACTATCGCTCTTTTGTTAAATTGGCTGAGCTCTGTGTCTGTTAAAAACAGAATCAGATCTATAGGGGTGACAAAATTGCAAGCGATATCTATAATTGACTTGAAACCCGATTAAAACCGTTTTTCAAAATGGCCGCCTACTACCCAAAGTGTCATTAGACAATGAGTATTCTTATATCAAATATGAACAAAATCGCTCCACTACTTTTCGAGTTATTGTAAAAACGTAAAATAACACATGTAAGAATGGCAGCTATTTTTCAAAATGGCCGCCTTCTACCAAAACTGCCATTAAACAGTGTTTATGCGTATTGTATTCACATATCAAATATGAACAAAATCCCTCCACTACTTGTGGAGTTACAGCAACATCGTAAAAATAGCGTGTAAAGGCCGTCATTTTTCAAGATGGCCGCCACGTGCTTCTTAAATATCTACATTTCTACCTTTCTTAATGTCCTATTTAATTTTTCATATTTAAAGTATATTGACGTGTCGCAAAAAGGTGGCGCATTTGTTTTTTAAGGATATCGCGTGAATGTAACTTTGATTCCCCAGATTATAAGATAATATTCTAATTAAAGTTATATATCATTTTAAAACTGTTTCGATGAAGTTTTTAGATCAACTACACTCCGTTCACAATTCTTGCGCGTTCTTTTTTAAAAAAGAGTTTTTTACCAAAACATCTGGCAAATATCTCCTGTTGACACGTTACATTTTGATTTATGTTTCGTCTTTAAACGATCATAACTCAAACAATATATGACTATTATACTTATTTTTCGTCTTGATAAAGGTAGATAGAAATTTTATTTTAAAGGATGAATTTTAGTAAGCGTCCCATATTGTGACGTCATAGAGTTTGAAAAATAGAATCTGTTGACAGCGACCTTTTTGCTCATTTTTTGTTACCTTCAACTTTTCAGGTGTACATTAAACAAAAAATACGAGATCAATTTTTAATAAATCATACATGATTATTTTGCTCCTAAACTCTAGTTTATTAATAAATAGTTGATTTTATTCGCAAAAGTATGTGTTTTCTGTTGTATGTGGAAAAGTGGAGGACGAAAGGTTTTCAAAATTCATTAAAATAGGGCTAATTTATGCCATTCGCCTATTTTCAAGCACAGCAACACGTATATTTATTTCACCTCAAATATCAATTGATTCATGTTTTATGATGCCCCTAGCCCATTAACAATATATATATATGATATCAGAGTTATTCGTCTAAAATGTTATGAGATATAGAGGTAAATGTGGAGGACGAAAGGATTTTCATGTGTGTACATTTTTCTCAAAAACGTCACATTCTATCTGTTAAAAGCGAGGATCCTCTGGATTACGCCACAAAATGTGTAACAATGCGTGCGCGACCTTTTTGCGACACGTCATTGCTATTACAGTTTTATATATTGTACCTAAGTTACTCTAAATCGGCACTAAAATGGCAGCCAATTTTAAACGAGCGGCCATTTTGAAAATTTGGTTTCGACCAGAACTTCTACCCCCATAGGGCATATGTGTACAAAATATGAACAAAATCAGGCAAACGGTATTTGAGTTATCGTCCGGACAGACGGACTGACGGAAATACGTACGTACGTGCGTTCGTACGGACTGACGGACGGACGGAGGCGTTCCCTATATCCCTACGAACTTTGTTCGATGGGATAATCAATAAATACACCAAAGAGTGACTGCATTGGGTCAAATACACAAATATCGAAATAACTCAATCGTTCGTATAACAACGACAAATGTGTGCTTATAACGATCTTATTTCATTTACTAGTATGTCGAAAGAATCTTGCGAGTTCAACCCCCGGGGGTTCAACCATTTTGTTAAGCAATGGACCATCGTCACGATCGTGTAGCCGGTTCACAAAATCAATCACACCTTTTAAAGGAAGGCTACAAGGGACAGAGACTAGTGGAAGCTTTCGAAAATGTTGCAATTATACAATATACTTTAGTCGAATTTTCAACGCTTCCAATTTTTACACCCCCTGTGTCTCTGATAAACTATAGATAATGTGTTATACAATAGACTAGAAGCGAGTAGAAATAATCCTGATTCACGTCATTAAATATTCAAAATTCAGTCAAAGTGATGTCATATTTGAAATCTGCATGTAAAAGTACATCTAGAGATATGGTTTCGAAAATATTGTCTATCAACTTTGAAAATTTAATTTTTTTTGAAAATGTGACTTCTTGTTCGGGTTGATTCCCCATAGACCCCCATGTTACAAAATCACAAAAAGTTAATTATCTTATCTTGTATTGAACAAATAACATTTTATTTTACTGGACATATTTTAATTCGCATAACTATTAGATGCATAAGGGTTATATGAAAATTGAACCACGCAAATAGATGTAATTAAAGATAAGTCAATCCGATTAATCATTGTTTCCCCTATTAACGCCTTTTCACCGGCCACTATCGAAATCATACCCTGGGTGAAGAGTACAGTTATAATCTCTTCTAGAAGCGATTGTCAAACGAATGCAAAGGGTATCAAAATCGCAAAACAGTGAATTTGAAATCATTATCAAGCTAAAGAAACCATTTTGAGGTTAGATGTACAAGGGAAAGGTAATAGTACAATAAGGTCATTTCGAAGGGCAGTATAGTGAAATATTGGACCGAGGGCCGGGCCGATTGAAGGCCCAATATTTCACTATATTGCCCGCAGAATTGACGTTATTAGTATTATTACCACCGTTAATGACCAGGACTGAAACAGCAAGAAAATCTTACGCACTGAACGATATCTAATTTCCCGGGGAAAATTGCATTCTCGACCGGCAGTATTGACCGCCGACGTCATATATTGCTCAGGTCGATATAGCAAAATGAATGCCTTCCAAACTAAAACCCATAGAACAAGCCCGACAAGGTGGTAATAATATGTAGGTAATATCATTAAGATTTATACTAAGCGCTTTCTACAGTAGGATCTCCCTTAATTAATCTTGTCATCGCGTATTTGTTAGAAACACATTTTCAGTTCACACACTGAACATCCATAGTAATTTTCTGTTTTAATCATAACATTCATTTTATAGACTTATAATGCAGATTGTAAAATAAATAAAACGTTTTGGCATTGAAGACCACACCAAAAATACCGTGTTTTGAGCATTTAAACGGTCAGTAATGTCGTTCAATGTTTATTTCGGTAATGATTTTAATGCTTTCGCACAATATATAATATTCGAAAAACATCCTGTTTGAAATTTTCTTTTTTCTGAAATTCTACAATTGACAATGTAAAATACTTTCGGAGAGCGATAAAATATGGCACTCTGCGTTGATCTTTCCATAGTCGAAGCTAGCAATCGCGAATTCAACTACACCGGCTGTCGTTTGACGACTTGATTACTGTTTTTTGGCGGACTCATTTCAACATGAATAGTACCCGCTACTATTCAAATTTAAATGAGTTTGTCATGGGCTGGCCGCAAGGTCGTCAGCTGACAGTTGAATTCGAGAATGCTAGCTCAGTTTAGGGCAATAAAAATAATATTCATAAATAGATGGCAGTGCAGTCAATATGCTATATATACTAATCTAGTGTCTTTGCATAACATACAAATTACACACCCGCCATCTTTCCAAGGCCTAAAAACCTCTGATACGTCTGAACCCTTAAACGGTTAGGGGGCAGATCTGCCCCCCCCAAGGAATTTTTTGATAACTTTTTTCGTACATGTAGTTCATCTGTTGACCTAAAACTTTCAGGCTTTTCTTAAAACTGAAATAGGCATGTTTTAGCGAATAAATAGTGACTCTAACCCCCTAGGAGCACAGGCTGGTATCGAAAGATTTGTCCGCTGTGACGGAGCATGCTATTTTTCGTAAAAACACTAAGAATGCTTCACACTTTATTTTTTAACTCATATGTTTCGTTACATCAAGGAAAATAACTTGCTCCATGCAATGGGTATATCATTTGCGGGTAACCTTCACTTCTGTTTGAAGTCAAATAACGCTAGGAGTAAAAGCTATTGAAAACGGCGCCAGAGTATCAAACTCTAAAATGTACCATTTCTTTTTAAACTTTTTAATGGCATGATATAGTGACACGATAATATTAAAATATGTTTTCAGCATAACTCTAAATGTATTAATGAGATATTAACGCATTTCGTCTTTTTAATTTTTTTATAAAAAATAATACGAATATTTTTTGTCCGCTGTGACAGAGCATTTTCACAGTTTACATTTGCAACTGCTCCGTCACAGCGGACAAAAAAATTAAACACTATTTTTTATAAAAGAATTAAAAAGACCAAATACATCAACATCACATTTTTACCTTCGTAGTAATGCTGAAACCATGTGTAAATATTATAGTGTCGCTATATCGTGCCATTAGAAAGTTACACAAGAAATGGTACATTTTGAAGTATGATACTTCGGCGCCATTTTCAATAGCTTTTCATCCCAGCGTAATTGGACTTCAAACAGAAGTGAAAGTTACCAGCAAATGATATGTCCATTGCATGGAGTAAGTAATTTTCTTTGGTACAATGAAACATATAAGTTAAAAAATAAATCGTGAAGTATTCTTAGTGTTTTTATGAGAAATAGCATGCTCCGTCACAGCGGACAAATATTTCGATACCAGCCTGTGAGGAGGTAAGTTAGAGCTGTTCAAAGTTAGTAAAATACCCAAATTGTCAGTTTTTTCGACTTGAAACGGTATATAGTTCAAAACATTGACTGCACATGTACATGTACTTCTTGCTTGATAGCAATATTTTGGCACTTACATGTATATATAAATATATATCTCCACCTCTCCTATCACTTTTATACGTTTCCATAACTAGAGTGTCAAGTAAGATCGAGGGAGTGTCTGTGTTTGTGTGGGGAGAGAGGAGGGGTGTGAGACGCTTAGCATATCACATTACTGCATTTTTCAAATCAAATCCTCGTCTTATCAAACACAGTTTTTACTGTTACATTTAAGTCCTACAATGGCAAAATTTTCTTAACTCTGGAAATAGTTCATGTGTACATTTTCCCTGGTCGCCATGGTGATCAAGTCGGCTTATGTCTCCCTTAATTTTGTAACCTGCACTCAGAAAACCACTGGTGACCTGAAACAAAAAATCATTATCCAAGTTTTATTATTTCATTATCCAAATTTTACTATCCAATTTTTTATCAAACATTTAAGCAATTTGTTATTTATTTTCAGAACTCGACATGTTCTTTGGTTTAAATCCAAAGAATTATTTTTCTTTGTCTCTTGAAAGCCCATGGGTGTAATACCAAATAATCTGCATTATCATTTCACAAAAATTTCAATCACAGGATTTCATTCATTTTTTCATTTCATTCATTTTTTTCATTTCATTTCATCTTTTTCATTTCATTCATTGTTTTCATTATTTTCATTACAGTACTGTAAAATGGTAAAACCAGTTCAAACAGTAGAAACAGTTGCATTAATAAACAAGGCATCAACATGTTACAAACACTAAAACACAGGACGCCAACCATCAACACAAAAATGGAGGCCATAACAATATGTCACCACTTTTGGGGGTGATATGTGGTGAAAGAATGGTTCATTTAACTGATTTAATATAGCTCTTTTTATAAAACAGACCCTTACCTCCAAAGTTGCTTCATAGATGGCACTGCTAGGTTGGGCCTGTACTGTGACCTGGTAGGTCTTGGGTTCAAGGTCAAGCTGGTTGCTAAAGTTTGCCACTCTTTGGTAAGGATCTAAGGTTGACCATTCTTTTAACAACTGAAACATAAAAAATGCGATATGAGAGCAATTCATAAATGAAATGTCTGATTTTCTAGCATTTCTATACAATTTAGAGTGTTAACAACATGGCCCTTTACTTAATTCCATGCTAATTCCACTCATTTCTCTCTAAATTGTCTGATTTTCTGCCGTTTATATACTATTTAATGTCATACCAACATGGCCGTTTACCACTCTTCGTAAAACCCGATACCTTGTCTGATTTCTTGGTATCCCTACACAATTCAGAGTGTTAACTAAATGTCTCGCTTAATTTCTTACTAATTCCACTCTACATTACAATGTATTTGATTTCTATATAATTCAGAATGTCTACTGTATGTCTATTCCTTGCTAATTTCACTTCTTTTCACTCCTTTTCCATTAAAAACATGTCAACTTTATTCATCCTCTTGGATACATACCAGTTCTGTTGTGACGACAAGCTGGGCATCCAGAGTTTTGTAAAGTTTTTGTTCAGAGCAGACATCACGGTGATCCCTTGAGAGGAGATTTACTTTCTTAATAATTTCTAGGGATGCTTCTTCCACTGTTGGATCATCAACAGCAACTTCTTCGTACATAAGACATGAGCACCAATGGAGGTCAATACCTATAATATATCTGAATTATTAAAGGACCATGTAGGGTTTAAGGCATACATAAGACATGAGCACCAATGGAGGTCAATTCCTGTAATATATCTGAATTATTAAAGGACCATGTAGGGTTTAAGACATACATAAGACATGAGCACCAATGGAGGTCAATTCCTGTAATATATCTGAATTATTAAAGGACCATGTAGGGTTTAAGACATACATCAGACATGAGCACCAATGGAGGTCAATTCCTGTAATATATCTGAATTATTAAAGGACCATGTAGGGTTTAAGACATACATCAGACATGAGCACCAATGGGGGTCAATTCCTGTAATATATCTGAATTATTAAAGGACCATGTAGGGTTTAAGACATAAATCAGACATGAGCACCAATGGAGGTCAATTCCTGTAATATATCTGAATTATTAAAGGACCATGTAGGGTTTAAGACATAAATCAGACATGAGCACCAATGGAGGTCAATTCCTGTAATATATCTGAATTATTAAAGGACCATGTAGGGTTTAAGACATACATCAGACAAGAGCACCATTGAATACCAAGTGGCAATACCATACCAGTCCGATCCCTTTAAGAATTTTTATTAAAGGCCCTATGTAAAGTTTAAACCACTTTGGCTTATATTGTAGTCTTACCCAATGTTATCAAAGTGTGATATGTGAAACTTTTTTTTTTATTTCAAAAAGTGGTTTTTGATGGACTTTTTGTTCCAAAATTTGTGAATTTATTTAAAACCAACTTTTAGAGGTCACTCATATCTTCTAATTAGCCACAATTCATACCAAATGCCGAAAAAATTAAGAAAATCAGTTAATAAACAAGCGAGAAATGAAATTATCAGTGCATGAAAATGGTTCTGAGAAAAATGCATTTCAAAATTTTAGTTCTCATAGAAACCAATGGTACAATGATATCTAAAACATAATTTATTCTTCCTTTTAACCTGGTTAGATAATCAACATTGGTTTTTTATGAAAGTCTAGCATATTTAGAAAAGATTGACATCGAAAAAAAAAATTCAATTTTTTTCAAAAAGTTTTTGTTACCTTAGTGACATCACTAATGTTTCAAAATATTTTTGTTAAGCTAAAACATTGAAGTGGCCCATTAAATATGACATTTTATTATTGAAATAGTGTGTCTTTTGTTCAATCTTTGCATTGGTGTTAAAAATATAATCTTTTTTGAAATGCATTAAGAAATATTTGATGATTAAAAATTTCAACTTTTTTTGAAAAATGGCGGGAAATTTGAATATTTGAGAAATAAAATGCTCACAACTTTTTTTTCAAAAATTTTTTTCTCTAAAATCACTTTTTAAGTCCTGACAAATAGTAAATGAATGATGAAAAAATATTTTCAAACTTTAGACGGGGACTTTAATTATGTGAAATATTTGATGTTTTTGATATCAGGCATGCTGCCAGTTTTCAAACTTTTCTGAATATTTTTAGGAAGCCAAAACTCAACTTTATTAATCGACAAATATCCTTTTTGGACATTAAATCTAAAAATTGCAAAAAATCAAGTTACTACATATATATATACAACTATACCTGCAGATGCACAAGTCCTGTTGAATGGTATATGTTTGAAAAGACTTATTCCACGGTCTTTATAGGTTGGTTTCTTTCGCCATCTTGATGTATCTATGACATCATAGAGTGTCTCGAATATGTCATATGGCGTTGTTAACCCTTCGCTGTTCTGTTTTAACATATTCATCTGGTTCGGGTAGGCTTTCCTAAAACATTTAGAGTGTCTCATATAGTACTGAACAAATTTTTTTAAAAGGCTTTAGTTAAGCTTTAATGTCCAGTTTAGAACCCCTATTCCAGAATCCATTTTCTAAAGTTAGAATAGTAGTTCTGAAACAGGACATTGCGCTTGCTTTTCGGAACTTTTTGTTGGTAGTAATACAGTTGAAGCATTTAAATATGCAATATGTCTTCACATGTCATTTGTGACAGACGCCGAACATAAACCGCCGAACACCAACCACCGACCAAAACCACAAAAAATGTTTGGTGTTGACATAATACACTATGTAAGATGTTAAAAGATGGGGATATAGATGGCAGTAATTAGTTCTGGTTGGGCTAGAATGCCATTACATAATATGTAGAAGTCTGACAATAGTTACTCTAAAGGACTAGAAGAGTGATCCACTTTTTCCACAATTAATTTGGACATTTCTGAATCTTTGATAGCTTTGATATTACATAAAATATCTCAAGTGTAAATGTTTATTTATGTGTAAAAAACATTGGCAAGGTTTTTGGAATGATTGCTTCTAAAATTTTACAAACTTGCTCTTTATAAAATATGTCGTATTAGATATAAAACCCCATTATGGAGTCAGCCCGTCTACCCCTCCCCCAACCTTGCCAACCAATGACTAGTTACACTGTCCTACCTGAACCATTTAGGTAAAGATATTGTCATCATTGGGAGCCTCTCTTCCAAACGACCTTGAATTGTGTCCTTTGCGTCATTAAACCTGGCACCATGGTCACTCATCAATATCAACATTGTATTATTAAGATGGTTGTTCTCGAGTAAATATCGTAATATTTCGGCAAAATCTTGGTCCATGTGACTTGCTGGATCATTGTGTTTTTGGGTCAGATCACGATGGAACCCAAATCCAAATTTCGGGTGTTCTTTATACGTGTCAAAAAATTGAGTAATGTACTCCAAAGTATACATATGTTTGGATTTATGTCCGAGGCAAAATTCCTCACTTGTTTTCTGCAAATCCGATTCCTCCGTAGCTAACCAAAATGGCCGCATGTAATGCATTGTGGGTTGAGTATCAAAGCCATTGAATTCAAGGTTAAAAGCACCACGATGGGGATTGTCCTCGGCAAACAGAGTTGCGTAACCTTTCGTTTCATATTTATTCCAAATAAATTCAAAGTTGTCAACATATGATGTTCCAAGTTTGTTCTTCCGAGTTTCTGGTACCTTTGGATCTGTTAGGGCTTTACCTAGAAAAAAATCAACAAGTCTTTAACCAGAAATGTTCCGAACATTAGGCATTACCCCCAGATATGTAAGAGCATTACCTATTGATACAACCAAAAAAGTGTTTCACCTCCAAATAAGACCAAGAGTTTTTGCCCTTACCACGAAATAATACCAACAAGGGCTTTACAAAGATATAAGACCAACAAGGGCTCTACTTTGAAATAAGACCAACAAGGGCTTTATTTAGAAAAATTGACAGGGGCTTTAATTAGAACTAAGACAAACAGTGACTTTACCAAAAATAAGACAATTGCTATTACATGTAGCAGCTGTAATCAAGTTTTGGTCTAAGAATGTTTTTTTAATTGAAAATTAGTCTTCACATTTTCATTTCTTATATTAACATATTTTATTACATAATTTTATTGTACAATATATAAAATTACCTGTTAATAATGGAACTAGAGAACCTGCTGTTCCATCTCCGACCATATTATATCCATTCAACATAACGCTATCGAGTCGATCCTTCATGAATCGATATGTAAGCGGTAGTTTGCGCTGGAAGCTCAGCTGAGACATAGAGTCAATGGCGAAAATTAACACGTTCATATCCAGCGACTCTTTGGTTCTTAAATCCGATTCAGACTTTATTTCATGTAATTGTTCCAAATGTTTTTGTTCAATGTTAACCTGGGTCAGGAATTGGGTAATGACTCCAGACGATTTTGAGGGATTATTTTTCGATTGTAATTTCCTTGTTGAAACTGCTTCTTTTTGTGTGTTTATTGGACTTTGTTTGGCTTGTTTAACTTTTGGTTGTTTGTGTTTTGTTATCACTTGATTGTCGTGTTTAAGAGCTCCCTTTTGGATTGTTTTTGCTTGCTTTTTGGCATGTCTCCCGATATTATGCTTGTTTGGTGAATGGAATTCACCCACTTTTTGCCCTTCATTATGATTGGTATTTATCTTATTCAATTTTTGCTTGACATCGGGAACAAGAAGATTCGGCATTGAGATATGGTCAAGTTGTTTTAATTCCCGAGTTTTATGCACATCATTCTGGTACTGATCGTCACTCTCGCCATGTTCATAGCAGTCAATTCTGACGAAATCATCCAAAATTTTAACTGGACTTTTGAGATTAGTTATTGTGACAGGAGTCTTGTATTCAAAATGGTCTGTGTTTTCTTTCATTTCTATACCTCTTATAACACATTTTGATACTTGTTTAGATATTGTTTTGCTGAGCGCAATATGCTTATCTTTAAATCTAGCGATTTCAACTCCATTGCATTGTAATTGTGGGAGCTCATTAAACGCTCCTTTGTTTGCGTCATGATGAAGGTCTAATTTAGGAGCCTTACACATTGGGCCGGAATCATCGTCAAAGATTTGTGTAGGCTTACTTTTCACATGTGTTTTTTTATGTCTATGATGGGTTCGATGTCTGTGTCCCATTAGATGTCGATTATGCAAATCCTCTTCTGTGATGTCATCATGTTTGACAAATGAAACCCCAGCGTAATAATTCAGAGCAAATAGTCCGAGTCCAATGACAAGAATGATCATAAATGTTTGCCCGATCTTTGATCTGCACCATCGCCCCCTTGTGGCCATTTTTAAAGTCTTTAGTGTTGACTTTACTTGTCCTGATGTTAATTTTCTGAAATCAAAAACAATGTAGAAGTTATATTGAACAAGGCATTAACATGCAAAATGTCACCACCTGCCATTTGTTACAGACACTGACCGCTAGAACTCCGAACACTGCGTCAAATGTGAAATTCCAAGCAATTTCTAGACGTGCAAAGATAGTCTAGGAACTCCGCGTATCTAGAGATTCCAAGACGTGTCAAGAGGTGCAAAGACCTCGCGTGTAAAGAGCGTGTCAAGAGTTTTGATATCTCTTTGCACAGCCTTATCAAAACAAACAGTATAATTAGACTGGCCACATGTTGTTATGCCCTATAGTCGCGCTTAATTATACTTTACTAGGATTGGAATATAACAATCATTTTAATTTCGTGTTTATAATAATTTGTGTTTTTTAAATCATTATCAAAATAAAAGTAATTTAAAAGTATGCGTGTGCGTGTAAGTATAGGCAATAGCTTAGTCGGAATGAGTAGATGTGTGCAGATGGAGATCGCCTATGTATTTTGCTGAATCTGACATTTTTACAGGATCATGTTAAAGATCAAATGAAAACACGAAATGTGTTTTTCTTAGGTTTATCTACCCTGATTTCGAGTGATTTTAACTTGGACGCATATTCCTAGATATTAAAACAGTTTGAATAATTAACAAAGTCCACTTTGAACCGTGTCAATCAAATTATCAATTGTCAAATATGTAGATAGCACATGCAGGCCCGAATACAGGGGAGATAGATTGGTTCTAGCGACCCCCCCCCCCCTCCGTGACCAAAATTGCATTTTTTACCCCATACTGAGCACCTTTTAAATTATTTTGCTCATTTTTGAACTAACATTGCCAAAAGTAAACTCCCCCTGGAATTTCTTAAAAAAGTAACCCACCCCTTGGCAAATCCTGGCTATGGGTCTGAAACGCCTGAAACATGCTCTGATATAATGAGGCATATTCTGTGATCTGAGCATATCAGATGGGAAGAGTTATGAATGTCAATAAGTGTGATTGTTATCATGTAATCATCTACCTTAATGTCAATACATTACATAATGTAGTAAGGCATTGTACATGTATTTAACAACAGGCACATCCTTCTTCAAAGGACTTCATTTATACTTGTAAAATACCCTTCCAGCGAGGATGCAACAGGCACAGTTACACAAGTTTTATGACCCCAATTAGATGAAATATGAGCTGGGATGAAAGATCTCAAAAATCAAGGGCTGGGAAGATTTGAGATGTCATGGTTTACTATCATGACGCTGAAACATGTGTCACTTATTGTCACCTGTATTGATCATGATGGGGCGACGGCAGTGCCCCGAGTCTTTTTGATCTGTTTAATCTTATTAGTAACTATTTAAAATTGAATAATTTAGGACCCCGGAAGCAAAACAACTCTTTGTTATGATAGGAATACACCACCTACATGGACAGAACCCCTCATGTAAACCATCTATAAATACCTTTGAAATCAATTTGATTTTCGATCTACATCTGAATCTCAGATGGAGAGTACTCTTTGACAAGATCAACATTTAAAAGTGTAGGAAAGTTTTGATAAAGATGTTTAATAGCTAATTATTCAGACATATTGTTCTTTCATGTTGACGATCATCGAACATAATTGCAATCAACTTCCATGATATTTGCAATTTTGAATTTTGAATTATTTTGAATGCAAATGTACTCAAGTACTATATCCTGAGTTCTGCCCGGATCCCCGAACACGTTTAAAATCAAACTCGATTATTTAGCTAGACTTCAAAATAAGGCATTCAATAGAAACATGAAATCCATATCACTGTATAAATTGTGGAATTTCTAGTAATTTTTAGACGTGCTTAGCCGGTCTAGAAACTCTGCGTATCTAGAGATATTGACCAGGGCCTACACCAATATTCTTAACACCACTTATTAAAGGATGCATGCATCAAGGGGTAGACATCATTCAAAAGACATAAACCAGGCCCGTAAGACACTTTTCTCCAAGGGGGGTGCGGTTTTTAGCTTACTAAAGAGAATATAAAACTGTCAATTTTTTTGCCGCGTAAATCAAATCGCGTAAGACAGAGGGGGGGGGGGGGTCAGTTACTCCCTATATTGGTTTGGAATTAACAAATGCAACTTCCAAACGTTCCAATTGTTTTGTGAGGGGTGTGAGGAGTGGTCCACTCCCCCTAGAAAATTTTATAGTTTTGAGATGCTATTTGGTGCTTTCTGGGCATTTTCAAAGTGTAAGTTTCTAAGTAGTACGCCACCACCACAAAGAATAAGAGTTAAGTGAATAAAAAACCGAACATTGAGGGGGGTCTGGGGGTTCTCCCCCAGGAAAATTTTGAAATTTGCTTGTATTTGGAGCGAATTTGCAACCATCTGGTACGCCTGTGCGTTATGAGTCAATAAGAAAAATGTGAATTTTTTTTCAAATTCTTTTGGAGGTGTCAAATAGGATGAGAGGTTGAAGTGGGGTGGGGTGCCAGTAGGGGAGCAAGGGGTTGTCCCCCAGAAACATTGACCATATCAAGGTGCTATTTGATGATGTCTGGGCACTTCAAAAATGTCTGAGACAATACATGAAATTCAGAATATTTATTTTGTTTTGCAGGGCTGTCAACTTGGGACCACCTAATATGAGTGACTTACAAATGTTGGACACCGAAGTCCAAATCTGAACACTTTTGTCCAAATTTTGAACACCTTTGGCCAACTTTTAAACACCTTTGGCCAAAGTTTGAGCACCTTTGCTAAACTTTTATCACCTCAAATTTTCGCGCTCGCTACGCTCGCGAATTCGTCAACGGGGGGGGGGGGGGGGGGGGTAGGTACGAAAATTTCCAATGAACATGCGTGACATATACGGGATTCGCGTGACAAATCCGAACAAATTGCATTCGTTTTTTTCCGACGTTCGTATTTTTACCGTATCATAAACATATTTTGAAAAAAATTTTACAGAAACATATTTGCGTGACAATTACCAGGTAAAATGCGTATTTGCGTGACATTTTCTGTCACGCAAAAAAAACTGGCGTGACTTCAAATTCTTCAGCAAATGCGTGACAAATACGCAAATTGCGGGACAGTTGACAGGCCTGGTTTTGTGGGGGATGTGAGGGGTGGCTAACTTTCCTAGAAAATTTTACAATTTAAAGATGATATTTGGTGCTTCTGGGCACTTTTAAAGGTATTAGTCAATAAAAACATTGAAAAACAATCACAATTTTTTTTCACATTTTGGGGGTGTCAAAGGGGGAGGGGTGCCAGAGGGGGAGGTGGGGCTGGGGTGCCAGAGGGGGAGCAAGTGCTTGTCCCCTATATCAAAATTTACAATATCTAGGTGCTATTTGATGAAGTTTGGGCACTTTAAAAGTGTCTGTGCCCTAAAGCGCAGATTTCCCAAGAAAATTTTACGATTTTATGATGCTATTTGGTGCTTTCTGGGCATCTTTCAAAATGTATGAGTCAATAAAAAAATTTGAAAAATCTCAGGCTGCCAGAGGTGGAGTGGGGATGCCAGAGGGCGAGTAAGTGTTATAGTCTCCCAGAATCATTAACTTTATCAAGGAGCTATTTGATGATGTCTGGGCAATTTAAAAGTGTCTGAGACAATACATAAAACAAATTCAGAACTTTTCCATTGTTTTGTTTGGGGTGTGAGGGGTGGCCCACTCCCCCTAGAAAAATTTTAAATTTTACAATTTAACGACGCCATTTGGTGCTTTCTGGGCATTTTCAAATTGTATAAGTCAATTAAAGAATTTGAGAAAATCACAATTTTTTTTTTTTTGGGGGGGGGGGTCAAGGGGGCGCCAGAGGGGGGAGGGGGGGGGGTTATGCAAGTGCAAGATGCAAGATGGGGAGCAAGTCCCCCAGAAACACTTACTATATCAAGAGCTATTTGATGATGTCTGGGCACTTTAAAAGTGTCTGAGACAAAACACTAAAATAAATTTAGAACTTTTCCATTGTTTGGGTGTGAGGGGTGGCCAATACCCCTAGAAAATTTTACAATTTTAAGATGCTATTTGGTGCTTTCTGGGTACTTTCAAAGTGTATGAGTCAATGAAAAAAAATTACAAAAAAAGTTGAAAATTTTTTTTCAATTTTATTTTGGGGGGTAACAAAGGGGGGTAAACATGACCGGGTCGGTCAGGGGAAGGTTTGCATACGATGCAATTTGTACATGCAAGCTCATTTTTCACATATAAATTAATAAAGTCGATTCCTTGGGAAAATTCAAAACAAATATTTTTTGCCTCATTTATGTCACGATCGCACCCCCCGACTGAAAACCTAAAATATTTTGGTGATTGCATCACCCCTCCCCCCGACTGAAAGCTGGCTACGGCCCTGGGGTTTTATCGAAAACTATATCGTCAACATTTTATCATTATGCGGAAAGTCCAATATGAAATCTTAAATGGTAAATATGTTGCATTTATGGAGGGAATTCCACTGTAAACTATAATGTGAATGTTTGATATGAATACTTCCATACAACCATCAATATCCATTCTTTTGAAATAAGATGTTACAACAAAGGGAATATTGAAAACTACAGTGGTAAGAGCATCTTTCTGACTGCTAATTATGTGTATCAACATTTTGATTGCACCTCAGCTGGAGATTAAATCTTATAATAATTTGATAAAAGGGATTGTAATTTTCCCCAATTCGCTTATCTATGTTACAATCTGTATCTTGTTATATTGTGAGCGGTATGTGTTGATAAACCAAAAAGATATGTTTTTTGGATATCAACATTTAGAAAAAAGTGTAAGATACCATTCTATATATTTTCTTAGTGTTTAGCATAGGTAAGAATGGGGGATGGGCTGGCGGGGGTCCGTCTTTGAATAATTCCAAGGGGTTCATATATTATCACAATTTTGCTACAAAATCACTTGGAAAGTGCATGATTTGAAAGATTATTTGGCCAAGGCGTCCGCTATTAACATGAGTATGAATTTTATAAAAAAAATTACTTGAATCAAAATCGAAGAATTCATTGCCCCGTGTGTTCACCATTCACCCCGGGGGTTCACACTCGGCTCAGGTGGGGTAACTTTTTTACATTTGGTATGTCAAGCCAATGGACCCACATTTTAAGACAGATTTTTCCATTTTCTGGTATAAGAGTCGGTGTGGAAAATATGTTACCCCTTAATTGTGGTACGGCATTGGTCCCGGGGCATTGGTCTAGTTGTTACACATATCCTTCATTTGAGGTTGTTTATGATCATTTTACTCAAAGATCTGCCTTCTTCTCGGGGCATTCGATATTTCGAATGGCCTTGGTCTTATATTCTGGATATTTGGTACCCAGGGGTATGGCATTGGTTCTATATTTGGATGTTTGACATGGCATTGGTCTTGTGTTTGGACATTTGATATGGCTTTTTGGGGTTTATTTTAGTTTGTATGAGAACACATTTAATGCCACCCCCAAATTACAAATCTACATCTATTCTCTCTATCCCAAAGGTGGATCGGAAGCATGAAAAACAGATGCAGACTCGGGACAGTTGCGAGGGGGGCTATAATGGAGAAATTCGTTTTGATTTTGAGTCTAACTGAAATATTTTGTCACAAATATTAATTAAATACGCAAATAGCCTGTTTTATTAAATGAGACTAGGGCAAAAAATCTATTCATTAAATCTAAAGCCTAGACGATATCTTCTGTAATCAAGGTGGTTTTGGTACACTTCCGCAATTATAAAAACAAAAACATAGACTTAGTTATTAATCTTTTGTTATCATATCAGATTAAGTCAGTTTTGTCTCCGATTGTTATGCAGGTGTGTGTATCGACTCCAGTGAACAACATTAAGTGAATCAATCCTTGAAATTCCCAAATTCATTCCAAATTCTGGCCGTTAACTCCCCCCCCCTCCCCCATGTCTCTTAATTACATTTATTTTGCAAATGATATATAAATTATAGATTAAAATATTTCATTTTCGAATTGCACAAAGGGCAACATGTGAAGATAAAACCGCGATCCTAAAGCTACTTGCGAAACAAAGTGGTTTATGGTCCCCAATATCATTATTATATTAATACCAATACAATGTACCTCTATGAATATCATAAATTCACTCCTTTTTAATATCAATAGTCAAACAAATTAAGTAGTATGCTACAGTTGGTTATCAATCGGAGTTCACGACCTATTGATTACTCTTTAATACAAAATTTAACCATTTTAGAATGGGTAACTCACACACCCCCCCCCCCCCGTCCATGTCCATGAAGTGCGTAGACTGACATAATAGTGCCATTTATTAATTAAACATCACTGATTTATGTTGAGACATTCAGTGCGATTATTTCATTTCTTTGTTCAAAAAGTTAAAGCACCAATTAAATACATATTTTTATCACACAAAAGGGGCAGAATACTTGACCTTGTATCAATTCATATCCCGATAATTCTTTACAAGGGAATGTTTCTTATTAAAACATAAGCAGCGCCTAGGCGTCGATTGGGGGGGGGGGGTCAATCCGGTGTTCTCAGGCTATGTACATCCAAGTATCCTGTTTATGTAAAAACCTTACGTTCCCGAATCACAATCAGACAATTAATTAGTATATTTGCTGTGTCTAGCAATTGATCATAGAATTAGATGTTGCGAAAACTATGGGAACTTGTACCTGTCTGTTTATGGATAGGCTGGGAAAGAACAGCAGAGAGAATGGTACATTCGATTGAATATGCTTGTTTTGCCCAATTGTGTATTAAAATGCCCCTCATTTATCATATGTATGGTCACAAGTTAAGTCGGCGATAATTTGTATTGACTTAACTTGAAACAAATTACTCCGAAATCCAAATACTCATCGAAAAGTAAGTTTATCTCAATGCGTCGATTAGCATTGCCTGTAACTGATTTATATTTTCAAAAGGCGGCATGAAATTGCCAAAATGTTTAAATAAGTCAATGCGTACATACAAAATAGTCTGTTTAATATTTGCTACATGTACTTGTTCCAAACAGTCTGCGAAAGAATGATTAAAAAATATATCAATTAAAAGTATCAGAGAAAATACTTGCAATCGTTAAAATACTGTATGTATTGCTATTGGTAATAAGGTTAGTTGTTTACACATAATTATGTTGTTCAGTGTGCCAAGAGCGTGTCAAGAGGTGTAAAGAGTTGAATTCATCGCGTGTCAAGAGGTGTAAATAATTGGCACGTCTAGAAACCCGGCGTGTAAAGACCAGTTTCTAGACGTGTCAAGAGTTGGAATCCCATATTTCACGCAGTGGAATGCCAACTGCCGAACACCATCCACAAAAAAACTGGAGACTAATAGTAACAATGTGTCACTACTTGTGCTGGTGACATAAAAACATTAGAAACTGAATTTCTAAATTGATCTAATAAACTTCAAATGATACAATGAATTCGAAGAGTATACATGCAGTTGGACTGTTCAAAAAGTCCAATGGTTTAGTTCCTAAAGTGTTTAGATAAAACATACTTTTAATGATGCATTTTGTGTACACTTAACCCAACAATGGATATATGTATACGTATATAGTCATTAAATCCCACAATTTTCAATAAATGACTTTAACCTGCTGTGATAAGAAGTTCAATGGGTCCAAAAATATGATCCCCTAGATAATATGAAGTGTATTGAACTAATTAACTGAGAAAGTGACACCACTAAATAAAATGGCAAGTTGCGAGTCTCATTTGGGAGATAATGGGATACTACTTAGGATGAAGCTTCTCAATTATTGCATCATGTGCCCCATGAATTTTCATTATACTAATTATTTAATGATTTTCATGCACTTTTATACAAATTACCCTTTTGTAAACAGGAGTCAAGTTAGGATTCAAATTAGGCGAGGCAAATTGAAATTGGTGAGGCAAATTGAAATCGGTGAGGCAAATTGAAATAAGTGAGGCAAATTGAAATAGGTGAGGCGAATTGAAATAAGTGAGGCAAATTGAAATAAGTCAGGCAAATTGAAATAGGTAAGGCAAATTGAAATAAGTGAGGCAAATTGAAATAAGTGAGGCAAATTGAAATGGATGAGGTGAATTGAAATAAGTGAGGCAAATTGAAATAAATGAGGCAAACTGAAATGGATGAGGCGAATTAAAATGGGTGAGGCAAACTGAAATAGGGGAGGCAAATTGAAAAAGGTGAGGCAAATTGAAATAAGTGAGGCAAATTGAAATAAGTGAGGCAAATTGAAATGGATGAGGTGAATTGAAATAAGTGAGGCAAATTGAAATAAGTGAGGCAAACTGAAATGGATGAGGCAAATTGAAAAAGGTGAGGCAAATTGAAATAAGTGAGGCAAATTGAAATAAGTGACACAAATTGAAATAAGTGAGGCAAATTGAAATAGGTGAGGCGAATTGAAATAAGTGAGGCGAATTGAAATAAGTGAGGCAAATTGAAATGGATGAGGCGAATTAAAATGGGTGAGGCAAATTGAAATAGGTGAGGCAAATTGAAATAGGTGAGGCAAATTTAAATGATGCATGTGATGCATATTGAAGTTCATGTAGTTTTTCTAAGCACTTTTTAAAGTGTTTTTGGCCATTTTGGGGTCAAAGTTGTCAGAAGTGAACCCCCCTGGAATTTTACTCATTTATTCAGTGTCCAAACTGTAGCAGAATTATAAGCAGAATGTTTGGCAGAATTGAACTTAGACACAGCATGAGACAATAAAGTACATGCAAACTGAAGCATAGAAAACACCATGCATACTGACAAGTCCTGATAAATGATAACCTAAGATTATGCTGAAGTCCATGCAAATTGTACCTACAGTATACTCTTACAGTGTATAACCCAGTTGTTTAGTAATTAGTGTCTACATTTTACATTTATGTCTACTCAGACCCCTAACCACCATTTTCGCTTAAATTCTCAAAGTTCACCCATTTCTACATTTTTGGGGAAGTTGAAATTGGCATAAATCTGTTCAAAATTGCCTGGCATATCAAAATCAAATTTTAACTCCATTGCACAAGCCCCCTCCCCTCCGAGAAAATTGGATGAAACCAGGCTATGGGCCCGGCTATGGGCCTGTTTCAGATCTGTAATCTTAGATCCACATTGAAATTAGTTTGACTAATAAACCAGCATAAACCCATAACTTTCAGTACCCCCCCCCCCCCTATAAATACTTTTATAGAGTGCAATAGCACTGGTGTCAGGTGAGGTCACGGTGTCCTTAACATCCTAGTTCTAAAAGGCATATATGAACTCAAGTAACAACAAAACAAAGACAGAATGAACCTTGTACATTTCTCAACTATAACAGCACTAACCTTATTTGATACTCAGCATCAACTAGCCCTCTACTGTAGTGTAAACTGTAAAAAAAACTTTTAAATGAATTTCACTTACCATTTACCAACACTGCGATTCACTCATGATGAGTCTACTATCGTAACCTTTGATTTCATCCAGTACACGTAGATTTCTTTTTCTTATTGTCCTGCGTAGTTATCAGATAATCAGCATTAGTCTTAATTCTAAATAAACAGCTGGCACTTTTAGACTTTTGGACTTTGGCGCTGGTTCAACTTGGAGCTCTTCAAAATCTTCAAAATTGGAGGAGATAATTTAATTGAACTTCCGGTTGAAAAATAGAGAAAATAATTTTCGTAATTATTATTGTTTATTTCAATACAATGGCTGTTTCGAGCGTCCATTTACAGTCTGATGCATATTTAGTATGCCTTACACACGCTTTGTCAACGGAAAGGGAAGAAATAATGGGGCTACTTATTGGAGAGGTTAGTTTTATAATTCTTTTCAGTTTTTTTTTAGGATTCCTGCATCAGTTCTATTCCCATGGCACAAGCACAGGCCAAAAACTTCCCGGTAAAATAGTGTATTAAAATTGTATTTATTCTCTCCCTGGAGAAAGAGCAGACCAAAAACCACTATCCCAATAAAAGTCAGAAATTTTTTTTTTATTTATCCTTGCCCTTCCACCTTCAGCTGTCATATTCTTTTCATTTGTTCATTTGCTAATGGTTAAAAATGCATGAAATCTAAGTCTATCAATAAATTATTATATGTAGATAGCTGAAATGGGTCATTTGTTTGTGCGACACTAAAAATTCATTGCTCACCTTCCGTTAGTATATTGTTTCAAATAGATAAATAAATATGTTTTGAGCAAAGATAAAGAGAGAAAGATAAAGACTGACAGCAAGGAGAAACAAGGCATTAACATGCAAAATGTCACTACCTGCCATTTTTTACAGACACCGACCATTGAACCCTGACTTCTGAACTCTGTCCAAAAAAATTGGAGACTATAATAATATGTCACCACTTCTGGTCACCTGTTGGTGAAATAATGACTCACCATTATCAAACTCTAATATGTTTGGACATAGCTTTTGGGTCTGTTTTTTCTGGAGATAATGGTCAGGCCACAGGCTGCCACTGTTCTTCCACCCAGATGGGCCACTGTAGATGTCCACTGTTGAGATACGTTCCTTTGTTTCCTCCCCTTCAGTATTATTGAATATTGAATCGTAACATGATTCATTGGTTTTGAAATAGACTCTATTTATTTGCATATTGTTATTTTGGGGGGAGCGAATGTTGAATTTTTTTCCGTTTTCTAAAAAATTCCTGGTTAGAACCCTGTTTCTATATATCTGTAATGATAGCAATTCACTCTCAAGTAACTAAAGGTAGTTTCATATGTTTATTGTTCAAACATTTTAATGGCTCCCTAGTCTGCTAGTAAGAGTGCCATCTTATTTTCAGGTACACAGAAACTCATTCAAATATATAAATTATACTTAGATTGTTTGTTGAAAGTTCAAAATATTCTACAATGTTTTAAAGTTATGAAAATTCAGTGACACTGACCTATTTTAAAAGTACAAAAATGTTGTCACTTTATTTTCTTTTTAATATCTAAAATATTTCTTAATTTAGATAAATGAAATGTAACATTATTTCTTGCTATAGCCCTTACAAAGTTGTGATATTACATGTATATGTAAAACATATTATATATAATGCAAAATAAAATAGTTTAAACCTTTTAAAATATTTTATAATCAGTTAAAATTAAGTCTAATTTGAAAATTAAGATTTTAGTTAAAATTAAAATATTAAAGTATTTTAATATTATTTTTAGATTGATGAAAATAGGGTGTCTCACGTGTCAGCCGTAGTGGTGTTACGTCGATCAGATAAACAGCCGGACAGAGTTGAGATCTCACCTGAACAACTCTCAGCTGCAGCAAGTCAAGCAGAGGTGAAAATTCATATAGAAAAAAATCATGGTCTATAATATTCATAATTTCTAAGATAAATGTATTAAACTTGCATTTATTTATTTATGTGGATATTATTTCTAATTGGATACTTTATATTTTACATTCATTAGAGATATCAATATCTTTCTCTAATAGAATATGTGATCCCTATCTAATGTTTGATTGTCAGATCTCTAGCCACTATCCAACGCTTAAATGTAAGAGCTTGTTCCAATGCTTATAAAATGCATCTCTAGCCAATGTCAAAGTGTTACATCTCTAGCTAAGGTACGGTGTAATATCAGATATTTAGCTAATGTTAATATGTCAAGGAACAAAATGTGTAAATGAAGTCTCACTTTTGATCTTCATAGTATTTTTGATAGGATTTTCAACCATACGCCATCTTTTAATCAAAGAGTTATTTAAAACATACACTTTGTGAAAAGTGGTAATTCACTTCTTTTGATCTCTGAATTCAAAATGCTGTTTTCTATGCAAGATATGTTTTTTACTTCAGTATTGACCCAATTAAAATTAAAGTTTTTATCATACTTGATTGAGTGTGTAACATGTCTCAAATAATATTTTGTCCTTTTTCCTTCAAAAATAGGCCCATTGTCTGTTTAAATATTTCATCTCTAACCCAATTCTTACTGTTTGATCTTAGATGTAATATCTTTAGCTAAGACTGAATGAAATAGGATTCAAATATATTTTGCTATAATTACAGATGTTGGGGCAGGAATTGAAACGACCAATGAGAGTCCTCGGATGGTACCACTCCCATCCTCACATTACAGTATGGCCTTCACATGTTGGTATGTAGTTCAGATGCACGATGTGCTTAAAATACACTTTATTTAAGATATAAAAAATCCTGTATCATTCTTTATTTGAAATTTAAAAGCAGCTACCCGCACACACAATGCACGAAGGCAGAGCCATATTACATTATCATAGTGGGTCAGTTCATGCAATCATGCATGCATGCTTTTAAATCCAATGAAGAATGATACAGGGTCTTTCATTACAATCACTCCTTTATAAAAAATGGCATCGTTTATTTTATGATACCACAATGCACTGGGATGACATCACAATTTTACCAAATATGGCATTGCTCAGCATCTTGATTCATCCAAGGTACATCAGACATATACGCTTACTTTACTAAGATATGATTTATTTTTGTATATACGCTTACTTTACTAATGCCTCGGTCACATTTGCTCCGATTTTCACTACGGCGCCCGGCCGATCGGGCGCCGGCTGATGGATCGGAGCAAATGTGACCCAGGCATAAGACATAATTTATTTTTGTATATACATGTATGCCAAAACTTATACAGTAAAGTGATCTGACAATTTTTAGCAAAATGCGTGTTTCTCACAACAGTCATTCATTTGCATTATTCACATTTTCAAACTTATATACTCCAATAGTTCCATGAACTTCAAATTGAAAACAAAATTTATAATTCCAGTGACCAACATCATATGAGTAAAATATTTGGTAGGTAAACCAAACTTTTTTAGTAAAAAATGTCAAATTGAAACCAAAATTGAAACCATCTCATTTTTGGCTCTTTTTTCCTCTCAATGTTTTACATTTAGACTAAAATGTATGCTAAAACATGTTTACGTATTATTTGTAGATTGTAGGACACAAGCAATGTACCAGATGTTGGACGAAGGCTTCATAGGGCTTATCTTCAGTGTGTTCAATGATGATAAAAATTCAAAAGTAAGTGGGATAATTTTAGTCATATAGTCTTGCTCAAAGACTGTATCCACCCCCCCTCCCGTCACATTCACTCTCTTTACCTGGCAATATACCTGGAGAGAAGGATAAAGGGGGTGGGAGTACAGGGTCTTTTAAGCAAGACTATTAGTCATATGATTTTTATGTAGTGAGGATTTTGTAAAAGAATTGCAACATTTTTGGATTTAAGTCATGTATGTCATCCAAAATATCCATGTTTTATCAAATTGCTCTTGAATCAACTCTGCTTGGAGTGAATTTGCTGTTTTATGGCCAACTCAATGAAGCATGAATACTTAAAGGAGTTATGAATTGGCCATGAAAAAGCAATCAAATTGTCAGTTGTCATAGTTGAATTCACAAATACTACCTTGGAGTGTGATTTTATTTTACACTTTTTTGAGTTAGATATAATTCGTAAATCTTGCTTTATCCAATCAGAATGCAGTCAATCAAAGGCATCTGCCCAATGAATATTAACAGTCACTGAATTTCCTGTTTTCATAAGAACCTGGCATTTATTTCATATTGAAACTCTCATTTAAATGCCATGACAGCTACTTTTGTGCTCTTACCCAAGTGGTAAATGCACATTATACATGTAAAAGATTCTGTCAGAATTTCTTTATGAGGCGAAAATTCATTTTTACAGAGTGTTATGTACACTCTCCTGCATAAGTTTGACAACCAAATTTTTTCATTAGACAGCATAGCAAATTTTTTCCTGGTTAAAACAGTATATGGAAATGTATGACTTTGATGAATTTTTTTAATTCCTAAATATAAACATGCTTGATAAGTGATTAAAAATGAGACTTCCAGTTGTCAACATTATGGAGGGGGGCCAGGGGGGGTGTATCAGGTGAAACTTTCTGAAACGAAAACTTTATTTTTGTGTGTTGATATAATTAAGAATTTTGTTTTTATTTTAGAAATCCACGTGTCAGGTCACATGTTTCCAGTCAACCAATCAGAGTCCAGAAGGAGAACCTCCGCAGTAAGTCCTATTTTACCCAAGAGGGGGAATACCCCAGAATTCATTGCTGAAACCATTTCCATATAAATATGAACCCTCTTTACTGGTAGACAGGTTCAACTATGAATTCTGGGAAATTATCTTTGAAGTTTTCATAAAAGCTAATAAAACTACATACATTAAAGAAACAATTAATTATGTCAATCTCTAAATCTCTGGGGCTTTCCTCCTCTTAAATTAGAAGTAGAAATACAGCTCCTCAGACTCTTTCACTTCTTCCTCTTCCATTGTATTAAACATCACTTGTTGTCTGTTTCACTTAAAGCTGAAAAGTAAAATTGATTCGATATATATTTGAGAAATAGTTATTTTTGGGAGCTCTATTTTTATGGGGGGGGGAGTTACTCGATATATAAAGGAGATTATTTGGGACAGAAAAAGAAATTGTCATTAAATATCCTTAATTTATTTTCTTGATTTGTCAATTTTTCATATGAAGATGAAAAATTTATTGATAACAATTTATTTATCAACTTACCCATCTTGATTTGAATTTGCTACTATTTAGACTTTACCCACGATATGCTTACATATTGACTTTACATAGTTAACAAAATAAACTTGTGAGAATGTCTCAAAAGTAACTACTTTGTGCCAATTTTTAGTATTTTTTGACCAATGTATTACTGTTACTTACTTGAACATTACTACCAATTCATCTCAAACTCTAATGTTGTTTCAGTTTCATCCTGGTGCTTCCATTGTAACTTGATGATTTCAGGTTCTCCTGTTTCTCTATATCTTTTCCATGTAGCATTTACATGCTCCATATCCACACTCCTCACATCAATTACTAAAGAGTGTGGTAATTCAGTCTCAGTAACATTGCAAATGCATGTTGGATCTAATAGTTTCTCCCACCAGCTACAATCACTGGTATGTCTCACATGTTGTATCATCCAGAGTAACATTACATGTGTGGGCAGTGAGTATTCATAATATAGTACAATCTTCCTATGTGGATAGATTATGTCTGGTATTTTCATAAGAATAAGTCCTTTTATCCTAAATGTATTCTGATGATAATCAATTGCATCAGTGTCCATATACATGTACTTGACAGCCTCAATGAAACATTCCCCTACTTGAGTAGACTGGCATTGCTGCTGGTGTTGCAACAGTAATGTTCTCAGAGCATAAGATGAAGGAAGCCAGTATTTATTTATATCCATATTATCAAGTAGATGAGCTGCATACTTGAATAGTAACAATAGTTGCTGATGGGGAGGTGTAAGTTGGTGGATGTTGTCATCAGGAGGATCTACCACAGACTCCATCCAATGACTCACTGGGCAATCATCACCTTTATAGTCCTTAATAACCAGGACACTTCTCCCTAGCCTGTGTGACTTCTGCTTTATACAAAAGCAAAGGTCAATATCTACAGTACATACTGGTCCACCAACACGTAGCCAAATACTTGGTCCGTGTAAGTATCCAAAGCCCCCCCTATGTAGACTTATGTCACCATGGTTGTATTCAGCATTGGTATCTCTTTTATGATCTCTAATTCCAATAAACTTGACATCATCCATGTTCTGAAGAGTGTTCACTACAGTGTCCAAGAGCAGAGGTTTAATCAGATCGTATTCAATGTAGCTTTCACCTTCATGCTCCTTTATGCAGTTATCAGGTAGGGAATGCTTTAAAGACTCGCGCTTGACTTTAATGTGATAGACCCCCTGTCTGGTGAGCTTACACGCACTCACGTCCTTCAGCTCAATCATTTTACTATCAAACAAAGCTAGAATCGCAAGGAAATCATACTCATTGGGCTTCCATATCTTGGTTCCATCATAGTAGCTTCCTCTACGAATGATCTCTTCCACTATCAAGGCTGGATTCTTGATACCAACTTTTCTGCAGATGGACTGAACCAGTTTTTCAACATAAGATGTCTGGAGTTCAAGTTCTGTAGGAGTATATCTATTCCTAATGTCAACATGGTATGAGACATATTTAACAAAGTTTGTTAGTCTCGATGTTTCATCTGTTGAATTGCTTGGTGTTGGAATGTCTGTGATTTCAATGATTCTCTTAGCTGCCTCTGTTATGTTTTTGAATGACAATGGAATATCTCTGACTGCTTCATTTATGTCTTTAGTTGCTTGAAGAATGTCCTGTTTTGACTTAGAATGAATTGTAGATGTACTGTGCTTGCCCAATGGATATGGTCCAGTAAACACAGGTTTTGAACTAGTGTTTTCCATTTTTCTATCGGATAAAATCACCTAACGAATCTCAGTCTTAAAGGGTATTGTCAAGTGAATACTGGTAGTTTTCCTGTATCCCTAGTCGCATATACCATTTTATTTTCCTCAACACTGAACAAATACTGTACTCCCGGTTAATTTTGCAAGTTTTAATTTCATGAATTTTGAGAAAACACGATTTGTACACCTCATGTACAGTAAGTACACCTACCTAATGTCATATTTGGATAAGATTTACAATTACTACTAGATATTGGCAGAGGCGTAGCTAGCCCATTTTGCGAGTGTACGCCCGTATGATTTTCCGGTTTTATCAAAATTATCAAAACGATGGTTCCATAAGATAGGAAGATCCTGGGTGTTCAGAAGATAGGGGACACACTAAACACTCTTAATTCAATGAAGGAAATATGTATTGTTTGATCATTTTGACATAGCTTTTTAAAGGGATTGAATTAACTGTATTAACATAATATTCGGGAAACAAAATAGACAGATTCTATATAATCATGCCATCGGCGATCGAAGCCGTCTATCAAGGCGATTTTATTTTTTAAGCTACCTAAAACTGTATGTATGAGGCTCATTGTTTTAAGCTTTTGTGGTCATTCCCCATAGAATATTATTACTTTTTCTGTGTTTGTTTTTATCTAGCTCACAAGATGATTAACAATACACGACCGTCTCAACTCCATTTCGGATCTTAACAATCTGTACGTGATTCTATAGAATAAATTCTATCTTTCTGTTTTTTGCATTTGCGAACATGTCAATAACAGTATCAATGTTTATATCCTGTTCCCTATGGATATGTATCATGGCCAAGGAAGAAAGTCTTTCCTCGTTCATTGTGGAACGCAAGTATGACTTAACAGCTTAATGCGTTTCAAACTGCTAAAGCTTCGTTCAGCCACGCAAGTGGATACTGGCAATGTTAGCAGCTGGACCAAACACGTGTAGACATCGGGGTAAAGAGGCTGGGGGGGTCTGTTGAATAGTTAATCAGGTAAATTTTATTTTTCCTTAAAATTTGAGAGTATGCCTGGGCGTACTTGGCGTACACGTAGCTACGCCACTGATTGGTCAATGGTACGATGCACCTTAACCTCTATTACATCGTAATTTGTCGTGATTTTACCACAATCACAAAGGTGCAAAACTAAATCGCACATGAAAACTACTGGGAGTACAGTATACCTCTCGAACCTAAACGTTAAAATAGTGCTGTTTGACTAAAGATCATATATTATTACAAAATTAAGTTTTAATTCGATGTTTTAGGAAGTATGTTAAAGTGATTTTCAGTTTCAGTTTCAGTTAATAATTAAACTTGTCTCGAAGGCCTGTAAAGAAAATGACATATTTTAGAATGTAAAATAGAATGGAAGAGAGGAAGTAAACAAGATAATGAACGGACACAATTTCAAAATTTAGATGATACATATACATTGACTAATCCTCTTATGCAAATTAACCTTTCTTTATTCATATAGTGATAAAAACGTAAAAAGTCTTTGTTTGCGCGTGCTATATATTATTTTGTTTTAATCATGATTAATTGCCTGATACTTTGCCTTGCTTTCTATTTTGAAATACTTTATCTATATACATTACATTTAGCTATCTTTAAAACCACCTTACAACAAATAATACATTTTTATGATCAATATTACTGATGATTACAGATGATTTGATTGTACAGTTCTGATACTGAAACGATCTAAATGATCTCAATGTAGATTACATGGTCTTTTATGAGAGTCTGAATGTGAAATGAATACAAATATGTTAGGTATGTTCGGTCAATATCATATTTCTTGAGGCCAATATAATATTTCCCAAGGTCAGTATCATATTCCCTTGAATGAAAATTAACATTGAAAGCCATACATGGAATAACCTATAAATAATTGAAGAGAGACTAGGCTGATACATATTCTTACTGGTCAGTATCAAGCGAAGGTAACCGTTGTAACCTTCGCATCTAAGATGGCAGACAGTAATTGTCGATTTTGATACTAGATGCGAAGGTTATGGTTGTAAGTTGTTACCTTCGCTTGATACTGACCAGTGATTATGTACATCGTTATGGTTTCAGATATACTAGGATAGAAGTTCCACTACACATTGTACCAAGATACTCCATAGAAACACCTTGTCTCAACTCTCTTATACAACTACCCCAGATCCTATGTACATTACATCATCTGTTCTGGTTTCAGATATACTAGGATAGAAGTTCCACTACACATTGTACCAAGATATTCTATAGAAACACCTTGCCTCAACTCTCTTATACAACTACCCCAGATCCTATGTACATTACATCAACTGTTTTTGTTTCAGATATACTAGGATAGAAGTTCCACTACACATTGTACCAAGATATTCCATAGAAACACCTTGTCTCCATTCTCTTATACAACTACCCCAGATCCTATGTACATTGCAGCAACTGTTATGGTTTCAGATATACTAGGATAGAAGTACCACTACACATTGTACCAAGATATTCCATAGAAACACCTTGCCTCAACTCTCTTATACAGCTACCTCAGATCCTATGTACATTGCAGCCACTGTTCTGGTTTCAGATATACTAGGATAGAAGTTCCACTACACATTGTACCAAGATATTCCATAGAAACACCTTGTCTCAACTCTCTTATACAACTACCCCAGATCCTATGTACATTACATCAACTGTTTTTGTTTCAGATATACTAGGATAGAAGTTCCACTACACATTGTACCAAGATATTCCATAGAAACACCTTGTCTCAACTCTCTTATACAACTACCCCAGATCCTATGTACATTACATCAACTGTTTTTGTTTCAGATATACTAGGATAGAAGTACCACTACACATTGTACCAAGATATTCCATAGAAACACCTTGTCTCAACTCTCTTATACAACTTCCCCAGATCCTATGTACATTACATCAACTGTTCTGGTTTCAGATATACTAGGATAGAAGTACCACTACACATTGTACCAAGATATTCTATAGAAACACCTTGTCTCAACTCTCTTATACAACTTCCCCAGATCCTATGTACATTACATCAACTGTTCTGGTTTCAGATATACTAGGATAGAAGTACCACTACACATTGTACCAAGATATTCTATAGAAACACCTTGTCTCAACTCTCTTATACAACTACCCCAGATCCTATGTACATTACATCAACTGTTTTTGTTTCAGATATACTAGGATAGAAGTTCCACTACACATTGTACCAAGATATTCCATAGAAACACCTTGCCTTAACTCTCTTATACAACTACCCCAGATCCTATGTACATTACATCAACTGTTCTGGTTTCAGATATACTAGGATAGAAGTTCCACTACACATTGTACCAAGATATTCCATAGAAACACCTTGTCTCAACTCTCTTATACAACTACCCCAGATCCTATGTACATTACATCAACTGTTCTGGTTTCAGATATACTAGGATAGAAGTTCCACTACACATTGTACTAAGATATTCCATAGAAACACCTTGTCTCAACTCTCTTATACAACTACCCCAGATCCTATGTACATTACATCAACTGTTCTGGTTTCAGATATACTAGGATAGAAGTTCCACTACACATTGTACCAAGATATTCCATAGAAACACCTTGCCTTAACTCTCTTATACAACTACCCCAGATCCTTTGCCAAGAAGAACAAGAAGCATACGAAAAGACTCTCTCACATGACTTAGATCTGTTAACAAGATTACATAATGGGGCAGGTGAGTGATAATTGTATTACATTAGGTTTGTATAAGTAACCCCTTTTCCTCATCATATGTGATTTTTACATGAGATATATGAGACTTGTATGTCACCACCAGAACTGGGCAGTGGTTGATGTTCGGCGTTTATAACAGGGGTCTGTATCAAGTGGCATCTGTAACAGGTATCTGTAACAAATGGCATGTTAATGCCTTGTTTTTCATTTGTTATCACAAATGTTTTTCCCTATCATAGGCTTATTTGGCACCACCAAAAGGTGGTGACATATTGTTATGGTCTCTGTTTTTTTTGTGACAGTGGTTGGGGGTTAGCGATCAGCAATTGGCGATCTGTGGTTGGTGAACGGTGGTTGGCGTCTGTAACAAATTCTAAAACTTCCAATAACTAAACAAATACTGTTTAGACTGACCATGAATACAAATCATACTTCCATGACAACAAAGATGTATTGAAATATAAAAAGCTCAATAAAACTATTATTTTCCAGTATACAGTAAATCACTTTGTGGAATCCTAGAAGTCATGGGCGCACCTACAATGCAAGCTTTAGAATCACGGCAACAGAGAAATAAGCAAAAGATACAACAGTTGCAGCAAGAGAAAGAAAAATTATTGAGACTTTTGAAACCAAAAGTGAGGACTCCAACAAAAACTACAAGGATATGATACATCAAACAGGGGACTCATAGAAAGCGTGACCCGAAATCCTTCCCATGGACTAGTCAGAGTAACCCAGGCCTGTAGCCAGGGGTAGCGGATGCTTTCTTCGCTCCCCCTCCCCTAGTCAAAAATTCCTTCAAAATCATGCAGTTTTCACCATTGTGAGCTCTTTTTGCATGATTTTTTGGGCAAAACTGTCGAAAAGCCCCGTCCCCCTTGGCAAACCTGTAACCTCTGGGTGTACCACTACAGATTGCAATGAATTATATTGTAGTCTGGTTGATGGCCTTTTATTGGGGTTTAAATGAGAAATGAATAACATTACAAGGACTCACAGAAAGCCTCACAGAGTTATTTGGAATGTTAGACTATCTTAAGGGAATGTGAGGCTATCCTCTGGAAATATCAAACTGACCTAGGGGAATGTGGACTACCCACAGGAATTGATGGACAATCCTTAGAGAATGTCAATTCATTCTTGAGGAATGTTGGATTTTTACAAACAATTTTCTTCAGCTGAGAAGGACAAATACTAAACTAAATTTTCGGCATATTATTTTTGAAATAACATAAAAGAATGTCCTTATATGTGTACTATATTTCAAAATTATTGCTTGATTGTAACCTTTTACCACAGATATTTGAAATTAACATGTAATATAATTCACACTACAATGCATTACATATTTAAAATCAAATGTTATAAGATTCACAGTACATTGCATTAGATATAAGGCATGCAGGATCTGTTTATAACAGTTTGGTCAGTACACTAGCACATGTTTGAATAAGCTAGCAAAGTGACTTTTTCCTATTCTAAAATTAAACCCTGTAAAACCATATTAAATCAAAATTGGAAATAAACAAACATGTTTAATTGATTTATATAACATTCTTTTAATATAGCAGGATCTGATCTTAACTTTTTGGTCAGTACAAAATATTTGCGACATAAACAAAATGCTCTATTCAGATAGCAATTGATTAGCTAGCAAAGTTTGTTTATTGCCAAGCTAAAATCAAAATTGGCCCCAATGAGTTGTGTTCATCAAACACAAATTCATTCTGTATTTAAATGCAATTTAAACAGGAATGATGTTTATAATCCAACTATTAACTACTGTTACCATATTAATATACAAAAAAATCAACTGAGACATAAACGTCCTACTTATGACTGAAAATACACATTTTGTGCAAGATCGTACATGTACATGATTCTTTCACATTTTAACAATGAAAAATAAGGCTTGTAGGGCCTTTTCATTAGGAAAAGTGAAATTGTAAAAAATTAATTTTGGTGAGAATTCTTGAGCAACAAAATATTGATTCCTGATTACGTGAACACATTCATATTTTCTGTGCAGACTACTACAGTCATAAGGCAGGTATGAAATAGACGAGGCTTTTCAAAAAGCTATAAGAAAAATATTCAATGCACCAACACAATTTTTCCATGGAAATTTAATCTAATTTTTTTTTATTATTCACAGGCTAATTGATTTCTCCTAAGAGTCTATTTTACATTTATATATTGCAAAATGGCTTGGCCAATGAATTAATAATTGACTTTAGAATACCTTGCTTATTTCAAAACCTTGACTATGACAGTAAATACATGAATACTGTACTTCTTCATATACCAATCATTCTTAATACTTATATATAATGGCTGCTTCTCTAGAAAAGGATTCTTACCACATACTCAGTAAATAAAATCTGTAGCAGGAGTAAAGTCAGAATACCTGATACAAACAAAAAGTTCAATGAAATTTTGAAGTAACACTTTGGAAATCAATTAAAAATCACTGTTTCCATCCATATTTTAAAGTTATTTTGAGGTTTGTAAACTGGTAAATGGAATATAAAACTGAAACATAATGTGATATGATCCCTTTTCTTGTGAGCAGACTCGTAAGATATGTTTCTAATGTGTTTATATAAAACTCTAATATTGATTGGAGTGTTAAGAGCTGGAAAGCCACTATGGTCATGTTTCTTACACACCCATTCAAATTCTGAACAAAATGACAAATTGTTATGACCTGTATTCCTACAGACGTGCCAAATTCATAAAATTTCTACAGAAATGCCAAATTTTAATACTATATAGTATCTCATATCCTACATAAATGCCAGATTTCATTCACATTTCTACAAAAATGACAAATTCCTATGTTTAATATTTCTACAGTTATGCAAGATTTTATCACATTATATAGAAAGGCAAAACATTCATTCATATCTACAGGAATGTTTAGATTTAGGTACTATTTGGTATATGACTTTGTTTGATGTTGTGCCCCGAATTTTCACATTATTACAGAATTTGCGTGGAATGTTCCCCTCAATAACAAATATTCACTCTTAAACCCTAAAAGATGGCACTGTTGTGTAGTCCAAGTTTCTATTCTCCCAATAGGTGAACCGCACTGCCATCTTTAAATGCACATTTATTTAATTTCTATCACCCAAAGACCATGACCATGGCATTTCCTGGAGCATTTTGATATACACTAATGTCCAGATGAGGACGTGGACCTCTCTCGTTTCTTTGGGATGACGAGCACTGGGATATGAGCGTGATGTAGGACGTAATCCGAGACGGAACCGAGGAAAGTACGCCTCACTGCTCCCATACCACGTGATCCCATAACAACCATGGTTCCCTTGAGTTCTTCGGCATAGTGCACGATAGCAGTACCTACAGAAAGAAGATATGAGTATTATTTTGTCCAGTTGTTGAATTGAATGGAACTTTAGTCGGTATGTTGTCGGTATGTTTTTGGCGATTGTATGCTTAATATTATTGATATATTTATCCATATTTAGATAGGATAGCAATACTGTTAGAGGTCTACAATTGTATAATATATCATCTGACCATAGCTTAATTTGCATTACTCGTCACACGAATGAAATGTTGGCATTAAAATTGGGCATTTACAACTTCTAATTGAGCAAATAATATAATACATGTAATTCCTTTTCTTATTGAAGTGATCGAATGCAAAATAGTATTTGACCCCTTTGGATGATAGAACTAATTACATTCATATCAGTGCCATGGCCCTATTTTACATACTAGTACTGGCAAATGCATTGAAGAGATACAACTTAGGCATTCCACTCTTAAACCTTTTTACCATACAAAGAAAGAATTATGTACTAGTATAATTTATAGAGTTTCACGGTGTACTAACATAACGCACCTCCATAAACGTGGCCCAACCCTATTCTATATTTCCCTTTAGAAAAAGTTATTTAAAAAACTACAAAATGTTCGTATTGTATACGACTAATAATACGAGGAAATGCAGGCCCAAATTGTGTACTGTTATTAGCCAATTAGGTCACATTATGGATGTATAGCAACCCGGACAACAAACACCAAGGTAATAATGGCTTCTATACTTTTGCTATAGTGATTAGGCTATTGCCCCACTATTTATTTTCCGAGTTCCAGTTAAAACACAACGTGATCTGTTTCAACTTCACACTAGGACAAAATTTGCAGGGATCTATTCCAGTTTTCTCTTCTACCCACTGACATGGCTGACCCGGGGCCACCAATTTAATTAATTTGCAATATATTGAAGTTTGAGAAATAAATGAAATCAAGCAAATCGTTACTCCTTCAACTCTGCAAGTGCAAGGTCTTGGTCGATACTCGGCAACAATTTCGAAAATATATACAATTTTATAATAAATCAAATGTTTGCTAATAAAAAATACAAAGTATATAATGCATTTTAGATGAGATTATTACATGAAGTTCATTAGTTACCCCACTCATACTCTTGAGAAATAAATAAAATAGATAAAACAAATATATAAGCTATCTCACCTGGATTGTTGTTAACCTGGTGATGTGTCTTGCCTTTCATCTACAACATAAGCAAATATTCATTTGAGATTATTATATGAATCTAGTACTAATACTGATATCATTAAAGTGACAACAGAGAATCTTTGCAATTTTACTATTATAAGTTGGGATTTGTTTTATTTTATGGATGAAATATATTCAAATATATTTAATATTTTTACGATATATAATCGTCAATCTAAAATGAATACAGAGTGGTCCAGAAACGCACATATACAGTTTTTTATTTGTCAATAATTTTGATAATGCTTAGATTTCAGAAACAACGGTTGATGGAGATACGTTATTCATAAACAATTGTTGCTGAAATAGAATTAATGAATCTCTATGGCTATATGGCTATATGAATAAGTGAATAATAATATTCTAAGTCATAAAGAAGTTTTTGGGCCACCCTGTAGTCATGTCTACTACTTGTGTAGTACTATGAGGCAGATAAATGAATAAATAAAAATACAAATTTTGCAGATATCAAGCATTGGCTAATGTGCATCGTTTGTGCTTATTCCTTAAAATATCTACGTAAAATAAAATATAATTGTAGTGTCGTTAAATGAAAATGTCAAGTATAAAAACAAATTACAATAAACTATGAATCTAAATAATACGGAGAACACCGCATTAACCAAAACATAAAAACAAATATGAAGATAGAGGCTGTAAATTGCAATGTATTGCAAGAATATGAATCTATTATGCAAGAGACAGTAAGAATCAATAGTAAATGAAGCAGCTTGTGTTTGCAATAAGAAACATAAAGAGAGAAAGCATTTCCGAAGATGTTTAGCACTACATCAGAACTGTGTTGTCTGTGAACAATAATCATGATTCAAAACCATTGTTCTCTAGTACTGTGATTTTAGCGAATACATTTTAGAGATTTGTATAATTTGACATTGTAATCATTCAATTTAGAGTTGTTGTATTTTGCAAGCTGCAGATATAAATGGGTTCAGAAAGACCTGTGTAACTGGTAAACAACACCATGGAGAAATGTGTAATTAATTGAACATATTGATCCGCATGTGACCTTTCAAATGGAATAAATGCCCGTATTAAGGATCAATTATTCTTGCTTTGAAATACAATCTACAATTCTACCTCAATTCATCATCGTACATAATATTCGTTTGAATTCCATTGGGTTTCATCAAACTGAGAAAGTACGAGGGTTGATCATAAAGTTATCATAAATCTCTCTATTTTTATGAAATATCTTTATGACATTTTCACAGAATATGTAGCATAGAATGACATATTAATCCAGCAAAAATATGTTGCCATAGCAACCAAAACTCAGACACTCATTTGAAGATATAAAATATTGAACATTTTATTGCACAAACTATTTCTGTTAATGTTTGCAATGCTAACTTCGTTTCTTAATCGTCAATTATCAGTTGAATATGACAATGTCTGTTGAAATAAAGCAGAAAACAATAAAGCCACATCTGGAACATGGAATTCCGCATGAAAATAAATGTCTGTAGAGGTCAAGGGAGAAAAGATCAGCATAAATGACGCTAAGAAACTATAAAATGTAAATGAATTCTATTTCTAATAACAACATTTTCAATGCACGAGCCATGCAAATATCTTACATTCCTATCTTTGAGTTTCCCTTCATATTTTTTCATCAGATTATCAACAATTTGCCGGTCATCCTGCACCATTGCTTGAAAGACTTCCGCTAGAACACAACATCGAGAAATTAGCTTCTTTAATTCAACAGCCAAGAAAATGGTTGAAGCATGAGCGATTAGGGGGTAAGTCTACTTATATCAACAGCCAGGAAAATGGCCATAGCATGGGATCCCCCCCAGGATTTTCATCAAAGGAAAGATTTAAACAAAGGTTAGTACTGGTACTTGTGTTAAAAGCCAAAACAGAGGATTAAATGGACCTTTTCTATAAACCCTGCCACCTTTTGTGACATCAAATTTACAGTAGGCCTAGAGTTTGGTAGTGATGTTGACAAGAAATATATTAAAAGAAGTTTTCAAATTAGCAATACATTGCATTAGTTCTATTTTCGCTACATACATTTTACATGTATGTACCATCAACAAGGCCAATATTTCCAAGCAATTATTTGATGGAGCAACAGGTGACAGGCCTTACAAGTCTAAAAATCAACAGAATCGTTACCTAAAGGAATATGGACATTGGGCTAGTTTAAAGCATTTTAGTTTCAGAATTCCGAGATAGAATATGTAAATCATTGTTGTAATCATTTACAACTCAAATATAGGTCAAGCAAGCTGGTATACAGATTAATCAGGTCTGGTAATCAAAAGTGGTAAATATCACAAGTCCTTGAGGTGAAATTGGACTAAATGGGAATAAGTGTACCCTCTTTTTGCACTGAGTGTTCGTTTTAGCAAGCACATTTGCAAGGCACTCATTTGTAAAGAGGACGGGAATATATAAAGCACGTTCAGCACATCAAGCTTGTAATACCAAATGGACCCACGGCGTGACAACTGCATTTAGCATTGGGGGAACAGGCCCGTAGCCAGGGGGGGGGTTCGATGGGTGCGAGCAACCACCCCCCCCCCCCCCGCCAAAAAATTCTTTCAAAATCATGCAGTTTAGCACCATTCTGAGTACATTTTAAGTGATTTTGGCCATTTTTGGACCAAGATTTGTCAAAAGTGAACCCCCCCTGGAATTTTCCAAAAAGTGAACCTCCCTTGGCAAATCCTGGCTACGGGCCTGGGAAAGCACGTCTTACCATATTGTATATGCTCTAAACAGTCTTATACTAATTATAAGTGATTAAGCACCCATTGTTCAATTAAAATGTTATCAATTAGATGCTTAGCACACTCTAAATCATGGACCTCTATCTGGATAGAAATCTATGATTAAATCATATATAATTTATATTAGTTTTAAAAGAATTAAATGAAACGAAAAAAACAAACTTCTAAAAATCCCAAACTTTCCCTGCAGCCCGGCCTCCCATGCTCAAACTTCTGCCTGCTCATTTCGATTTCACACAATTTCTTCATAATTATAGAACGAACATCTGTATCTGCTTTTCAGTTACCTGTCTATACAATTTGCTCTTCTGCTGTTCCTATACATTTTTGATTCAAAGATGCATGTTCAGTTACTTTTTTAAATACCAAATTGTGTGAAACAAAATGACGTAATGAAAAATGACATCTTATTCTCTTTTAATCTTACATTCCTCTCTTTCAGGAAATTGTCATAGACAGCCAAAAGTTTGTCAACTTTTTTCTTGTCCTCAAGAAGAAATGCTTCGTAAGCACTCGCTGAAAAGTTACAGAAATATTTAATCATGTCACGAGACAATGCAACAACTCTCCGCTGTCGAGCTCTCCAAAGAGTTCATTTGACCCAGTCTGGGCCCTGATACATCAGTTGATGTTCCTTCCTTGTATAATGATAACTGATCCGCTGTACATCAAAAAGCCAAAGAGGCGATGAACAGAACCACATGCTTGGTTTGTTCACAAAATGCTGGAAGCCGATATAGTAAAGAGAGCAAGGTGAGAAGATGAATGGTGTGAAGACGTCCACACGTCGGAAATGTCTAAACGTATTCAAGTGTTTGAGACTTGTTCTAGTGTAGCAATGTTTGCTTCACAAATATTTTAAAAAAATATCAACACACTCATTGTGAGTGCTGTCTAGGGTCAACAGAAATAGAAATTTTGCTGAAACATTAATCAAATGCATATGTTTTTTATTGTTCTAATACTTGGTACAAGAAGTTACCTAAATATTTAAACATTCCTAGGCTATTTTCAAAAGATCCAATACACGCATTTAGATAGTTTTGAAACTTGGTATATACAGTAATACACGGTACTACATGATGGTCTTATTGCTATTTTACTAGATGCTAGTTGTCACCATTGCCCTTGTTTTTGTATTCTGGTAATTCATGAATAAAATAAATTGTGGTTGCTAAGGATTAACCAATCCATTGACCAATAATAGAATACATGATGTCAATCAATCTGCGGTTGTTTGTTCCTAATGCTTCACCAAACTAGACAAATGAAGAGAAAACATCCTGGACAAACCTCAAGTAATGTTTTAACTTAGTTAAGATAATTGTAACCCAGATAGAATAGCAATCTAATGGTTTTGTTGTATATGAGGTCTATATTACTTTATTAACCTAAGTATAGTGCGAGCATTTTCAAACTAGAAAGCATTCTTACATTATGCGTTCAAGCAAGCAGTTGATTTAAACATGCATATATTTAAACTACAAGTGAAGTACTAATATGTGTTCTGCTTTAATGGCCATGTAGTCTTACGTTTAATTGGATCATTTTTTCCTCATATTTTTTGAGGACTGTTTGTACATTTGCCTTATCCTCTTGTAGCATAGCCTCCCACATATCGCCTGTTTAAACAAGTATATGCAATGCATAAATTTGTGTATGCAATGTTCAACGAAGTATATGCAATGTTTAAAGAAGTAAGGTAATACGTAAACAATGTATACAATGTTTAAAAAAGTACATACAATAGGTAAACGCTATTCACTGTTGTAAACAAGTACATGTAATGTTTAAACAAGTAAATGCATTAAGTAAACAATGTACACAGTGTTTAAACAAGTAAAGGCAATAAACACTGTATGCAATGTTAAATCAATGTGTATAGGACAAGCCAATAGATATGTTGCCATCTAAGCTGAATCCTAGATTACAGAAGAACTTATATATATATGATACCAAATTGGAAAGATTTTGAACTTTGAAATATAATCAACCATTCAGACTTGCCAACCTCCCGTTTTTTACGGGAATCTCCCGTAATTATAATCTGACGCGCATGCGTCATAACAATTTCAACCAATTAAATCGCTGGATTTAATGCTCATAAATCTACCGTAAAAACTCCCGTTTTTCAAAATCTAAAGTAAAAACTCTCGCTTTTTCAGAAATCTACCGTAAAAACTCACGTTTTTTTCAAAATTTACCGTAAAAACACCCGTTTTTTCAGAAACCTACCGTAAGAACTCCCGTTTTTTCCGAAATCTACCGTAAAAACTCCCGTTCTTTCAAAATCTACCGTAAAAACTCCCGTTTTTTCAAAATCTATAGTAAAAACTCCCGTTTTTTCAGAAATCTACCGTAAAAACTCCAGTTTTTTCCGAAATATACCGTAAAAGCTCCCGTTTTTTAGAAATCTACCGTAAAAACTCCCGTTTTTTCAGAAATCTACCGTAAAAACTCCCGTTTTTTTTTAAATCTACCGCAAAAACTCCCGTTTTTTCAAAACCTACCGTAAAAACTCCCGTTTTTCTGAAATCTTCCGTTAAAAAGTCACGTTTTTTTAAATTCACCGCGAAAAATACCTTTTTTAAAAAATCTCCCGTAAAAACTCCTGTTTTTTCAACATCTCCCGTAAAATCTCCCGTTTTTTCAAAATTTACCGAAAGTACCGCAATTTTTATTAAATCTCCCGTAAATTTTTCCTTTTAGGTTGGCAAGTCTGCCATTATATATACAATAGTTAGCTGGTTTTGATTAGTGCATCATAACATATTAGGACTTTTATGATGTTTGGTTGCAAAAAGTGCACACAACTCATACAACAAGCACGACATACAATGGTTTTACAAGGTGTATGCAACATGATCAATATAGGTAATAAAGATATAAGGTGGTGAAGAGGACAAAACATATGCAGTGCATATTATGATTGACGTTACATGATGTAGGTTGTTTGATGGAATCAGGGAATGTCTGTTGTATAGAGCTGAAAATGGCATTATTTGACAGTATTGGTTCAAGACTTTGGAACCCCCCCCCCCCCATATCTACTTGACACCACTACATCATGGGGATGTGTGTCACAGATCACAGTGGGAGCATCGTGAGATATCACAGCCTTCTCTCAGTTTCCTTCTAGAACATTCTTGTGCATGGCAGAGTATCAGAATGCAGTGGGAGGCTCACGGGTTTTTAGCTAATCTAGGCAGTAATCAGAATTGCAGTATTGTAAAGATTTTGTGAGTATAGTAACTTGGATTTTATCAGTCCGTGTGAAGTGAATTTTGGGAAACGCTTCGGAGTAAATGTTCAATAATTTTCTTCAACAAAATGTATTGAAAATGTGCAACGTAAATAACAATATTGTTTTGCGCCTTTGAGTGCAGCAAAATTTATCTTTAAACAAGTCAATATGATAGATTACCATGGTAACTTATCTTACAATAAATGTTAAAAAGGATAAGTAATACAATATTTCAATGATGTGATGTACAATATACATACTGCAACACTAGAGGCAGAAATGGCAATTCTCGAAATAAAAAAGACAAGTTGCCAAAAGCAAAGGCAAGTGCGCCTGGTAGCACTGCACAATATTGGATAATAGCAAGTGCGCCTGAAAGCACTGCGCAATATTGCTAATCGCTAATCTGTATTTTAAAAATATGTGCGAATTTATTAAAGTATATTGATCTACGAGGTTATCTCGTATTACCAACTAAACATTGGAGTTGGATGTGTGCATTGATTAATCAATTGGCTTCAACAAATTCACAGTAAAACCTGTGAAGTGGAACATTGGTTGTGAAACACCTTCTTAAGTTGAACATCCTCCAAAGTCCAGTTATACAATGTAAAATGAGACTATTATAAGTGGAACACTATATTTTTAGGTACCAAAATGAGTTCCTTTTTACTGTACATCATTCCATTTTATCTTAAACAAATAATTCTATTGAGCATTATTCCAACGACTAATGCAAAAATATCGTTATTGATATGAAGATTTTGGGATATTGTAATGGCTCTAAAACACAACAAAGCCTTTTGCAATATGTAATACTCGAGACAAGACTTAACTATACTACATTCTGAGTATCTACTACATGTTCTATTAAAATTATCTCAGGTTCTATTTATAATGCTGATGTTTTACATAAACAATACTGTGATACAGTAGACGTTTTATGACTATTACTATTTTTACATCATTTTATTAAAAATTATTTCGATGACTTAATTGACAAAATGAGTTCGTGAGAAACTTTCTCCAATTTTATCATAATAATCATTAATTTTATACCAATCCATTCTAAATGCATTTATGAAATCTACACATGTTACTTATATATAATGATTTTAATTCGTTGATATTATTCCAAGAAATAAGTTGATTTTTACTGATTTTATGTACTCCTTTAGAAACACTATTTACAAAATGTGTAAAAGGGTATATTTACCATTGAATGCCCAATAGGAAGCACCCGTTGTTGGAACTACAGGTTCATGAACATGAACAATATGAACTTCATGGTTGGGTCTATAGACATTATCAGCATACCCTGCAATCATAAAAGATAAAATTATGCAATGCAATTAAGACCATTGGTATTGTTTCCTTAAAACAAATTAACTATACACAAAGAAGACTTTTATTATCCATCATGGTTTAACAAGAACACACATTAAGTAAAACATTTGGATTTGAAAATGGCAAGAAGTTAGGTATGAACCCTTATTCTAGGTTATGGGGAAAACATAGTCGATACACTGTACGTCCATCATTTTGGATGATGGATTATGGAGCACTCTTGTTGTTCAAACAATTTTACAATAAGAACAAAAATCAAAGTGTGGTTGTAGTAATCTAGCATGATGGTGATATACTATAACAGAGTCAAAATGAGTCCATTGTTCATTATTTTTAATTGGACGATGTGCAGTCTCATTAGTGCAGGAGCGTAGGTATGATCTAAAATTTGGCGAGGGAAATTTTGGATTTGAAGCGAAATAACATACTTCAATCCTTTTCAAAGTTTCAATTGAAAACATATCCAAATTAATATTTTTCTTTAAAATATTAGTGAGGCGTTTATTTCGATGGCCTCATGCCTGGCTACGGTCATGTTAGTATGAACATTTTAAAACATGAACAAAAGTCAAAGTATATCACTAGTAAAGCTAAATCTAGAATAATACATGTTCTATCTGTAATCTTAAGTATGTACAATTGTTTAAGGTCAAAAATCAAGTGAGGTTAGACACCATTGAATTAGATTAGTTTAAAAATTAAAATGTATACGCATGCGCCTTAAGGTATGTATTTTTGTCATGTTTATTATCATATCTTCATTGTTGAAGGGTTAAGTATATGTTTTCTTCAAGAACATGTAAAAATTAACATCACTCCTTTGTAATACTAGTCAAATTTATACAATAGAGCTACATGTTTTGCGGATGCTTTGTCTATAGTAGCAGGCCCGTAGCCAGAGGGGGAGCTGGGGGAGCAGAAGCCCCCCCCCCCCCTGGCCAGAAATTCTTTCAAAATCATGCAGTTTTTCCTAAAAGAGAGCTTCGTCTGTACTTTAACTAGACTCTGCACGCAGGGTACTATAGTAGTATAGTCACTTTAGAGCTACAGTGTAAAATGCACTTCGTCAATCAAAAGTTTAGGAAATAATAATCCGAGCTTTTATATCACAACTGCAAAGTTTTATTATCCAACATGATTGTCAAAAACTTGCATATCTTTTAGACTTGTTTGTTAATAACTTGGCATTATCATAAGTGTATATTCGATGTTATTTTATATTCGATGTACTGGAGGCATCCCAAGACATAACAGCCTATGTGGTTAGTTTGGTCAACACATTATTAAAATAATGTACTTTAGTAGTATCATAATTAGCTTAATTGATCACATGAGCAATACTGACCAATCAGGTTATTGCCAAAGTTGAGATACTGGATAAAAATTATAGTCTTCTTGTCAATAGACTCAATAAGATCTATATTTTCACATAATTACTAGCATTAAACATTCGCTATTTTGGAGTTATTTATTTCACTTGAGTATAACATGTTGCATTACAAAATACATTGAAAGTGTTTTGAGGGTTGAGAAGGATGATATATTGGTTCAAGTTAATACATTTGGAATTAATCACAGATAATCTTCACTCTGTAGTAGGGTTTGAAGAGTCGTTGCGTTTCGCTTAACCACCGTGAATTTAAATGCAGAACTGGCATGATCGATCGATCCGTGGAGAACTAGTATTGAACGCGTTGGCCGATTTTTATGATCTTTGGCCCATTTGATTCTTATTCTTTGGGGAATAAAGCTAGTCTAGATTCTGCCGGTTCAAGAATTCGAATCTGAGTGAATTTGATATTCTTGTGTTTTGGCAACGCAGATTCATAAATACATTTTGTGAGACCGGTGTAAAAGGGTAGGTGGTCCTCTCAAATGTTGGTCCTACTCTCTATTGATTTACATTGTGACCTAATTACAATTATTTTCCTTATTATTTATACACAGTCAGGGCCAGTAAGGGCCGTAAGGAAAGGGAACCATAATCCCCAGGGGACCATAATTTCTTTTACACCGGCTACGAAGAAAGACATGGCTGTCCCGGTGTAAAAGAAATTATGGTCCCCCAGGGATTATGGTCCCCCTTTTAAAGGCCCTTACTGGCCCTGATTGTGTATAAGATAATAAGGGAAAGAGCACAAAGAGGTCACCATATAAATCAATGGAGAGTAGGACCATAAATTAATGGGACCTCCTACCCTTTTACACCTGCTTTATGATTAGCCTAGTTTGACCGCCTACAACAACAAAAGGCCTCAAAAATTTCATTTCGAGAATAATTCGCCACGCTAGTTAAAGGTCAAATTATTTTATTTATCCAATTCTAAAGGTTCACATTCTGTATTCTTGTCTAAAGAGACGGCCTTGCGATCGGAGAAGGTAAGGTCCAAGTAGGTATAGGCCTAAATAAGGGCAAGATACTCACAATTAAATGCAGCCTCTGCATGATTTGATCTGTCGACTGGAATAATGATGACTGAAGTTGCATCTGATTCTGCCATTGTTGATTATCTAAAAATTAAAATAAAATACCAATGGGTTTGTGTTAGATGGCGCTATCAGTACTGCAAAGGCACTGCAAGAGCAGTCTGTACCGCCCTTTGTTATAATATTTCTCACTCCTTTTAACATTCTTTTTACGATCAAATGTGGGGTAACATCTTATTTATCACTGTGTTTATGCACATCATTTCATTTATCCTATTTTTAAACCACTGTAAATACTGTTAAAATTCTAAATATGCCCATTCGATTATGATAAAAGGGGGCTGTATATCGAGTGATATGTTACAGACATTTAAAGTCAAAATGTCAAAAATAAGAAAAAAACGCATTTTCACAGAACGTCAAAAACAAAATAAAACGTCCGCATTTATTAGGGGTAGCATGCCCAATTGCCCATCTAGGCGCGTGTTTTGAAGTCGTCTTATATATTTTGCAATACCTCGAGATCCCCCCCCCCCCAACAAACAAATAAGTCGTGGCTTTTCAAGGTTTAACCGTAAATAGAATCATCTCTCGTTACTTTATTTGTTGATGTTTAAAAGTCATTGAAAAGTACCGTTTTGTTGTTTTGCAATTCAGAGTGTCATTTAGTGAATTGTTTTCATTGCCATTTATAGTTTGACTTCTAGTGGGGCATTCAAGGTCACCAAGTCCAACAAATGGCCAGGGATAAAATTAAAACTCTGTTACATGCTTAGCTACTATTGGCTTGTATTAATTATAAATCCATTGTTGTTTGGAAACCTTGGAAACCATAATGCCATGGTTAAGGAGCAATAGCAACAATGAATTCATGGACTCATAAGTTAGTTTAGGGAAATGTGACCTAGGATAAGGTCATGAACTTGTACATTTACTACTAGATTAAGTAAATTAGTAAATAACATAGCAGATTGAGAGGGTGTAATATTGGTAAGGTCATACCTAGTTCAGGGAGAAGATGTAGGTATGCTATCGGTATGGGAGATTGCTCCCGAAGGAGAAAATGGGATATATGTAGATTATATATTAAGTATGTGGTTCTAAAACGTGGCGACTTAGATATAGCCACGTGGCTTTTGACTTGATTGATCCATTGATTTGTTTGTTTGTTAATTTGTTTGTTTGTTTGAGACAAAAAGGAGAACAAAGAGGATACAACAAACAGGATCTTGATTTTGGATTACCGGCCAGTTCTTTATTAATCTCCACTACTTTCAGGGCGATTACGCCGTGAATAACAATGAAAATGTATCTATGATTTTAAGAAATAAAGAGTATTTATTACTACTTTGAACGAGAACTGTACAAAAAGTCCGTGTTGTACAGTAGTTAGTGAAGTTAAACAGTTAAACTTAACAAATTGTAAAAAATCAATAAACGCAAGCTAGGCCTAATATAATAGCTGTATCTACACATCTGGGTCATCTACATACAATGTAGCTAGCTATTTACATTTGTTTGCTATCGTATCCTGTTTTTATGACTTTTGTTACGCAGGGTTTCAACCACTGTTAGACTCTACCTCCCATGTAGAGCTTTTCCACGGTTTACCATGATTAACCTACCCTTTGCATTCGTTTGACTTCACTTCTTAAAAGAGAGCTTCGTCTTTAACTAGACTCTGCACGCAAGGTATGATTAACTGAGGCTCGTGGCCAGATTTTTCCAGGTGGGTCACTTTTTAAAAATTCCAGGAAGTTCAACTTAGATAATTTTGGCAGAAAATCATTCGAATGAAAAACTGCATTATTTTGACAGAATTTTGGGCCAGGGGGAGTAGCCATGACCCCCGATCCACCCTTCCCCATTACATATATGAGGCAATTTGGTAGAAGTCCATGATTGAATCTAATATATAGGTACGGTTGTTAAGGTAGTTCTGTATGTCCAGAAATTATAATGCTCCCTAATATTTGGAGTCCCATGTTATTTTCTGGAACACATATCTCATCGGTCGATATCTTTCAATTTTTCACTGAAAAGTGGCATGGGAATGCACATATGTAGACAATATTAATTCTATGATGTGATAAGAACTCAAAGATTCTTCGACCTACTTTTTAAAAGTACAAGAATGTAGGTCACTGGGTTTTCTCCTTTTTATACGTCTGGAATGTTTATGAGTGGTCAATTAATAATCTAGGTATATTCACTCTTTCTACAAAACTGAAAGATGTAAACCATGAATAGAAATGAGTTATGTGTACCTCAAAATAAATACGACTCCATTCATTAACATTTCTGAGCGCGTGTGGAACTCCCTAAAACATATATATGAGGCCACGATTGCATCTATTGTTTAGACACGGTTGTAACGTGTAATCCCATCACTAGTATTCTAATCGTGGCAATAATCAGTTAGGTGACATCATGGACTTCAAATATCAAAGAAAAATGTGATCCACACAATTAAACAATATTAGTTATCTAGACCAAAGCTGCGCAGATCTAGGACTACATCCACGCCAACATCTAAGCTTGTGAAACATGTCATATCTTAAAAAATATGTTAGACTCTAAGATTCCCTACCTAAGAAATGAAGAAAATATTCCTCTGAGCAGCTGCCTCGCTGAGTTGTCCTACTATCTATGTGAAATGTTCTTTACTCTATAGTGTAAATTTACATGTAAACAGACTTCGCGTAGTACAGTAAAACTGTTTATGGTGAACACAGTCATATGTTCTAAAGTTTGCTTTATTTAACGTTTTCATCTTGATAAGTTTTGGCAGATTATGACAAACTAATGAGAAATTATCCAAGAATAAGAGGTCTATCTTTTAATACAATAAGTACTCATAAGACTTCGATGCTGACATATCTCCATTGATGCTATTCATTGAGAGGGGTTTCGCTGTAGTTTTATAGTCAAATAAGGTCAGCGTGTACTTTGATAGCATAGCACGTAGACATATGCACAGTAATAAAATCTATTTTATAAATGAATTGTGGTGTGTCCTTGACTGATGTATGATTTATAATTACAGATGTAATGGATAACAGAAGAATTATATATGGAAATGATTTGTTCTCAGTCTTTAATTGATTACGTGGGTTCAACTAGGGTCATGCTACCCGGTCCGCCATACTCGTCGTACAGTTGTACTGTAACAGTAATTGTTGTCCTGCATGTTCGGAATTTTAATATGATCCCCAGAGTAACATGTTATTTTTCAAATATCAATCACTCCTTTCCCACAAATGTCTCGGGCTTTCAGAGTTGCACAAAGAGTGCACTAATGTACTTAGAAAAGGGTGTAAAGAATTTTGTAAAATGTATAAAAAATATATACAGGGTGTCAAAAAACAACGGCACCCCCTCTTCAGCAAAATGTACTTAATGTTACATAGTGTGTCATATCCCATTTTAAAGACAATTTAATTCTGGAGTTACCTGAGAAATTTCAGCTTTGAAAGATAAAATTTTACAGATTTACAGCTAATTAGTTAATTAGTAATTAGTTAGTAGTTGGTATGGTCACCTATTGCTGCTAGAAGAACAGCTAATCTGGATGGATAAGATTTCAATGAAGATTCAAAAAAGGTTTACCATTGCGTGATCCTCTAAGCACTTTCGTCATATTCTTCAGAAATACATCCTTCCTGTATCTGTTTTCAAGAGGCCCCCTGTCCATCAATTCCCCATACCCTGTTTTTCACAATTGAACCCATATGATCAGCATAGCTGAGATTTCGGCTATTTTCTACATTTTCATCATATCCAAGATTTGACCTTTAACCAGTAACAAAGTAGCAAACAAAGTACTGAAGTAGCAAACTTTGAAACAATGTCGCCTTTTCAATTTAAAATTTTACCAAATATGATATTTGATAAGTAACTCCGGAATTAAATTATCTTAGGGGTGCCGTTGTTTTTTGACACCCTGTACATTTAATGAAAAAAAAAATTTACACTTCTATCTATGTACATACAGAGTGTAAGTGCACTCTTTGTACAAAACTGAAAGATGTAGACAATGTGAGGAAGGAGTGATTCTCTGTGATTGATATTTGAAAATAATATTTGAAAAATAACATGTGACTCTAGATCTATTGATGATTGCATCAAAATTCCGAACATACAGACCAAACTACGGTAAGTGTGTCTGTTTGGATTTTTATGGAATCCTCATTGGAGTCTAGAAACACACGACTCATTCCACATACGGTCTACAACTTTCAATTTTGCACAAAGAGTACATAATATACCTCAGGAGAAGCGGAATGGAAATTTTTTTTTCATAAAATGTATAAAAAATAAAAAATCTTTGACCTACAAAAACACTCCTTTCTAGGTACATTGATGCATTGTTTGTGCAAAATTGAAAGTTGTAGACCGTAATGATCGATATTAATTGAATAGTCATTTTCCGTAAGCCATTTTAAGATAAGGTAACGGCCGTCAATGTATCCTTGGATACTGACTATTGACCAAGTCTGGCTTCTTTATCTTATCAACAAACACCGTGACAAAGGGCCTGGTAACTTCAACTTGGCCACTAAACACTCATTTAAAATAATGTCATACTGTATCGATACAAAAATATGATTCGAATGTTTGATATCGGTTTGTTATTGTCCGTTCATACGATCATGGCCAATATGGGCGCTTGTGTTTTTCATTTTTTGTTCTTTGCTTTTTATCATTATATAAGATCGCCTATTTAGTAAATAGGCGATCTTATATAATGATAAAAAGAGTATTTAGGCCTACGGCTGTTCAAGTCTGTTGCAAAATATTTGCATTTGCAAGCATTTGCAAAATATCATAAATATACATAACTCTGTATATATGTATTATTTTACAGATTTGGGATAAATACGTTATAACTCACCCATGAACACTTTTCGGTACAATGCGCGTCGGTATTCTGTCATTCGGTATGACGTCTTTCGGTACAATGCGCGTCGGTAGGTTTCGAATCGATATAATGCGCGGACCCCAGCCTAATCTAGTATATGGGAATTTTGGTCCATTCATAGGCTTAACAAAGACCTCCTTCCCTGATTGGAACCACGGTCCGAAGTCGAAAGTCCTAAATCCCCATGGGAGTAGCTAGGATTATCAGACTCAGTAGAAAGGTGTATCATACAGAGTGTCTCAAACTTACAAAAAGTTCAATATCTTTCATGATTTTGAATTTTCCCCTAAAATATACCAAGATACCAAAAGACCAGTCTTTCCCGAATAAATCCACACCATCAGAATCAAAATCCGTCCATGATTGGCTGCACAGGGCAGATTCTTATAGACGCATGTGAAATCTGATTTGCGTCAACTTCTCAGTGGTTGGACGTGTGGTGATCAATTCTTTTTTGGTGTGAATGCTGTGGACAATGATATCTTGATATGATCAATGATCCAGTTGTTTCTTTCCTGGAGTAGGAATACAAAATTTCATTGTCATGGGGTTCGATTGGTGCAAAAGGCCTGTGGCAGATCGTTTGGTAGAACTCTTTGGAAATCAGAGGATAGCATTGGATTACCCAATTGATTGGCCCCCGGGGTCACTCCTTTTACCCTTGATTTTAAAGGGCCTCTAAAGGGGTTTATACAGCCATCACAAACTGACCTAAATGAATTTCTACAAAAATAATTGATGGAATCAGTGTGATATTACAATGCATGTTCGCATGGGCAAAGGTACTACGGATCCTCAGATGCTTTGGAGAACGCATGTTGAGGGGACCACGTGTTTATGTAGATAGACCCAATGATCATACGTAAGAAAAATAGGAAAATTACATCTGATTCAGTACCAGTTTTATGACCCAAATTAGATGAAATATGAGCTGGGGTGAAAGATTAAAAATCCTCAATTTTGGGCTCACCTTGATCGCCAAATCAAGCTCATTATTATATCATGGCATCTCAGTGCTGAGAAGAAATGAGATGTCATGGTTTATCATGATGCTTTAAAACACGATTTTACAAACCAAAGGTTTACGTGCATTTATTCATCGTGGTAAAGCATGGCTAGCCACACGTTAAGCACACCTTTGGAAAGTTATTTTGCGATTTTTTATATCATAATGATATTTACCAGAACAAAATAGAGAATTAAACCTTAGAATGTGAACGATATTACATATCTAAAGCCTGAAAGGATGTGGTACGTCCCCGCTCAACGCATTCCCCCAAAATGTCTGATTCTGTAGAATTGGCCATGGCCCTTTCCATATAAATGGAAAAATAGATGGCACCATATGGGTATTGGTAGGGCTAAATAACATGACAAGAGTCACTTAATTTATTGATCTAACAAGTAATTCCATTTGGTTAAAACGCCACTGGAATGTAACGATATGATATCATTGACATGTGGATTGTGATTTCACATTAAAATTTTGATCCTCGTAAGAGTAAATGAACTTATGAAGGTTTTTAACATTGTGTCAATGAGGATTTAGCCCGACCATTTTTAGAAAACTTGAAAATCTGGAATTTGAATTAAGGTAAATAACAGTGCAAAAACTAAGTTGTGTTGATAGAAAATTACACACAGAATTCAAATAGAAGAAAATGTTAGTCTTTAGTGGTTAAAATGCAGCAGATCTCCTAAAATCTCATTAAAACGAGACCTTAACGAGATTTCAAAGCTATATAGAAAAGCCACTATTAGATAGATGCCTTCACTAGGCTATTCTCTGTACTTGTGCCCGTGCCTCATCTGAGTAGCGAGTGTAAATTCTTTTCGGAAACATGATTATGTTTTCCCTGTTATATGAATTGGAGATATCTGACAAAATATGGATAGCCTAAAACATAAGGTTTGTGTTTTTGAACATGCGTAAATATCTTAACACTTGTTTTTAATATAGCCGCGCTTAATTAACAATAAGCGTAATCAGATTATTTCAAGCGTCGAAATAGCTTATTTTCCTTAACGTATCCACACGAACCTATTCTCGAACAGTTATGTTAATCGATCTAGACGCCTCAACCCTCAATTATAATTATTTTCACCCATCGGCTTTCGAGTGGCCCGCGATATCTTTTATTTCATTCATTTGAGACGCAATTGATATACATGTATTGGCAACAAATCAAATGTTCTAAATGATTCTTCTTCATTTTGGAATGTTTCTCCTACCCAATATTCAAATATGTGTCTTAAATATTATACTTTACATTGATCACGAATCTTTTACTTCCTGTCTTTACGACTCCCGTTCATTTGCAAGAGTTGTTGATTGCGTTTCCTTGATCGTTGGTCGAACTTCGATATCAACTAAATTAGATTAATCAATTAAGAAATGTTTATATCATGTTTATCCAAGCAAATAATTGTAACAACTACATTATTTTTTAGCAGTTTTGACACCTGAGCAGGGTAGCCTAGTGGCGTAGACTGGGGCTACTTTGCGGTTGAACGTCGTGGGATACGGAGGTCCCGCGTTCGAGCCCCAGGTACGGAGTTGTTGATCATTGTCACTACGGACACCCGGTCCGAAGGTCCAACCGATTACCGGCCCTTGGCATGGGTTGGTTCTCTGGCCGCTCTTGCCGGAGACAGATTGTGAGACTGTGGTTGGTTCCTCCACTAACGTGCTTTAGTAAACTCCGGGAGTCATATAGTATGGTAGCGGGCCCCCACCAAGGGCAGTAGTGGAACGACGCGAATCGGTCCCAGTATGGTTGCCTTGCAACTGAAGCGACTCGAGGAAATCATGCCATTCGCAATGACCCAGAAAAGACTTTTGCTTCTTAATTTGGCGTTTTAATTCATTTATTTAAGCCTACATACTTTATTCATATTACTTTCCAGGCAGTTATGATTTGGTCAAATGAATGAACGAAACATCGAGATATCAAACCGCATAATTCGATTTGTCGGACATAAAATAACACTTGAAAACACAAGACACATAGATGCAATCTCCGTAGCATTTCGTATCGTCGGTCCCCACGCTCTATCATTTCGTCGTGCGCGTGGTCATCATAAGATAAGGAGCATATATGAGGTACGGTTGATTGGACCATGGGCATTCAACAGAGTCAAGAAATTGACAGAAAAAGATTATACTGGATTATGTTGGTGCTGCCATCTTATATCGGCCCAGAACCTATGTTATGGATGTAAAACGAAATATTTTAAAGTAAGTTTAATCTGAAAATATGTCTTTGCTTGCTTTTAATTGAATATGAATATAGCAAAACATATTAACATCCAGTCTCATATTGAAAAGTTTAAAGTTAAAAATTGTGGAACTAAATGAATTTTTAATCTTCAAGACTTGTCTGTTCAATGTGAAAATTATGTATAAAACCAAGGTGTACAATTGTGATGAAGTAATTTATATGCTGATACAGTAGAATTTATCTTAGCTTTTCAACATAGCGCCATATTTGACTTTTCAGGCTCCACTTTTATTATTCTATGCCTATATAATGTTACTGTGCAGTGCACTACCATAAATGTACATCCTAATGAAGTGAATCATGTACCTAAAACGAGAATATTTCCTGAATAATTCCCCGGGATAATTCCCCGGTGAGAATATTATTACACTGGGCAAAACAATATTTCCGACCTTGACCGTGCATAATTTTCATCCGGGTACTCGACTTTGAAAGGTAAAACTTTTTTCCAAAGTTTTGTGTTTTTCTTCATAATTACAGTTCTTAGTGAGTATTTAGTTTGAATAAAACAGCACAAAAATGTTAAACAATAATTTTTAGATTTATGTAACCACATTTTTATCCTATTCGACGTAAGAATGCTATAAAAACTGAGTTGTAAAATGAGACATTTTTTCAGCCTGGAAAATTTATTTGGATTTTTCACTCATCAACATCTTGTCTATTTTATTGATATAGAATTCTGAGTAGATCAGCTCTATTAAAGCTATTTCACTGTTTTGGAATAAACATTCGCAATGTAACAACTATTCAAGTGAACAACACACTAGGCCTACATCTATATCCAATTTTCACCCTTCGCATTTTGGATGCAACAGGTTTAGAGTCCATTTCACTGCTTCATTTCGTCAGTAGAACCCCAAAAATAAGAAATCTGGAGACCATTGTGCAATAATATATGGAAAAGTATATTCATATTGTACATGAATGACATTTGTATATTTCAGATTTTTTAGTTTTTTGTGCAATAAGTCTGTGCCCTCTTGTAATTTGAAGAATTTCAGCCATGTTAATCTTATTGAAAATAACATGGCAGAGAATCATCTAAATATAAGAGACCACACATTTTATAAGCCAAACTAGAGGCCACTAGATGCAATCCAAGATATACAAATGTCATTCATGTACAATAGGAATATATTTTTCCATATATTCTTGCATATAATGATATTTTGATTATTATTTTTTATTAGGTTTTACTGACGCAATTAAACAGTGAAATGGACTCTACCTTCTTCTAATCTTAAGCCACTATATCGTGGCCTTCGTCCCAAGATAAATTCCTGCATGTTTTTTACTCTGCCAGATGTGAGTCATGTCGTGTGTTTACAGGTCATGTTTATATGTTCGCCATTTTTCACATCACAATTTGAATTGCAAGTTTTAGTCTTACTATAGACTCTAATAAGTCTTTCGCATTGCCACTGATACATGTAAAGTATGGTTCAGTCCATATCGTTTAGAAATGCAGATTGTTGTTGTGTTATATACGCAGCTGTTTCATGAGACATTTCCTCGGCTGTATTAGTCTCCTTGTTCATTTGTTACTCAATTTTGATTTTTGCAGATTTGTTTTCTAGAATATTATCAATTGACAACATTGCAATAATATTGTATAAAGATACTGCTTACGTTGAGGTGGATATCTAAAAATTTGAGCATTTCATATCAACGTAATTTTGACAAAATATATGTTTATTGCTTGTGCATTAGATATAAAAATCTTAGTGTTCTTTATTTAATGTTTCAGGTTTTGTTATGTGACGACAAAAGCACACATGCATAACCATGGAAATGTCTACAAAATACCAGAATAACAAGATAATGAACCATGTTATCAATTGACAATGTGAACTATGATAACAGAATATTTGATGAAACACATTAAAGGTTGTACCAGCTTTGCATACGATCCAGCAAGTGTATTATATGTTCTCTTATAAACCTTACAACCAAAGGGTTGTGTACCCTTTAACAAAAACTGATGAAACACACGCAGCAAGTAGCTATTATGAATAATCCTCGGATAAATTTCTTACCTGCGCTAATGGCTCGAAAACAATCAGGGCTCCGTAGCGATCTGGTGCCATTAGCCGATTTTGGCCCCGATGAGAATCTCAATGATTCGGCTGAAATTGAGTGGGTAAATAAGACATGGGTACGCAGAGTCTTGCGAATATGTGCTTTGTTGAGTCTGATTTCTGTCAGTGCGAATACACCAAAGACATTCCAACATGATAATGGACGACTAGCTTGGTTGAAATATGCGACATTTGTGATTGACCTGTGTGTGACGTTCTTGTTCACAGCTGAGATGATTGCAAAGATGCATATTAGAGGGGTGGTGAAGGTAGGTTCTCTTTTTCAATTAGGCATATTTCTTGGTATAAGCCATAAATTCTTCAAAATATTTTCTAAAACTGGATGGCGCATTACTTTTCTCGTCTTGTCATTTCCAGAGGTACGGTTCAATGAATTTGATTATAGATTTGTTTTTGGATGAAAATCTAGAACAGGTTGTCAATGTTAAGGTGGCCGATTTTGATACAGTATAATTTTCTAGCCTTCTACAAGGATTTCTATACAATTTTTATCAAGAAGCAGCTCAAGGTTTAAGATATGTATACATATTGGCTTTGAATATGTGAATACTAAATGAGAAATTGCAAATAGGAAATATTAAAATTACATTCTCAAAACAAGTATTTTTTTGTATTTAAGTCCTATGTTACCTCAAATAAAATCTCAATTTTATTCTATGTACACTACACGAGTATGTCTTTTCTAGGGAGAAGTTCCGTATTTGAAAGATAGATGGTGCCAGTTTGATGGGGTCATGTGCCTCTGCCTCTGGGTCTCTGTCATTCTACAAGTAAGTCATTCTACAGTTACCCAGGTAACTCATTCTACAGGTTAATCATTCTACAAGATAGTTACTCTACATGCAAGTCATTGCAAAGGTAAAATGATTTTAATTAATTTGTCTCATAATTTGTCAAAAATGGGAATGTTGATTGATAATTTTGACATGTTTGAGAAAGAATTTAAAATGTGAAAAAATATATACATGTAGCACCTCTGTTCCAAGTTGTATTTGGTAATAATGTTTCTTTCGCTTAAATATGCTATTCATTCCGCATATCAATCATATTATTATGTGATGTTAGATATTCTGTAACAACATTGGCATAATTTGTATGCCAATTTTTAACAGACACTTCAGACATTTTAATGCTTTTTGTCGAGGTTACAAATTTGTTATTTTATTTACAGATATTTGAGCTGACTGAAGTCGTCCAGGCATATTCTGGGTTTTCAATTTTGAGAGCACCAAGACCTTTGATCCTGATCCGAGTTTTCCGGGTGTTCCTCAAGTTCAGTCTGCCTAAAACGAGGATAGAGCAAATCTTTAAGTAAGTATGTGTTTATATTTTCCAGGCCCTTATCCAGCTTTTTTGCCAATGGGAGGGGGTCAGTGTTTCAAAAAACCCAGGGGGGTTTGGCACTAAGCGCAGGATTTCATTTTGTGTTTTCATTAACTAACTAAGGTATAAAGCTGAAGCTGTTCATTCATGACCATAATTAATGTGAACATTTGTTTTGCAGGAGATCAAGTCAGCAGATCTATAACGTCACCATCTTCTTCCTGTTTTTCATGACGTTATATGCCATATTAGGAGTGCAGTTCTTTGGGGATCTTAAGTACCATTGTGTCCGTAAAGGCACAGATCCTGCGTGAGTATTGCATTAATTATTTTGGATTAGTAATTGACAGTTTTTCCGACACTATACTGCATGTTAAGCTTATCTTGGATATGTTGGCACAGTAATGAATCATTTTTTGGGGACTTGAATATATTTTGAAGGGGAGGTTAGGAGATGGTTGGGGCTAGAAGAAGAAGGGGGTGGTTAGAAGGGGGTAGAGGTTTAGAAGGGAGGAATTTAGGAGGGAGAAGGGACTAGGAAGAGGAGGTAAAAAGTCAGGTTTTGATATAGAAAGTTTAGAAACCATCTCATATATTGTATGTAATTTGATTATGGTAGTATACATGATATTATTGAACTTAATTCCCATTTTGCAATTGCTCTTGTCTGGTGAGTAGTATTTATTGGATGAGCAAAATATAGGAGCAATATGTCTTGCTCTTCCAGGCAACCCCTACCTAAATGATTCAATTAAAATTGATGATTTCTGGGTTTTAGGAAAATGTTGGTTAAAATGATTTATTGATTCCCTCTAAGTATTGCTCCAAGATATGGTTTCCTGGCTGATAGTGAAGTCACTGTGTTCATATTAAAGTTGTAGATTTTTCGATTGCAGGAAAATCTCGGTGAATGATTTAATGATTCCCGATACATATTGTTCCCCGATGAAAAATTCTGGCTTCCAGTGCCCTCCTCCTATGGTATGTATGGCTCTACAGTTGAAACCTGATGAGAGAGGATATAGTGGCTTCAATGAGATAGGTATGACCTTGACCTTCAGAATACTGTTTATCATCCGTCTGCTCTAAACTTGTCTTACCATATTCTTCTGCTGTTTCTCTTAAAATTTTGAATGAACTACTTGATTTTCTTGCATTTTTACATAATTTAGAATGTCCACTATATGCCTGTTTACTTTATTCCTTGCTGATCCCACTTTAGTCGACTTTAGTCTGCATATTAAATTGTGACATGTTTCTCAAAAACCAGTCCTCATATATCTATTTTGCAACTGCTTATTTTTTCTATGTGTGCATATCTTCAATATTATAGGTACAAGTTTCTTCACTGTCTACGAGGCTGCATCACAAGAAGGTTGGGTGTTTATCATGTATAGAGCCATAGACAGTCTTCCCTCTTGGAGAGCCTTTGTTTACTTCATCTCCATGATATTTTTCCTTGCCTGGCTTGTCAAGGTATTTTTCATTCAACTTTATTATAAAGATTCGGGAAATGTTTCCATATTTTAAAGATTTAAGAATTTTTGACCCTTTCCATATTTTTATAAAGATAAAGATTTCTTGCCTTTTATTTTTTGATATCAGTCTCTTTCCATATTATTAAATTTTAAGACTTTTCCATATTATAAAGATTTAAGTTTTTACCCTTTCCCATATTACTTAGATTTATGACTCTTTGACCTTTTTCCTTATCATTAAATTTTGGGGATCATTCAGTCGGTATCTGAAATAAACATCTCTTTGAAATACATATATTAAAAAAAGATATACATGTACGTAAACCAAGAATAAAGTCTTAATACTGCCATCTTAGTTTCCATTCTTTGAGAAAACTGTACATTCTTTCTATTCTCTCCATTTTGTACATTTCATTGTTTCTTGTAGAATGTCTTTATTGCTGTTATTGTTGAAACGTTCGCTGAGATAAGAGTTCAGTTCCAGCAGATGTGGGGGCCTAGAGGAAGCCCAACTGATTCAGATGCTTCTCAGGTATATTGTACATGTTTATTCTTTATTTGCTGAGATAAGAGTTCAGATCCAGCATGATGTGGGGGCCTAGAGGAAGCCCAACTGATTCTGATGCTTCTCCGGTATAGTCACAATTAGTCATGGCTATTTGCATTCAAGTCATGACTCATGTACCCATTTTTTATTAGAGATTTCTTATATAATGTTACTGTTTGACAAATTGAGATTGTTTACAGAGATATATCCAATATTAGGAAAAACACTAAATTTGCTGTTCTAAAGCAGCATAGTTCTTGTTCAAGAATAAAATTGGCCAAAAACCATTGAAATAACAAATAACATTAATAACAAATATACACAGCCAATATTATTCGACACCATTTTGGCATCGAAAAAATTCGTCACTGTTCCAGCACCATTTCGACACCATTCTGGCACTGAAACTGTTCGACACCAAAATTTGCTACCGGACTCTTCAGTCCATTTGGTGCCGAAACGGCGTCGAAAATCAGATTGCATTTTGGGGGTGTAGTTGACTACAAAACAAATAAGTTTCTTTTGTGTCCATTTGCATTTAGGTAGTCGAGTCAGATGGTATGAACTGGAAGCTTGTAACAATAGATGAAAATAAACCAAAAGGTTTGGCGCCCGCTTTTATCCAAAGGATCTTGAAGTCGACTATCTTCCACAATGCTATCCTTGTTATCGTATTGGGTAATGCTATCACTATGGCCTGTCTTAGCTTTAACCACAAACCAGGAGTGAATATTGATGACGTCAAATTGGACAACTTTTACAAAGCGGAGGTAAGTATTTTAAAAGTAGGACAAATGAAAATGGGGGTTGTCTGAGATTAAATGCGAATACCCTTTATGGGTCCATACTTGTAATTTACACCGTTGGTTAAGGCTCCTACTTGCTTTTTTAGAAATTAATGTAAGGAATCACCAGGAAATCATGTAATTTTCTGTAATGCATGCTGAATGCTGGGGGATCACTGTTACATTTTTACTATATATTTTTGCATTATTTTTAGGTTGTTTTTACTATAATCTTCAACCTTGAGACAATATTGAAGATCTGGTGTCTTGGATTTACGAGTTATTTCAACAGAGCTCTACATAAGTTTGAACTTGTTCTTGCAATCGGAACGACACTTCACCTGATTCCCGTTCTCTACAGGTACACCCCTCTCAATATGTTCGTCAATCTGAAGTCCCATTTTGGATAGCATTTTAAAGCCTGTTTATGCTTGGTGATTAAAACAAATTGAATTTGTCAAAAATTTCTGAACTATTGTAATAAAGAGTTCCAAAGATTCAAACATTAGCAGGATTTTAACGTGCATTTATATTTTATAGGACTGAGTTTGCAGCGTTCCAGGTGTCCAGGGTGGCTAGACTTATCAAGGCTTCCCCTATGCTGGAGGAATTCTGCGCCAAGGTAACACCTCCCCCTCCAGTTTTGTAATACAGGCTGTCCATAAAGCTTGTCAATCTTTCTCTGTTCTACTATATTTTGCATTATTTTATTACTCAAAGCAATTTCTTCGTCTGTCTTTATTTTAATTTAGATCTACACATGTAATTATTATTTATTACTTTTGCAGATATTTGGACCAGGCAAGAAACTTGGTAGTCTACTACTTTTTACCATGTGCCTGCTGATCATCACATCCAGTATAAGTCTGCAGTTGTTCTGTAGTATAGACCAAGAGAATTTCGACAAATTCACAACTTTCCCAAATGTAAGTAATGCAACACTGTTATGGATTAGCTTGGATAAAATGAAATTCTGTAAGTGGAACACCTTTCAGGTGGGGCACTTTTTTGAGGAACTCCTCCCAAGTGGAACTCATTTTAGCGGAAAACTTTTTTTTTATCAAGAGGAACAGTGGAACACTTTTCCTAAAAGGGTTCCATTTTCACAGGTTTTACTGTCTCAGTAAAATGATAATATGTTTTTCACTATTTTCCAAAGTTAACAGATCTTAAGAAATTCTTTACTTTGAGGGCATAATTATTGATGAATTAAATATAATTGCATGTCAAACATATCCTTCATTTTTGAAAATCAGCATTTTTGTATCATATTTGCCCAGAGAATGATGTTACATTTTCCAAATGACTCAGAAAATTGGTGGATGAAACTCTGATGCCATTTTACAGATTGCATCATATTTATTAATAACCACTAATGGATGTCTTCATTCCCACTGCCAAAGATAGACCTCATACCTTCTTAACCTATATATCAAATTAAAGTATGTCTCCAGTTGAAATGTTTTGCCCTAACCCAGGAATAGAGGAAAAATTACTTCTAGATCTTTTATATTGTCCATGTTTCAAATTCTAACTTTGAAGTTGCACTTTAAGCCACTCAAATTGTATTGAATTGTAGTTTATTGCATTGATGTGAAGTTTATTGTATTGAAGTCTAGCTTATTTGGTATTGTGATTTCTGAAATGGGGAATTTGCATTAAATCATATTAAAGCGCAATTCATTTCATTTCTAGGTATTTTATAATGTTTATGTTTCAAATTCTGACTCTGGAGTTGCGCTCTAAACCACTCAAATTGTATTGAAATGTAGTCTATTGTATTGATGTGTTGTTTATTGTATTGGAGTATTCATTTCATTTCTAGGCCTTTATGTCCATGTTTCAAATCTTGACCCAGGAAGGCTGGGTCGAAGTTATGGACAACACTATGCTTGCAATTTCAACCTATACTGGTTACGACAAACTCGTCATTCCCACCGCTATATATTTTTATATTTATCATCAAGTTGTTACGCTGGTGAGTAAATCGGGCATTGCGTCATGGCGTGTGACATTGGGAGCATTAATTATCATATTGTCAAATTTTAGATCACATTGTAAAAATAATATAATGTTTTCTCCCTCCATATAACATTATTCAATTATTCATTACTTTAATCATTTTTTTATTTCCATTCCAATAAAGCATTTTTCATTTTATTTTACCTTTTTTTTGATATTGCACAGTATTTGAGTGTTTTCATTTTTACATGTGATATAAAATTTGACATTTGACGCTGTAATTGCGCATGCGACATTTATAACAAAGTCCACTGCATTGTATCTTATACAGTTTACACTTGTTTTTAGCGATATTTGTGTGAAAATTAATTCAATAAAATATTTTAATTATTTTGGTAATTGAAATTAATATTTATGTTTGGGTTGGTTTTTGATTGATTATTTTCACTGACACCGAATTGCCAGAATCAGAAATAATGAAACACAATTTGTGATTTTTGGACACCCTGTATTTCTTTTTGCCATGAATATAAATATCTAAATCAAGTGTAATCATGTAGCGCAAACTACAGGGTACCCTAAAAATTGTCAGTGACTGAATTTCATTGCCAACTTTTTTTGGTTACCCTGTATGAAGTACAAAACTTAAGGTCCCCTAAATTACTATTTGGTTCGAGCTAAGAGTGATAAGCAGAATTTGCTATATTTTGCAAGAGAAGCATAAATATGCGCATAAATAAGTTGCCTGCCTGCGTTTGCCTTCGATTGGTCAGTTTAAATTGTGCTTGACCAATCAGCATGCATCAAAATTTACAATCAAAATTAAAATGTTCATCTACTACCAAAAATGTTACAGTTTATACTAAATTGCAATATTACCAATCTTAACTCTGAATACCTTTCCTATTTTTTGCATTTGTGCATTTCTGCATTTAGACATTCACTTTTGTGCATTTTGATTGCAACATGTGCATTTACCAGTCCTTTTTCACATATATTTTTCCTAGCTTCATTCAGGGGAACTTTCAGATGCTCAAATTTTAATTTTACAACTTACATCAAGTGTAAATCCCCCCCCCCCCTAACAGGCTTTGGTTTCTGCAGACGAAATAAGCCTAGGCTTGGCAAGTTGCCAAATAATTTTTGCATTTTGAGTTGTTTTTATCCATTATGAGAAGTGTTATATTTGTACCCTCTGATCTGTGTATCATTTGATTCCTCCCCATAACCTTGCTGAGTAATTGTAATATTTTTCTTTTCTTTTTTCATCATACGAGGGTTGTTCCATGAATCATGAACTAATTTGAACTTTCTTTCTTTAACAAAAATCCCCAAATAACATATTTATATAATACATGATATCTTCATGTATGTACCTTTATATATGCAACTACATGTATTACTATAGTTGCTCAATTTATATTTCAATAGATTATATAATGAATCAATTAAAAAAAGTAAAAAGTTACACATTTTCTCAAGTCAACTCCTCTGTACATGAGCTAGTCTCATCTATATGTTTTACTCAGACAAATACATACTCCAGTTTGTTTTAAACCATTCATCTTTCTCATAAGAAATCACATCCTCACAATTTTTTGAATAATTTAATTCTTCATAGAAGGATTACAGGGAAGAATGTGATCAAACAATATGAAAATTTTCATAGCTGGACATTCATTTTTATCTCAAAACTTATTGAAAATCCCTCAAAAAATATTTTTTTCAATATGGGTACACTGTAACATTTTTGATAAGGATGAAATATTTTAGATTGGGAATGATGCCAAAATATCTAACAGTGTTGTGTGAAAATGTAGAATTTAGTTCCATTTTAACCTATATCCACCCCGCCCATGGCTAACCACCTTTCAAGTCCCACTCCCATCAGGGAATCGCTTGGATTTTGGGGGTATCTTGGGGGTAAAAAAATCTCCCTGATTCTACTCATTTTTACACACTGTTGATATATTTGGGCATGGCCTCTCAGCATGCCACTCTGAGAGCTTTTTGCATCAAAGCCCCATAAATCATATACAAATCCATCATTCAGATTAAAATTTGATCAGCTGAAGCACTGAATATTCCCTCTGCGCAGCTCATTTAACAAAAAATGGTCATGACCATATTTTTATTTTAGCAACACAGAGACCGTAACCTTCCCGCATTTTCTTTCCTACTTGCTTATAAATGCATATAACTGCCGTCGCAGCATTTTGTATTTGCGATTGTCTTTGCTCCAATTCAGTCTAACTTACAAGTTTTTAGATTGTACAATGAATTAATACCTGTGATTGAATCAAATGGTCAGAGCAGATAGCATAATAGTTTTGGACATGAAATATATTGTCACTTGATTTCTTTTCTGACTTATTCATTAATACTTGGTCATTCCTTGATATTTCTTGAACTCTGTGAAGCGAGGTACAGGCTTATTAGGGATTGGGCTCTAAATATGGCAATTACTGTAGTTCCCAATACATTCTGCTGAGTCACTAGATTGCATAGTCTATCTGCTCTGACACTTGAAGAACTTGTGTGTTGGACTAATTGCTGACTATCACAGCTGACACCACAAAGAATATAGTTCCTATATATTCATCCGCCAAACTGCAGGGCAATTTCACTCTATCATGATTGTCAGTTTTTGAAATACAAAATATTATTGAAAAGAGTAGAATTAGCAAGGAAGAAAGAAAACAGGCATATTGATAACACTCTAAATTGTAAAGAAATGCAAGAAAATTTGCTACTTCATTCAAGTTTAAGAGAGAAATGAGTGGAATCAGCAAGGAATAAACTTAACAGACATGAAGTTTACACTCCAAATTGTATGACTCCATCATCAGCCCTAAGTTTGACGGATGAACATTTAATACTCTTCAATTTGATTGGCTGCTGTGAGGATTTATGACGTCTAGTCATCTAAACTACACTCTTTGAATCGTTCACCCTGATGTGAATAAATGCTGTCATTTGATTGGCTGTTTATACTAACTGGTTCACTTGCAGGCGTTCATGACGATGTTTCAAATCCTAACACAGAAGGGTTGGGTCGAAGTGATGCATGATATTTTATTTGCATCTGGTCTACGATTGGCCCCGCTCGTGGCCATCTATTTTATATTCTATCATCTCTTTGCCACATTGGTAAGTCCTTATAAGGGGTTTAAGACATCACTGTTGTAACGTGAAAATGTTGTATTATGAAATTGTAATATCATGACAATGTTGTATTATGACATTGAAATGTTATATTATGACATCAGAATGTTATATTATGACATCAGAATGGTGTATTATGACATCAGAATGTTTTAGTATGACATCAAACTGTTGTAGTGTGAGATTGTGATTTCATAGTATGATATGGATCACAATGTTGTCTTATCATATTGACATATGACATTACAATAATATTGTTTATGACATCAATTGTTGTAATGTCAGATTGTGATGTTGTATTGTAACATCACAATGTTATGTGATACAATATCACAATGTTATATTTTGACATCACAATGTTGTATTTTGACATCGCACAGTTGTATTAGGACATCACTTTGTTGTTGGTTTAGGCTCACTTGTTGTTTGAGAACAATCATTTTTGCTTTTTTTATGTCTCACTGTTTCTTCATTTTTGAGTTCTGTTTGTAGTTTACTTGAAGAAACTGAAAGTTCATTATTTTACTTTGTATCTTCTTATAGTGTCATTTTCTGTTTTTTTCAGTTTTGTATCGCATTATCAGTTATTTAATCACTTGTTTTGCAGTAAAGGTCGCAAACAGCGTTAGCCAATCAGAAAGCTTATTTACTCATACCAAGCTGTTTGCAGGGACTGCTGGTCACTATTATTGTTTTAGATTTATTATGAGGTCAAATCAAACCATTATTTAACACCCAGCAACCAGGATGGTTTCTGAGAAGGTTAATGAAAATACAGGATGAAATCTAGTGCTGAAGGCTGATGTGAAAAAGTCAACCCACTTTGATATTAACGTATCATAAAGTCTAAAGGGATTACAGTTTTGGGAGGTTTTTTGGAATAATAGGGACATTGCCAAATTGGTGAGACAAAAAATTCTGTAAAAATTTTGTCAGGGCATTTGCCTCAACTTTGTTGATTTTAGATCAAGTTACATGGAAATTCATTTTTAGCTCCTTAGTAAAATTGATGCCATGGTTTGGGAATAATTAATGGTATGACTTGATCTTATGTGTATTGCTTATCAGGATCTATGGTTCTTGAAAGCAGTACACAAATACTAAAAAATGTCATGGTGGTCATGTTTTAAAATGCAAAATAGAGTGGAAAAGAGTGAAATTAGCAAGATATAAAGTAAACAGGCATGTAGTCTCTAAATTGTATAGAAATGCAAGAAAATCAAATACTTCATTCAAATTTTAGAGAGAAATAAATGAAATAAACATGAATTCTATGACATTTTTTCAAGCAGACGGCTTGTATGTTGCTCTTGTATGTGAATTAGCATGATGAATCTGTTTATTTAAATTTAGTCTTATGTACAGCCCAAAACTATCCCCCATTCTGTTATATGGGCCAATTATTTCATTGGCCATGCATTTTTGAGTCTGTACAATAGACTTGGTAGTCATAGTGCATGTTGTCTTCCTGTGATTACAGATTAGCATGTTGCCATGGTGATAGATGCACAAAGCATAGTTGCATGCGTTAGCAGGTACATGTCCTAAAATTCAATGTATAAAATAGTGTTCAAAAAGTTATGGGAAAATGCCATGTTTCTTTTAACAATGCATTTTAAACAAGACATTTCTGAACAATGCATTTCTAAACCAACATGCTTAAGGATTCTCGTATACAGTAGACGTCAGTAGTACTGATTATAATTCATAGCGATTTTCTAATAACTTTTTGAATCCTCTTTTGTTGTGGTTAATTGATGTGGTAATTTGTTGTTTAAAATGTGTAAAATTAAAATTTATATTACATAGTAACTCTAAATTAATTATTTTGAAGCAATGTCTAATATTATGTTGAAAAAATGTTTTGTGTCAGTGACAATTTTTTACACAATCAAATAAAAACAATTTGCAAATAATGTGTTTTAACAAGATATTAAATAAAAGAACAAAGAGAAGTGATAATTCCGCTCTACGTTATTTTGGCAGCGAATTTGACAGTTTGTTTTTAACATTATTGTATTTTACTGTTTAGATTGTTTGTTTCTATAAAGATTGTTTGTTTCTTACCTGATTGTTGTTTTCTATTTCAGATTGTGTTGAGTTTGTTTGTTGCTGTCATCCTGGACAATCTTGAGTTAGATGAAGACATCAAAAAGTTAAAACAGGTAACTTACGAAAAAATTGTTCATCTGCTCTTGCTTTTTTCAGATTTTCTCTCTAAAATTTGAATGAAGTGTCTGATTTTCTTGCATTTCTATACAATTTAGAGTGTTGACTAACATGTCTATTTATTTTATTCCTGCTGATTCGACTCATTTTCACTCTGTTTAGCATTTTAAAGTGACCACCATAACATTTTTCATACATTTAGTCACCTGAAGTCAAAATACCTTTCCTTTAACTTGTCTAGTTATGTTACAGCTTAAGGCTAGGGAACAAAGTGCTGAAGGTCAACAGAAAATGCCACTTCGTCTGCGAATCTTTGAAAAATTCCCGTAAGTTTTTCCTTATGCAGTCAAGCTGTACTCAAGTGTGTTACCATTCAATAAGTAATTTGCTAATTTAAAGAAGTTTATTTATTCCAGATGCGAGTAGAAATAATCTTGATTTACGTCATTAAAAATTCATTCATTCATTTAGGTCATGTAAAATTACATTTAGAAATGTGGTTTTGAAAAGAGTTTATCAACTTTGAAAATTTAATTTTCTTTGAAAATGTGACTTCTAGGTCGGGGAGATTCCCCATAGACCCCATGTTGTAAAACCACAAAAAGTGAAATATATTTTCTTGTGTTGGGCAGATAATATTTTCTTTTACTGGACATATTTTAATTTGTATAACTGTCAGATACATAAAGGTAATATGAAAATCGAACCACTAAAACTGATGCATATTCAAGTTTAAGGGAATTTTGTAATACCCTGCCATGTTAATTCCCCAGAATCAGCCACCTGGTGGCGAAACTTGTAACTACCTACTCGCATCTAAATTGATTGACATGAGTTACATTTCCTTTTTCTCAGGGACAGCCCACAAATGGTGAAATCTGGACAAAATGTCAACGATTTCTCAACACCAAAAGTCCGGGACAGTTTTCTGCGGCAATTTGTTGTCGACGAAGCTGAGCTTGATATAGTAGCAGATGGCGATGATATGTCAGCATTTTCAAAACAGGACAAAGTGACGCTCTTGCAACCAGCGCCACGGTTACGCAGCAAAACAAATGTTGGCCCAAAGAAATCTGGTGTCTCAAACATTATAAGGTAACTTTTTGTACCCTGAATCTCAATCAGCAAGCCTCTAAATACAACAAATGATTTTGCCGCTTGAGTTGAATTCTAGCAAACCCTTTTTTGTATAGATATCCAAATAATGACAATTGCTAATTCCATTCCAATCAAAATACTGGTCATTTTCATGAATTTATGAATGATCTTAGAAACAACACTGTTCATAATTTAATGAAGAGGCCATTTACATATTTTTAAGGGAGTCTAACAGGCAAAGAATTCTGGGAGATGACTCAGCACAAATGTTGGCTTCTGGGACAAAGTCTCTCTTGTCTAAGCAGTACAGATTACGAATGGATAGAAGGTAAACTATTGAAAATAATATCAGAGGATTTTACATATCCGTACACATGTAAGAGTCAAAGTTTTACATGTACAGCAGTTTACTTTTGGGTAGCCATTTTGTTTTATGGCAGCCAGAAGTTTTCAATAACACCATTCATCAGATTTATTTCAAATATATGCACAGCTGTTCTTGCAGCTTGTTGGAGACTTGCAGTTTGCTATTTTGTATTTACTGCCTATTTGGTCAGAGGAAACACGTAGAATATCTTTGAAGAGTATAAGGGAAAATACTCCACTCTCTGTTGGTTGCATGGTTCCGTTCACGTTTTGTGCCTTTTATAATTCCAGAAGTATGAGAGGACCCAGAGTTGGAAGTTTGAAAGGTAAACAGTTCTCCACACTGAGGGAGAATGGAGATATAGGGGGGACTCTGAACACTAGTAGAAGGACAGAGGACTTTGACATCAAGATTCTTCAACAAAAAAAACATGAGGCTGAAGTCAAAAGGTACATTTTCATCATCATTATTACTAATTTTTGATTTCACATGTTTAATTTATTAAGTGTGAAATTCTTGAGGGTTGATGCAAAAGTGTTAACCCTCTCTGGTACCATAAAGAAGGGGGAATTTCCCAGAATTCATAGATGTACCTTCTTCCATATCTTGAGGTTCATCATGATACATATAGGTAGGTTCAACGATGATTTTTGGGGTATTGCCTCCTCTAGGTACTATATAAATATTATTAGATCTTACTGGTTGATCTGGGGTTCTGATGAAATACATTTACATTGGAAAATGATTGAATGTTTAAAATTGCCTAAAAATTTATTCACTCTTTATCTACGAAGTGTATTATTTTCTGGCATCCCTGTTTCAGCTCATGTCTATTTTAAGCCTTTTCTTTTCAGAACTTCTTGATTTCCTGCCTTTTCTATACAATTTGTAGTGACTTCATGCCTGTTTACTTTATTCCTCGCTAATTCCACTCTTTTCCATTGTATTTTCACTTTCTATTATGACCCAGCATGAAATCAAATTTAAAATTGAACCATTTTAGAAACCAACAGGAAGATGACCTTAGAGAGAACCATCCATACTTTGACACACCCCTCTTTGCCATTGGTCGAGAGAGCAAGTTGCGGAAAATCTGCAGAATCGTCGTCACGGCCCAGTATAAGTTTCTCAAACGTGACCCATTAACAGGGAAGGAGATTAAAAGCAAATATAAACATATACAGTAAGATTTTACCTGTTTTTTTATTGAACTGACATTTTCTCTAGCATATTGTTATATTAATTCATAACGAAAATATTCACTCTACACTACTCGAAAAAAGGAAAAATATGATGATATTGTATATTAAATGGACATTACTGTAAATATGATAATATTTTTACAGAAAAATGCTGGGCTTGGTTCCATATCTTGATTGGTTGATGATTTTTGTCACAATCTTTTCAAGTATATCTATGATGTTTGAGACACCTGAATACAGAGTCATGGAGGAATCATATCTCCAGGTAGGTATATTTTGTATTATATAAGGTTTGAGACACCTAGATGCAGTCATGGAGTAATCATATCTCCAGGTACATTTTGAATTCTATGCTAACTGAGAGACATCTGACTTCAGAATTGTGGAGATATAAAATACAGAAAATATTGTCCCGTATTTTAGTTCATAATTGAACATTTTAATAAATATAGCCAAAAATAGAATTCTGTTAATTCTGATTTTATGTCACTGTATTTCAAAAAATATTTGCTTATTGTGATCTGGCTATTGGTGAGTTTATAAATAACTTTGTTCCAATTAATTACAGATTGCAGAGTATGGATTTGTTGTGTTTATGAGCCTTGAGATGGCGCTGAAAGTCCTTGCCCATGGATTATTCTTCACCCCACATGCAGTAGTCAGCGATACAGGGGGTGTTCTCAACATGTTTATATATCTGGTAAGGGGTGATCTCTAGTTGCCAAAAGTTATGGAAAATGAAGTTAATACATCCCAACTACTGTACCCTTTTCAAAAGTCTCCAAGAAACTATTTCTTACACTCTTAATGTGTCTGATACCTGGGGGAATGTCCAGTTCCAGTTTTCAACATTTGTGAAAAATGTTGTGATAGATCATGATTAGTGAAAACATACCCATGGCAAAAGTCTACAAAATTCTACACAAAATTCATACACTCTAATACAACTGATACCTGAAAAACACAAACCAGATCCCTTAAAAAGAAGCAATGAATGATCAGATATATATTTCCTAGATTGATAATGCCATAGGTTGTAGTTAGCAGTCTGTCCAAGGAAATGTAGGATTAACTTAGACCTACTGCATTAACTTATTGCCAATTTTGAACAAGTACTACTTACTATGACATCACCTATCTAGTAAATATATCATAGCTTTGATGTACCAAAACGTGGCAAGTTTTATTGTTTGTTTTTCAGATCAGCGTCATATTCTGCTGTTGGATGCCAAAGAGAGTCGAACCATTCTCAGGGGCCCAAATGTTGATGATCCTTCGCTGTTTAAGACCCCTTAGAATATTCATCCTTGTACCTCACATGCGGAAAGTTGTATACGATCTTGTCAGAGCTTTCAAGGAGATTCTGCTGGTAATTTTATATGCTTAGAAGGCATCATTATTTAAAGAGGGCATCATTATTTAGATAAGCTAGCACAATTTAGAGATGGCATCAATATTTAAAGAGGGCATCATTATTTAGAGAGAACATCTTTATTTAAAAAGGGCATCACTATTTATAGAGGGCATTGCTATTTAGAGAGGGCATTTTTATTTAAAAAGGGCATCACTATTTATAGAGGGCATTGTTATTAAGAGAGGGTATCACTATTTAGAGAGGGCATCAATTTTTAGAGAGGGCATTGAGCATTGTTATTAAGAGAGGGTATCACCTCCTGTACCTCACAATAACATCATTCAGACTGAAATTTCAAGAATAACAACATTCAAAGTACAGTGAAACCTTATATCCAAACACCTCTCTAATCTGAACACCTCTCAATATGAACACTTTTTTCAGTCCCAAATTGTTGATCTCCCATTGACTCACATGTTAGTAAAACTTTGAAATGTGAACACCTGCTGATCTGAACACTTTTGGTCAGTCCCAGAGGAATTCAGATTAGGCAGATTTACTGTATAACATTATTGAATTCCAGGTATCAGTCCTATTGCTTGCGTTGATGTTCGTTTTTGCCAGCTATGGGGTACAGTTATTTGGTGGAAGGCTAGCAAGGTGTACGGATTACAACTCCAAGACTGGTGCTGGCTCTTCAAGGGTAATATATTTCATTTTACAATTTTATATTATTACAGTATGTCACCCCCAGGAAGTGGTTTTCATTGTTATAGAATTTAGAATTAAGAATTTATTAAGGCACGGCCACTGTGTTATCAGGGCATGGCCAGACTACAATTATACAAACTACATTTATACAGTTACATTTATACAGTCACATTAATCTACAAAGATATTGTGTTGTAATGGTTGCGATGTTATAGGTTTCTTTTCTTAAAGCACATGTCAATGAAATGCAGGACTGTCTCCATATTTGAATTGTATGACATAATGTATAGGAACTTGTTTTCCTCAGTCATGTTAGAAAAGTCCTTATTTGACGTTTGAATTTTATCTAATAATATAGTGCGCTCACTTTCGTAGATTTTGCATCTCATAACAAAGTGCAGCTCATCTTCAACACAATTGTCTGAACATTTTGTACATATGCATTCTTCTACATTTTTATTTTTGTATCTTCCTGCTTCAACCTCTAATGAATGGTTATACCCACTGTTTTGGTGACCTTAATCTAGCTACAAGCCTCTGTGACCACCCCCCTCTACTTGATTACACTTCTCAGGCCCGTAGCCAGGATTTGCCAAGAGGGGGTTCAGTTTTCAAAAATTTCCAGGGGGGTTTACATTTGACAATTTTGGCCCAAATATGGCTAAAATTACTTGTGAAGAGCTCAAAATGGTGAAAAACTGCATGATTTTGAAATAATTTTTGGCCAGGGGGGCTACGGGTCTTCTTCTTCTAACACAATGTAGTGGGAGTCACAAGGCCTTGTAGCTAGACTATGGTGACTTTTGTAGCCATTTTAATAATTATGCTGTAAAAATCATTACTTATGGGACACCCTGTACTTATATATGCATATTTGGGTTTGTTTAGGAGGAATGTAACTCCACATTTATGCGGAAAATGTTCGTCACTAAGATGCGTCTCAATGAATCTGATGACATCGGCCCACAGTTTCTCGTACCCAAGATTTGGTAAGTCATATTTTATTCCAAGTGAGTAGTAGGTATCAAGAGTATAAATGCAGAATTTCAAAATGACTATTCATTTCCTTTTAAGGTCCATATGTTATTTTCTGAAAAAGGAATTGAGACATTTGAATAGATTTGTTATTGAAGATTTAATTTTTGAAAGAAAAAAACTGAAAGTAATAGCTAAAAATATTGTCATCAAAACTATTCATCTGTTAAGCTAGTTTTTTGCTTGGTTATGTTTACTAAGTTGTAGTTCCCTAAGTTATCATTTTCATGAACACTGGAAGTGTTATAGTCTCCAACTTCTTTGTGGACAGTGCTCGGGTTTCGGCGGTTGGTATTTGATGGTTGGCATCTGTAACAAATGGTAGGTTGTGACATTTTGTGATTTTGGATGTAATACCTTGTGAACAGTGTCTCTGTTATTGGTACATTGCAGGGCTAATCCACGTAACTTCAACTTTGACAGAATCAGCCATGCTATGCTTGCATTATTTGAAGTGCTCTCACTGGAAGGATGGATTGAGATTAGAGATGTCCTCATCAACAGAGTTGGTTCAGTAAGTTGTTTTATTTTCTGTTTGCCACTGCTAGTTGTTTATAGCATCATTAAACCCTTTTATGCCTGGGTCAGATTTGCTCTTGTTTTGTTCAAATTTGTATATTCAATTATCAGTTTTGAACAAAATACTCAATCGGCCAGGCGCCGGCTGATGAATCACAGCAAATGTGACCCAAGCATTGGTTCAAATAAGACCAGTATCTGTAGGAAACATGCAACATGCAAATATATGATATATGTACTGTATATGTTGATCTATTTGTGTTCTTTTTCAGCAACATGCCACATATGTTCATCTTTTGTGGGGGGTTTTCAGCAACATGCCATATAAGTTCATCTATTTGTGTTCTATTTCAGCAACATGCCATATATGTTCATCTATTTGTGTTCTATTTCAGCAACATGCCATATAAGTTCATCTATTTGTGTTCTATTTCAGCAACATGCCATATAAGTTCATCTATTTGTGTTCTATTTCAGCAACATGCCATATATGTTCATCTATTTGTGTTCCTTTTCAGCAACATGCCATATATGTTCATCTATTTGTGTTCTTTTTCAGCAACATGCCATATAAGTTCATCCTTTGTGTTCTATTTCAGCAACATGCCATATATGTTCATCTATTTGTGTTCCATTTCAGCAACATGCCATATAAGTTCATCCTTTGTGTTCTATTTCAGCAACATGCCATATATGTTTATCTATTTGTGTTCTATTCCAGCAACATGCCATATAAGTTCATCTATTTGTGTTCTATTTCAGCAACATGCCATATATGTTTATCTATTTGTGTTCTATTCCAGCAACATGCCATATAAGTTCATCTATTTGTGTTCTATTTCAGCAACATGCCATATATGTTCATCTATTTGTGTTCCTCGGATGCATGATTGGTCTGACACTATTTGTGGGTGTGGTGATCGCAAACTACAGTGAAAATAAGGTAAATACATACTTACATATCAAATACACGTATCACTGAAATATTGAATCAAAAAAATGAACGCCAATATGAAATTCTTCTGTTTTCTCAAGAATTGATTTCTTATTTTATTACGCATCCAGGGAACAGCTCTGCTAACAGTTGACCAGAGGCGTTGGTTGGATCTTAAGGGGAGAATTAAACTGGCCCAACCTCTTCATATACCCCCTAGACCAGGTAAGATACATATGGTTTATGCGTAAGGTATTGCTCAGCTTAACACACTTCTGTTGTATTCCATGTTAACATTAATATCATGATTTCTGTCCTAAACATGGACCTACTTTGCAATATGCATATTGACTCAGGACATTATCAAGAAATTGTGTGTCACTGCTGTATGAATATTTTTGATAATTCATAAGCACTTTAATTAACATACATATATGTATATGTTACATGATCTTCAGTCTTCACTTTCGTTTCCTTTTCTAGAAAACAGCAGATTTCGCAGCTTTATGTATGACATCACACAGAACATAATCTTCAAGCGTTTCATCGCTATTATGGTGATGGCCAACTGTGCTCTGTTGAGTATTCCGGTGAGTGCTTAAATTGATACATTACATCAAAAAATATATATGGAATTTTATATATTGTCTTAAGTGCAAGTGCCTGACTTTAGAATATGCCTTTATAGTACCTCATGTTCAAATGATTATTCCCCTAGGACCCTAGTTGATGACACTTCTCAAACATACAACATATATTTCCAGACGATTTCAGGTTGAAAGATTGATTTAAAATTTTCAGGGATGTTTAATGGCATTTGCCATGACAATTTAAAATTCAATAGATTTGGGTATACTTGGGAGTAATTTTAGGATGGCTATTGCTATGTCACCGCAACAAGTGGTAACATATTTTTATAGTATCAAACATTTTTATGGCTGCCATTTGGCATCTGGCAGTTGGCTTTCCGAGTTCGGCGTCTATAACAAATGGCAGGTGGTGACATTTTGCATGTTATTAGCTTGTTTTACAATATTTTCACCATATGGCATTTTTATATTTCCAGTGGCGAAGTAAGGAAGAATCTGATAATGGAACAAAACTTGATGACAATGCAGATAATGATCAACCCACGCTGGCACTTGCTACTGTGGCTGTTGTATTTACATTATTGTTTGTAGTCGAGGTGAGTTTGAAAGAATCTTTGGATTTGTGTTGAGTTTTGAATGATCTTTTATAATGCACAATTCATACAGTTACTTGAGACCCAACAGTCAATACGTAAGGAATCTATAAGGATAAAGGGTTGGGAAATCAAGGGTTGGGAATTTGACATGCAATATTTTCCAGGGGGTGGAATTTTGATGTTTTTGATTTTCAATGATCTTCAAGTTTGTACTCATCAGTTTTCATTTTAAAAAATTAGCATTTACAATTTCCAATTTTTTTTATTTTTTAGGTTATGATGAAAATTATTGCTCTTGGACCAAATGGTTACTGGACGAGTAGACGAAACAGATTCGACATGTTTGTCACAATATTAGGAGTCGTTTGGGCGATCCTTCACCTAGCCTCTAGACATAAAGGATCAACTTGGGTAAATTTTCCAATTTTTAGATTGAATTTACCGGGTGTCCCAAAAGATGTGTACCCAAATAAAATAAGAATTCATATTCCAAATAACATTTATTTTTAACCTACTTACTTTTTGGGAAAAGACTCAAAAAGGCAAAAGAAGCTTAGTAGCACTAGCAATTTTCAAGATTCACAGGAGCTGCTTCTGTTTGCGTCTATACTAGTATTTCAATGCATGACATTATTTCAATGCATGACATTATTTCAATACATGACATTATTTCAATGCATGGCATTATTTCAATGCATGACATTATTTCAATGCATGACATTATTTCAATGCATGACATTATTTCAATACATGACATTATCTCAATACATGACATTATTTCAATGCATGACATTGACATTATTTCAATGCATGACATTATTTCAATGCATGACATTATTTCAATGCATGACATTATTTCAATGCATGACATTATTTCAATGCATGACATTATTTCAATACATGACAATTATTTCAATGCATGACATTATTTCAATCCATGACATTATTTCAGTGCATGACATTATTTCAATCCATGACATTATTTCAATGCATGACATTATTTTAGTGCATGACATTATATCAATCCATGACATTATTTCAATGCATGACATTATTTCAATGCATGACATTGACTTTTTTGTATGCATAATGTGACAAAAATTTTAATGTTTTGCAGGAAGATTTCAGTAACTCTCTTGGGTACTTTGTCATAGTTCTACGCTTCTTCACAATCACAGGCAAACATGTGAGTATTGTAAGGTTCAAGGTCAATGTCAATACAGCCAATCCTAAATTTTATAGAAAAATATTTTTCATATGTTTTTCTACTAAAACTGTGGAATTGATATCCAAGGGGCCATTGACAAAAACTTCGTAAAGTTAAGAATTCGTAAAATCCATTGTTCTCTAAATGTGACATCATTGTATCCATGGTTACAACAATTGATTTACGAATTCATAACTTTACAATGTTTCTGTTAATGACCCCCAAATTAATAGTAATATTCCTCATTTTGCCTTTATTTGGCTCACTAATTTACACCTCTCTTGACTTTAAATATTGGCTGCCTCATCAATTTATTACATTCAGGGAATGTTGAGTTCTGTAATTCTTTTCACACAACCTAGATGTCCAGATCGCACATCAAGACATGGATCCATTTGGTTTGTGAAAATATCATCCTGCAATCACAGGGCTTCAAAATCCAGAATATATTATTTTCTTTTTACCACCTACGATAAGCAGTTACCATTTCCTCGATTAAGAACTCGCAATCTGATTGGATGTCGCAACACTGCAACAGAAATCATGTATATATCATTGGTTCATAATTAGATCACAGGATTCAGTAAAATCGGGCGCTTTCAAATTGGTTATAGCAGGGGGAAGAAGGAGGTACGGATTCTGGACACCTGCTTAAGAGGATGCGAAAATATATGTACTGTATTTCTTTTTTCAGGCAACACTAAAGATGTTAATGCTGACAGTGGTAGTCTCGATGTTTAAGAGTTTTTTCCTCATCATGGGAATGTTCCTTCTCATGCTGTTCTATGCCTATACTGGGGTCATATTATTTGGTTCTGTCAAGTTTGGGGAGAACCTTGGCAGGTAGGTCCCCTGTATATTTATGATGGTTACTGGGTGTCACAAAAGAATTCGGTACCTAGATAAAATTTCAAGAATATTTCTCATCATGGGAATGTTCCTTCTCATGCTGTTCTATGCCTACACTGGGGTCATATTATTTGGTTCTGTCAAGTTTGGGGAGAACCTTGGCAGGTAGGTCCTCTGTATATTTTATGATGGTTACTGAGTGTATTCAAAATTGTACTTAGGTGAAATTTCTTTAATTACTCATATATCCTTTAATTATTTATTTTATGTTTGTCACCACCAAACATGGAAAATGTCTGATGCTACTGAAACAAGCTTCTCTCTAAGATTAAATAAATAGAGTTACCATATGAATCTTTCAGATGTTTATGTTAATTTGATTGTGTGTCAGATGACCAAATTACAAGAATTTTCCTTCATCACTCAAAGAGTGACACAGCCAATATAATTCGGCGCCGTTTCGGCATCGAAAAAATTTGGCGCTGTTCCGGCTCCGAACATTTTCGACACCAAAATTTGGCACCGAACTAGTCAGTCCATTTGGTGCCGAAACAGCACCGAAACGGCGTTGAAAATCAGATTGAATTTTAGGGGTGTATTTCATGTTTGTCTTGGCACAACTTTTTCTGGGACAACAACTCCTGTGTAATAACTCGATATCACATGGTAATAATTTTTTTTATTTACTTTTAATTTTGTTCTATGGTAATTTTCATTTTTCAGGCATGCCAATTTCCGTACAGCATCCAATGCAGTTGCCCTTTTGTTCCGAATAGTCACAGGGGAAGATTGGAACAAAATTATGCACGATTGCATGGTAAGTTTAGGCTCTCAAAGATTTTTTAATGGCGCTTAAGACTGAAAGGTTACTATGGAGATGAGTTGAGAGTATGTTTTGAAAAGATTTTTACAAAACAATGATACATTTTTTGCTCTCTCATGTTATGTCTTTTCTATTGTCAAGGAGATCCAACATAATTTTTTCTATCATAATGAATTCAATTATGATTTTTGTAAGCTTTGCGCCCATTCTGTTCAAAAATTCAGCCTGGAGAAATTTGTCATTAACCCTAGTCTATTTATATTAAATCTATGTCCTAATCACTTCTATTTATTATGCTTTTTGTAGGATCGGTCCCCACTCTGTTCAAAAATTCACTCAGGAGAAACCCCTAATTATTGATAGGTCTTTCTATGTAAATTCTCTTTCACATTTAATTTTGCTTTTTGTAGGCTCGGCCCCCGTTCTGTTCAAGAATTCAGCCGGGTGAAAACTACTGGGAGTCGGATTGTGGGAACTTTGCTGCGGCTCTGGTGTATTTCTGCTCTTTCTACATCATAATTACATATATTGTGTTGAACTTACTTGTAGGTACGTAAAAGTTTTCAAGTAAATCTATATAACGATTAATATGTTTATAAATTATGTATATCAGTACTTATTTGAGATTGAATTGCTTAAATGATCAGTGATGTACACGCTCCTTGTTGTGAATGAAATGTTAATGGGTTTAAGAGTTAAAATCAACAGTTTATTACAAAGAAAGATTGAACATTGTATGAAAAAATTATCTTGGAAGCCTGTGGTAAATTGCAGGAAAACAGGTGGCTCATTCAAATTTAAGTGAAGAAACATATGAAATCTTTAAAATATAGCCTTGCCCAAGTTGGTCTCTTTTACTTATATTGATTTCTATTATGCCGGTTATAATTCAAGATCAGATAAGAAAAAAAATACCGACTTGGGCAAGGCCATTTAAAATATAACTGGGTTGTTTCCATTATTTCAGCTATCATTATGGAGAACTTCTCTCTCTTCTACTCTAATGAGGAGGACGCGTTGCTAAGTTACAATGACATCAGACAGTTTCAGAACACATGGAGTTTGGTAGATGTGAACAGAAAGGTAAAATACACTCCCAACCAAAAGTTTGACCGCTGAAAGTTCCTTTTTTGTCCATTTTTGAAAGATTCAACAAATCGTTAAATTTTTACTATCTCCAAAAATTTGATTCGGTTGAATTATTATTTCACTTCTATAAAGTGCTGTATTGCCATTGTCTTTTGCTGATGGATAGGCAAGTATCCGTAACACCCTTAATGTACATTGTTCTATATTTTCAGGGGTTCATACCAGTAAAGCGTGTGAAGTTTGTCTTGAGGTTACTGAAGGGTCGATTAGAGGTTGATCTTGAGAAAGACAGATTGCTATTCAAGCATATGTGTTACGAGATTGAGCGTTTACACGGTGGAGCTGACGTCACATTCCATGATGTGTTAAGGTAAGACCTTTTATGTCTTTTTCATGGAACATTTGTTAGGGAGGTGATGTGATCTGAAATGCTCAATGTCACATTGTCATCCAACTTCTTGTCCAGTTAAAGAACAAAGTGTGACATTTCATTGCCATGGTGATTTGATCATGCTCATTGTTGTTTTGTTGCCTGACTTCTTATCATAATGACTCTAGTTAAACCACCAAAAGGATCCACTTGCTTGATGTTGATAAAATTACACTCTACTATACCTAACCCCTAGAAATGCATAAGATACTTTGTTTGTTTAATTGAATTGTTTAATATATTTTGAAAGTGCCTTAGTAACATCTAACATTCAACCGATAAACCATTAATAAGGAACAGACAAATAAAAACAAATACATAATCATTACTAATAAGCCAAGTGGGTTGTTCATGAACACCAAATGCAAGGTATAGTAGAATGAACACAAACACTTTATATTTCAGTATGTTATCATATAGATCAGTTGACATAAGGAAAAGCATACAACTCGAAGAGTTACTAGCAAGAGAAGAATTAGAGTATATGATTGAAGAATTAAACACTTTATATTTCAGTATGTTGTCATATAGATCAGTTGACATAAGGAAAAGCATACAACTCGAAGAGTTACTAGCAAGAGAAGAATTAGAGTATATGATTGAAGAATTAAACACTTTATATTTCAGTATGTTGTCATATAGATCAGTTGACATAAGGAAAAGCATACAACTCGAAGAGTTACTAGCAAGAGAAGAATTAGAGTATATGATTGAAGAATTAAACACTTTATATTTCAGTATGTTGTCATATAGATCAGTTGACATAAGGAAAAGCATACAACTCGAAGAGTTACTAGCAAGAGAAGAATTAGAGTATATGATTGAAGAATTAAACACTTTATATTTCAGTATGTTGTCATATAGATCAGTTGACATAAGGAAAAGTCTACAACTTGAAGAGTTACTAGCAAGAGAAGAATTAGAGTATATGATTGAGGAAGAAGTGGCCAAACAGACAATCAGAGACTGGCTGGACCAGTGTCTTAAAAGAATCAGAGCAGTAAGTAGAAGTTTCATTTGGAGTAGGCAATATTCAATTTTCCCCACCCCAACCTCAAGGGGCAATAACTGTGAGGGCTGGGCCCAGAGAGTGACTTGATCCATCCCTAGTAACTCAATACTTGAAATCAAGCAGGAAAGAAGAATAGCAAGAACAACAAGAAAACATGGCAAATTATAAATTGCCCTCGTGAATTGAACAAACAGATTCAAAAACTCATTCTCCTCCCCTACAGTGTAAACATAAAGAAATTCAGTGTAAATTCTATACTGAAATAAAAAAAAATAGGGAAAGAAAGAATTCAAGCAGTCCATTTTCTCAGTTTACAGGCAAAAAGGGTTAACACTTTTGACATTTTCATTTCAGAAAGAGCACTCCAGCATTATCACAAATCTGCGTAAAACTAACGAGCCTCTATTCACAGTGACCGAGCACATTTTGCCCGCGCTAGATCAGAAAGACGAGGAACATGATGAAGTGCCACCTATTGGCAGATCAAGGAAAAAGATTGAGCGAAACACAAGTGCTCCACTGCCAGGGTCTTTACAGGTATGAGTTGATAAAGGACACTTATACATATTCTGGCTCCGTGTTTGAGTATTGAAGCCTAATTACTTTATTTATATCCATGTTACAAGCCTATTGTATAGATATGATATCCCAGCCCTTATTCAGAATACATGAACTAAGGGAATTTAAATTATATTGATCATTGTTCTTTGGATCCAGGAAATTATTCTTTCATGGAAGGTTTAGGTCACCTGAAGGATTAAATGTTAAGTTTTATTTTGTCTAGTTGAAATCAAAAGGGCTCAAAATTCTTTACATCGATATTCCAGGCCTTATTTAGAAAATGCCTTGCCCTGACTCTAAGTATTTAGATTTATTTTTTGAAATTGATATCCATATTCCAGGCACCATCCAGAAAGTTCCTGGCCCCAACTCTGAGTGATGGAGCCATAAGGCCGGATAAAGAGAGAATGGGTACCAAAAAGAGAAACACACGTCTTCAACAAGGTAAGAAAAACAATGTAACAGTGATTAGTAGAAACATGGGGTTTCAACTCTAATTGAAAGCCCATGGTAGAGTTGAAAGCCCATGGTAGAAGTATCTGTATATTTTTTTATTCATTCAAGTGTCATTCAAGTGTATTTAAAATAGCCAGCCATAGCCTTCAGAGAGGGTCAATTAGCCATGGTACGTTCAAGTGTTCCACTTGTGGAGTGTTCCACTTGTTTCACTAATAGAGGGGTTCAACTTCAAACTTACAAAAAAATCAATGTCACAGGGCTGTCCAAAGGATTTTCAAGAGGGGGTCGATTTTTGCCTCCCAATGGGTTGTACTGTAGATACGCCCACACAAAGGGTCAATGAAGTGGAGCGCTGCAATTTATAGGAGGGCGCCCCCAATGCCCTCCCTCTTCAGATGGGCTTGATGTCATTAAAACCTTCCTTAACCATGATAACTTTGAAAACCAATTTTGTTTTCAGGTGGCAAATCACTTACAAATTTAGCTGGGGATTTAGCGGGCATTCTGAACCAAAAATCACAAAACAATATGTATGGAACGAACCCTGTAGCGACAGAGGTCAAAGACTGGTGGAAGGAACAGGCGCATTATACAACAGAATCTGAGGAATCAAGTGAATGAAAATATATCTCGTATAAATTAAAGTGTAAATAGTTTATATATTGAATGTAGCAAAATGAACAGCAGATGATATAAATGCAAGAACAATATTATAGTATAGAAGGGAGGAAAGAACCCTGCTGCAACTGAGGAAGGTGGAAGGAACAGACGCATTATATAACAGAATCTGAGGAATCAAATGAAGGATCGTCTCATATACACCATGGTATAAAAAGTTTATATGTATTGTAGTGAATTAGACAGCAGATCATATAAATCCAAAACAATATTGTTGTACAGAAAGAACCCTGTAAAACTGAAGTTAAAGATGTGGAAGGAACAGTCGGATCATACAACAGAATCTGCAGATTCAAGTGAATGATTGTCTCATATACACCATGGTATAAAAAGTTTATATGTATTGTAGTGAATTAGACAGCGGAAGGAACAAGCGGATCATACAACAGAATATGAAAAATCAAGTGTTTCATATACATTACCGTGTAAAACGTTTATATATAAGTGAAACGGACATCAGATCATATACCACAATATTATAATACAGAAAGAACCTGTAGCAACTGAGGTTGAAGCCTGGTGGAAGGAATAGGCGCATTATACAACAGATCTGCAGAAAACACTTATTGAAAAAATGTGAACCTTCAGTGTATTGACTAAAGCAGTGTACCAATTAGTATATATCAAAATATGGTGCTTTAGGTTTTTAGGATTGTGGGCTTAAAAATGTCACATAATAGTTGGCCATTCAGAAAAGCCAAATTAGCTATGACCTGGTACATTAAAGATAACATGTCATAACCCATATATATTGAAGTATTTTGGTGGGTTTATACCTTTAAAACTATGATCCAAAATGACAATAAAAGCAGATGTTGCCATTTACATTAAAGTGAAAAAGTCAGACTGTGCCAAGAACATCGCTATTATTCTAATGTGATCATTAAGATTGCAATGATCAAAGCAATTTTGAGTTGTAGAACCATAATGTAGTATGTATGACTCCAAAATTTGTTTTACAGGGGGCGGGAACCCGTGAAGTATTTTTGTTTGAAAACCAGGTAGTTGTAGTTTTATTTGATGGTATGTGAAAGTTTTGTAGAGTTTTCTTACCTGGCAATAAGGTCACCACCTTCCCAGTATATCGGGGAAACATTCCATTGTTATACTTGACAGCCATCTATCTAGTGTTTCTAGAATGTGGGATTAATCAAGAAAATGTTGTGATTTTGAACAAAAAATCTGTGCTAAGGGGTGGCATCAAAAGTTCAATGTCTGATAGGAAACTAAATAAATCTAGTTTTGAGTTGGACCCCCCCCCCTCCCCCTCAAAACTAAATACAATGAAAGTTGATCGCGGACTTTTCACATGTTTTAGCGACTCAATTTGGACTTTCATGGGGCCAGTACTATAACTTATTTATGATTCTTAAAACATGTGCCAACAACAATAGGCATAATATTCCATGTTGCATGCATCTTGGTGAAGAAGGCATCTGGTAAAGTATTTATTTTTAAACCATTCCAAGGCATTTCGAGTCGAAATTGCGAAAAATTTAAATGTTGAAATTTGTCGGATAGCAAACTGAAATAGCGTTGACCCCCTCCCCCCAAACTAGATTTATTTAGTTTTCTATCAGACATTGATCTTTTGATGCCTCCCCTAACTCCACTTTGTTGAAAAACTCGAGTTTGGGTGTCAATCTTTTAGAAGCAAGTTGTTGCCTCACCAACCTGAGATTTTAAAAGCGTCTTTAACAACGAAAGTCTTTAACCTCATTTGCACACACTTGAAAATGAGAAAAAAATTGAAAAATTGGCATATTTAGACCGATTTTGGTCTGAATTGTGAAAATGAGAATTTTAGACCCAATTGAGAAAAAATTCGGTGGAGAACAATGTGCCATTGAATGTTTCCCAATGTATCGGAAGCGTGATAATCCTATTGACAGATGAAGTACTAAAAAATGTTGACAGAGAACAAAATAAAACTAAATCTACCTAATTTTTTAACAAGATGGCGTTTTTTATTGTATTTCCTGTGTACGCGACGAAAATACTCTACGCATTTCCACCCCTTGATTTATAGACCTCAAAACGAAAATGTGTGTAGCTCTTTTTGTATTGCCTGTTTAAAAGTATAAAATAAATTATTTAAAATATTAAAAGACGTTGGTTATGATCCATAGCAGCATGTATTATACAGGGTGGTCAAAAAATGGAAACCCTGCATTTTCCTTATATCTTTGTCACTTTAAAAAAATACTCCCTGATATTTCACTTTGTACATCATTCAATTTCCAAATACCCTACCATATTTCATGACCATCCGACTAATAGTCACAATTTTACAGTTCTTTGAATAACATGCTTCAGATTTGGCCATCATCGCGCTGTAGGCAAAACAGCACATTTGTCAATGACCCGAATGCATTCCTCAGCAGGTATGGCCTGTATGACACGAATGATCTCACTTTTGATGTTTGCAATTCGCGTGAGAATAACTTTGTACTAACTGCCATTTTCAAAAAAATTGAGATAGACATGGAATTTTACTATTTGAAACACAGGCTTTCATCTCAGATACATGCCCCATCTCAATTCCCTCTCATTAAGCTAGAATTCAGTGTGAAATTGTACCATCTCCAGACAAACAGCTTATTTCTAATTTCAAATTGTCATATCTGATATCAACTGTTTCAACCAATCAACTCTCTAAGAATTGGTCATGTGACTTGCAAAACTTGGAGTTATAACAATCTTATATTAAAACGAAGTATGCCAATATGCATGTTATTGTATCTAGAATGAAATAATGTTTTGTAACACAATACCATGCCAGTTTGCATGCCTGGCCTTTCATGTTTTAGTTTTAGAACTATTACAAGTAGATCAAAAAAATAAAATGATACAGTATGTGTAATCCCATGCATATTCAAATTATATGCCCTCAATTACTCTTTGTAATATGGATGCTCATTGGATTATTCATGGCCACATGATATGAAATAGAATTACTAATTTCCTCGAAAACCTAAATCCTTGCTACCAGGGAAGATGAAAAGTACAAATGACCAGTTAATTAGATCATGTGAGCAGTCAAAAGTACCCTTTATCTTCCCTGCTACCAGGTCTTATAGGGGTTTGAATGGCCAAATGCACTAGAAATGCATATACGAAGCTGTCATCATTAAATGTTGAAAATGAAAGACTACTTATTTGTCTCTTCAAAAAGAGTACATAATAATAGGTTATATACTAGATATAGTAATCAAAACAAATAGTAACTGTCATATTTTGCAATTACATTGCTCAAAGGCAATCACTGTCTGTATACTATTGAAATCTCTTTCAAAATGATGTTTTATAGTTTGTGGAAAAAAGCTAAATCTATTTAAACTAGCTTTAACTTTTACCGACCATACACTATATCAATAAGGAGTTATCTTCATGTTAGTATAGTCCCTTAAAACACTTATTTTATTTTCTCTTCATCTATGATTTACTTCGCGCTTTTCACTGAACATCTGGGATCTTTTTAGTTATTTTATTACTAGTATGTTTTTCAGATTTGTCCTTTCTTTTGCATTTTTGGGATCATTGTTTTTAGATCATCTACATTGTATTTTGGAAAAGTAACAAATTGGTTCAATTTCTTTACAAAGAGCCACTCTTAGTCTCCACGTCTACAATTGCTTCAATTCCCAATTGTACTCCACAGAGTAGCAAACAACAGAAAATGAATGGATAATGATAGCTGCATCCCAATGAACAAACTGTGATTACCTAAATCGAGGTTTCATCACTTTCATTAATCTAAAATGAATTAGAAATTATTTTTCTATTTTCAAATTTCTTCCATGTGCATGTAATAAAAATTGGTTATGTCTTAGGCCCTAAGGATCTGAAACCTGCTGGTCAAAATGGAATTACGGACCAGTTGCAATGTTATTCTCCTATACCCAGTGAAAAAATCAACTGGTCTGTATCAAAAATAATCTGATAATGACCAGCGGACCGGTGTGAAAGAAATTATGGTCCCCTGGGAATTATGGTCCCCTTTCTTAACGGCCCTGATTGTGTATAAGATAATAAGGGAAAGAGTTGTATTTAGGTCACCATATAAATCAATGGAGAGTAGGACCATAATTTGATGGGACCTCCTACCCTTTTACACCTGCCCTTAGGGGCTACATTGTAATGTGCTGGGAGGTTTAGGCTACAGGGTTTATACCGAGGGAAATATGTGGGGGACCGTATTAGCATCATTGGTTTCAATGCATTGTACTTCTGCCATAGTTTCAAAGGCAATAAATTCTTTTTGAAGGGTGTCCAGGGATTCCAAAATTAAGAAATAATTGTACTTATTTGAGAAATTGATTTTAAAGTTTTATAAATTGAATTTTCTTTATTTTATTAAATAATATTCTTTGGTTTTTGAAGATTGTTTTTACAAAGCAAAACATTATTTTTCATTCTAGATACAATAACAGGCATATTGGCATACTTTGTTTTAATATAAGATTGTTATAACTCCAAGTTTTGCAAGTCGCATGACCAATTCTTAGAGAGTTGATTGGTTGAAACAGTTGATATCAGATATGACAATTTGAAATTAGAAATAAGATGTTATTCCGGTGGGAAATTGTATCAACTCCATTTTCATAGTTTTAAAAAAGGATCTTGTAAATTTTTTCAAGGTATGATATTTCATATAAGATATCTCTAGGGTGAGACCAGGTGACATACAAAAAATCAAGTTTCACATAGCAATACTAAGTAAGATACAGACCTCTAAACTTTCAAACCTTGATTTCTCAGTTCCGTAAAAATGTGAGATAGTACAAAGTTATTCTCATGCGACGAATTGTCCTGAGGTCATTCTCATATACTCTATCTCTGCCATATCCCCACAGGTACTAGTAGGGACATTTTAGACGATGAGTACAGGTTTCCTCACAACGCAAGTATTATTAGCCACATTCTACAATCATCAATCAATAATATGAAATAAAAATATAAATGAGATACAAACAATTAAAGGTTTATGATCATTTATTTCGTCATACTCGTATATTATAGAATCTTTATTGACAATTATCCCAATGGACAAGTGCAGTAGGGATAAAATACCGACCTCCGTCCGTTTGTCTGTCTGTCTTTCTGTCTGTATGTCCATCAAGATTTTACCTAGTTTTTGAGCTTTCACTTTAAAGAAAGTTGCTCAAGGTGACCAGAAAACTTAACGGGAGGTAACAGATGTCATGCCTTTCTTTTGCGGTACTTTTACATGCATCAATATGGTTTGATATAATCAATCAATTCTGTTTTTACTCTTTCTCTGATCTTGTCGTTTTAACATTTTCATTCAGACATAACACGATATATTGATGGGTCAAAATGTTCTCTGATGCCGCAAATGATGATTGTTATTAGTGACAACAGAAATGAACGATTGTAAAATGCTGGAAGCATGAATTTCAAAAAGCTTCAAAAGGGGTCCAACTTCGCAATAACAGTTAGTTTGAATTTCAAACCTACCAGCTAGGATGAAATGGTTGAAAATCAAGAATTGTGAGTCTCACACTGCACCGTCTTTCTTCAAACTTGTTCCGTTCTAAGCAAAACAAAAATACCTTTCTGTTGGTGCATTTCGCAAATTTTCATAGATTACAACTACAAGTTATCTCGCCTCGTTATTATCTTTCCTCAGTTTCGCCCACGGGCGCACATTACTACCCTCCATAGCTGCGTCTACATATTTGGGCATTAAAAAAGCAGCAGTTACTAAATCACCCGAACACCTGTTCAAAATTGATCAATACGTCCCGCTGAGTCTATGACTCCAAACGAGTTTCACTAAACATTTTGTCTATAATTTTGTCTGTTTGTAGGTTTGCCGTGGTCGATTCTAAGCATTAAAAGACTTGTGTTTTAAGATTGATCTTGTCTTTTCCATTAATACCCCGTCTTCAGTTATAGCATGCATGCGATTGTAGAATACAGGTAAAGCTCAACATACACCAATGGGGCACGATGGGACTTCCATGGAAGTAGATTTAGCATTTCGTGAGACCGTGTAGGGCTTCATGAGATCCGGGCATGGTACTCTGTCGCACTTTACCCAATCGAAGCCCACGAGGTCCACCGTAGGACTCGTCGGGATTCTATGGATGGGGCAGAGTCCCAGGAAGTTCATTCTTTCCATGGGGCATCGTGGGACTTTTGATCATGTGATATGTAAGGTGATTTGAGATCAAAATGGCCGCCGCATAATCTTTAAACTAAGTTGAGTTACACTTATCCCGTACCAGGACTATAGTCCTGCGAACGTCTTATTCTTTTGCTTGTACGACAACATGGGAGAATTTTCTACGCTTCTTACACTTAAGATACCTATTTCAATAGATTCCTTGGTATTTTAGCATTCTTTTCGTGTAGTTGAATCCACAATTGTCTGGGTTATCGGCAGAACAAAGAAATTTTCGTTTTTGATCGCAATAATTGTGTGTAGTATTTAACTTATTTCAACGTCAAATTCTTCCATTTATTGGTTATCCGGCCCACTCCCGGGGGGTCAGTCAAACGGGGAATTCCCTTTTAAATCCAACCGCCATCTTGGAAAGTGATGGAATATCTCTCGCTGAAAAAGAAAAATGTTCCCATTCTGCCGATATGCCCAAACAATTGTGGATTCAACAACACGAAAAGAATGCTAAAATACCCAGGAATCTATTGAAGTAGGTATCTTAAGTGTAAGGGGCGTAGATAATTCTCCCAAGTTGTAATCGTACAGGCAAAAGAATAAGACGTTCGCAGGACTATAGTCTTGGCACGGGATAAAGTTACACTATTTCCGTGGGACTCAATTGATCATGGTAGGACTCTTCATGGTGTGATCCTATATATTTGGATTATATTATGTGAAAAAATCAGTAAGAAAGGATAAAAAATGGCAAAAATAGAGCCAACGGTCCAGAAATTCCTGATCATCCCTCGTAGTGTATAATCAAAAAGCATCAATGGTATATTTTAGATAGAAAGCTTCAACACATTTCATTGCAACACATAGATCTGACGTGGCGTATTGATAGATAGATTCTTTGAAATGATATCATTCCTCGAAAAAGGAAAACCTGATTTGAAAAGCGATCTATATTCCTTTTAATGACCGCCATTTATGTTTCAGACAATTTTTTAAAATTTCAAAACGTGTATCATTTAGAGCAATATATTGGGCACATTTTCTAAAAAATTCAAAATATTCTGTTCAGTGACCTTACCCAAGGTCGACCTTTTAGCTATTTGTCAGTCACATTTTTAGAGGGCTGAAAAGTTAATATAGTGCGCTCACTTTCGTAGATTTTGCATCTCAAAACAAAGTGCAGCTCATCTTCAACACAATTATCTGAACATTTTGTACATATGCGTTCTTCTACTTTTTTTTCTTATATTTATCTGAAATAAAATAGATTCAGCAACATGTTGATTTCAGTAGTGTCAAAGATTAGATCAAAATTGTGTCAGAAATTTGATTCTGGTCTAAGATACTACTCTCATTCTAAGCACGTGAGTGGATTTAGTGATGGATATGAAGCTGGGAAAATATTATTTAGTCAGGTAGGTACAGTTAAAAGCTGTCGTGAGAGAATAGAAATAACTTCACTTTTTATATGTATATCCTCAATCTTGAATGGATACGGGATTACTTAAAGGGTTCCGATAAGCTTCCCGTATGAAATGAAAATCTCCCTTTTATAAATGTGTGACGATCTATACTGTACCAATGTTATATAAAAGTTAGAGGTGTTGACACAACGACCTCGAGCCTTTGAACCCTTGAGTATTATTCCGGGATCGAGCCTTTTATACTAAATGGTGAGCAACACCAGAAACGAGCGTTCGATTTGCTAAACGATATGCGTCACCCTTTAACAGAGGGTGCTATGGAAAAGGTACAAGACAAAAGATATGAGTTTAGAATTTGTGTGATGATTGATTGGAATCAAGATTTATCAATGCAATCAATAAGGGAATACAGTACACAGCCTTTATATTTTTCTTTTTTTTCACTAGTATTTTGCCTACCATTCAAACCTGTCCATGGCTAGTTAAGTGTCATGAAATGCTTAATTGCCTATACAGCCTACATGATATAACTTGATACACTTCATTCATTTAGAAAAATATCACTTTGCCCCCAAAATCATCGAACCATGGCACTATTAGGTATTACTCCACAAAGGGCACTGTTAAAGAGATAGAATATACTTTAAATTAGCAAAACCCCATATGGTGATGTTTTTTAGATCAAGATTTATCTTTGCAATTACCAGGCAGAGTGTCTTGAAAAACAGAATATTTCAACTTCACTCCGGAATAGCCTGACAACGGTAAAGTCAGATACCGTTGTCACAAATGGCGGACAGAACCGTGGCTTCAATTCTTCAATCACTTGGTCCTCGTTTCATGGGACTTTTTCGTCGCTAATTCTGTGCATGTATTAAGCTCTTGTGATATCATATCATATGAAATCCCAATTTCGATAAAATTGGGTCGTGAATCAATACAACAATATAGCGTCTTCGATATCGTCAATGACAACGGGAACATTATGTGTGGCCTCTTAAAGATAAGTTTAAATGAATTCACTATTTTTCAAACAAAAAGTCCTTCAAAAACCTCTTTTGAAAGCAAAAGTTGCACATATCACACTTTTATAACATTCGGGGTAAGACTACAATATAGGACAAAGTGAAATATGGGGTCTTAAAGATATTGCCTTAAAACAACATTATATTTATTATAAAATTAAAGTATATTTTGCATTCCAGAATTACATTGACATGTGCAAGATAAATACAATCATGGACATAAAACCTGGTGATAAAATTCTAACAGTAGCTGCAAGTGGAACCCATGCACTTTCCAAACTTCTTGCCGATCCTGAAGAAGTCGTTGCAGTTGACATCAGTCGCCCTCAACTACACATGTCAAAGCTTCAAGCGACTGCCATTAAGTTGCTTTCAAGAGAGGAGTTTTGCAAGTTTATAGGCATTAACAGAAAGAGTACCCCTTCAAAAGAAAGAATAAAAATGTATAGATATGTCAGGTCTGCTCTGGAAACCGATACTAGGACCTTTTGGGACAGAGCTATAGACGACATCGGAAATGGTGTAATTTATTGTGGAGAACATAATAAAGCATGGTGTGAACCATTGCTGGATATTCTACCTAATATTCACGACGAAGCGACAATTCAAAAGTTCCTGGCACTTGGGAATGATATGGATGAGCAAATTCATTTTTACGATGAAATTTGGAACACACCGATGTGGCGCTTGAAATATGAAGAAATGTCACGTAACAATTCATCTTTTTCAAAAATGAATGAGACATTTGAGGATGTTGGTATTAATCATGAGAAAATGTCTTTAAATCTATTTGATCGCTGGATTAGACATGTTCCAAATAACAAAAATGAATTCCTAGAAGTGCTCCTCACTGGAGAATCCACTGGAGCATGCCGACTGAATTCTTATCTTAGAGATAGTAACTATGAGTTCATAAAGGAACGTTTGCCTAGAGTGAAATGGGTTGAGAGGGACATGATAGAATATCTGAAAGAGTTTGCATCTAAGAGGAATTTTGTAAAATTTGATGGTGTTAACCTTTCTACCGTTCCTGTTTACAATGGCCGAATACCTGACATAGTGTGTGACATGATGAGTAACGCAGTTGCAATATGCAACAGGGGTGCCAAGCTTGTATATTACACACCATTCATAGAGTTGAGAATTCAATTCCCAAAGAAGATGATTGAAAATGGTGAGTTAACATATGACGGGCAAGATCTGTCATGTGGTATTCTTACTCCTAGAGTTGCCACCGTGCAATAAGAACAACGAAACAAATTGGACTAGAGTTCTTGTTGTAGATTAGACAAGTAATAAGGCCAAATTTCATCCTCATCCTCATTTCAGTGAAAAGTTTTCAACAACAATATATTTATATCACTTGCGTGACTTTTTCAACACTTCTAAAAAAGTTTGGGCAAAATCTCCATTGATGCAATATTAAAATTTTTAAAACATTGGTTCATTTATTCAACAATCAAAATTTTCATGATTTCGCAATACGTACATTAACAGGGTCATATTATGCCATTTAGATTTTAGAGAGTCGACCAACACGTTTTGATAAATCATGGAATTAAGTGACTATTGTAAGTTTTTAACAATCAAGCCCATGGCAGCCTGGTCAAAACAGATCAAATAAAAACAAGAGGTGACATCCAACTACATATAGCAACTCCTTTATTGAGAAAAGAAGTTTAATTTTAATATCAAATTAATGCCTTTTAATAGATCTCATATCTTAAGTACTGTATACAGTTTTAAACTGTTACTTAACAAATGTATTACTTGGCAACAAGCACAGTACATGAATATAGACGATGTGATTCTCTTTGTAGATGTTTGACAGTGTGTGTTAAGTAAAATGAATAGATCGACTTGAATGTTTCCACTCTTCAATTAGATATTTTTAAAAATCTAATTCAGCAGTCGTCAACAAAGTTTTCTTTTAACTCAACTTAACGCTACACTGATGGAGGACAATTTGTATCATTTCAGATCTCTCAGTTGTCAACTTATATAATTAATTCACTTTAACTGATTTTATAATTATTTGTAACGCCTGTGTCACGCCATTCTATTTGTCTAATATTCTTGTCACACAACTATTGAAAATATTACGTCTGCATCATTCTTCTAGTATTTGTCTAGTCCATTCTTATAGTCACACGAAAACTATTGAGAATTCTTTATATGACTATATTTATATTGTTACTTTTACTCTGCGTCATAGAGATAAATGTTTCTTTGAAAATATTTGTTCAATTTTAATACAAGAGGCACATTCAAGTTGCCGCCTGGTAATTCATTTTTCAAAAAATCTTTTTTTTTATTTCTCAATTTATCAAAAGAATCTTTTTTTCAAAATTTTTCGTTTTTTAAAAGTTTTCTCTCATTTAAGAGAGGATTAAGGTAGATATTGCTCTTGACCATGGTATAAGGTAGTTATTCACCTGTCGGGATGATATGAGATATATCCCTTGGATGATATCACATATCAAATCCCTCTTGGTGAATAACTTCTTTATGCATGAAGATATAACGTTTTTGAAAATGTGTATATGACTTTTGATATAATCTTCGGGGATACAGAAATCACATTTGCAATTGTTCCTGAAAGTCTGAAAGTGAGGATAAATAAATTTTCAGGGGTTTCTGAATAATAAATTTAAAGAAACAGGGACTGCAATCATGATACTAGGTTTTTTAATGAGTCATCCAAAATGAGACTTCCGGTTGCCAAAGCTATTGAGGGGAGCAGAGGGGGAGAAACACCAGGGTTCAAAGATGACATACGCTTATACAATCGTCGCTGATTGGTCAAAAGTCGACAAACAAATGACGTCATCAATGGCGGTTTCAAAATTTTCGAAATACGCTTCGAATAATATTATGTTCATTTCTGGCGTGTTAACCAATATCAGAGCTTTTTATTTCACATCAAGATTAAGAAAGGTGTACGGAATATGCGTATATCAATTACAACATCCCATCGAAGTGTAGTATTTGATAACTAGCCGACGAAAATTCGAACGAACGAAGGTGGTAAGCAAGAGAGGTAATTAATAATTATGTCTGTCATCTTTAAACTCTGGGGCTTTCCCTCCTCTTAGAGGGGAGTGTACAATTGTCCATGTCACGTCACTCATATGTTGTATATAAGTTCACTAAGACGTTGTATATTTCCGTAATATAAACGTCAACGTAAATTGTGACATTCAGCAAAACGTCGGTGGATAGTTAACAAAATACGTTGTTCAGTTCAGTTCAGGTACGTTCACACCAACGGCGAATGCCACGCTTTAAATCGGCGAGCAAAGCGCCGTCATTTTTGTCATTTTTCTTCATACCAACGGCGCTTTGATGGCGCTTTAAAGCGGCTTGTAAAGCGGCACCAAAGCGTAACAAAGTTTGATTAAAGCGTCGGGGTCGTAATAGGTCGTAGAAAAGCTCAGAGTAAAGCGGGATATTCGGCAAGAGCGCCAAAAAATTTTAAACTCTTAAAAAATTTTGGGCGCTCTGTTACGAATCGATTAAGCGCCGAGAGCGTATCAAAGCTTAACAAACCGTAACAAAGCTCAGAAAAGCTTGATCCAAAGCGTAGGAAAGCTTAACATAGCTCTAAAAGGTTCCTCACGCTTTGATCCCGCTTTGATCAGGCTTTGTTACGCTTGAAATCACGCTTTGAAAAGCTTTGATAAGCATTATTACGCTTTGATGCGATTATGACGCTTTAAATCAGGCTCTGATACGATTGCAAAACTCTGTTGTGCATTGTTACGCTCTGTTAAGCTCTGTCACGCATTGGAAAATGTCGAGATCGCCGATTCCATGCCGCTTTTGATCCAATGACTATATAAAGATGCAGTAGATCCATAAAACCATTGCATCTTTGACTCGAGAACACGATGGCAGAACAACGAGATCCAGAAATTCCAGATGGACCAGAGCATGACCTATCTGAAGAAGACATGACGTAAGCGTCTCAATTCGTTGGAAAGCTTGAGAGTCCCTCAGGAAAGTGTAACAAAGAGTGTCAGATATTGATGAAAGCGTCTGACCTCGTGTCAGATCTTCATGCCAGATCGTAGCAAATCTTGAGACATCTTAACGAAGCGTGACAAGTGGTAACAGACCGTGAATAGACTGGGGTCCCCGCTTTGAACCAAGCTGTGTTAAGCTTTCCTACGCTTTGAGTCAAGATTTGTTGAGCTTTGTTACGGTTTGTTAAGCTTTGATACGCTCTCGGCGCTTCAATCAATTCGTAACAGAGCGCCCAAAATTTGTAAACAGTTTAACATTTTTTGGCGCTCTTGCCGAATATCCCGCTTTACTCCGAACTTTTCTACGACCTATTACGATCCCGACGCTTTAATCAAGCTTTGTTACGCTTTGGTGCCGCTTTACAAGCCGCTTTAAAGCGCCATCAAAGCGCCGTTGGTGCGAACGCTTAAACAGTTTAAATTTTTTAGCGCTCTTGCCGAATATCCCGCTTTACTCCCGAGCTTTTCTACGACCTATAACGACCCCGACGCTTTAATTAAGCTTTGTTACGCTTTGGTGCCGCTTTACAAGCCGCTTTAAAGCGCCATCAAAGCGCCGTTGGTGTGATGTTCAGTAATGTGTTCGTAAAGTTCGTAATTTGTGCTGGTGTGAAAAACGTAACAAGGACGTTGAATTTTTACCAATTTGGTTCATTTGCGACGTAATATAAACAATAAAATTTAACGTTGTCGTAACGTGTTTTAAATGTGTAAAATATTTGTAAGTCAGTGTAAAACACGTTACAAAGACGTCATGTTCTCACCAAAATTGTTCATTTTCAACGTAGTGCAAACGGTTAATTTCAACGTTGTGAAAACGTGTTTTAAATGTAAAAATTGATAACATTGGGTAAGACTAATATAGTCTAAGCTAAAATGCTTTTTGGGACATTTAAGTTTATTCATTGTTTCACGAAATCAATTCGAAAATATGAACACCTATTTTTCTTAAAATGAGTATAACAGCATAGATAGAAATAAAAAGTAAAATCACTGGATTATTCTGCTTTCGTAGAAACGCAAACTTCTTAACTAATATTGAACTTTTCTTGACACAATCAATAGATTTTTATTTATTTTTGAGGAGGGCATTGACACTTTAAATGGATCCAACACCTTACAAAACTTCTTAACGGAGAGGAATAAGGGAAAATGCTTGCCGGATTCTGAATCTGTGTATTTTTTGATGATTTTTCACCGTCTTAGAATTTCAATTTTTTTCCTTTGAAAAAATGAGATTTGCATTGTTTTCAAATTAGACAAATGAGTAAACATGAATAGCTCGAAATCTAACGGTGAGATTTTGTTTTAAAAAATCATGGATATCAAGGCTAAATATAGCTATACAATAAACATAAAAAGCAATGCTTGGACTCTTCATATTCACACAAAAAATTAATTAGTAAATGAGGTTTGATATTTGTGAGAATAAGTTGTACGAGTCGCAATGCTCTACAAACACCAGACTACAGGGTGGATTAGGATCAGTGACACACATAAAAATTAATTTAAAAATATTTCATGATAATTATCTCAAACAAAAGCAGTTAGCGAAGGATACATTTAATTTCACTCAATAAATAGTTATCACTTTTGACTATATATACATATCTCATGGGAATGTATTTCAATCTGCTCAAGATATCATATTTTAGCTTCGAAAATCACAATCGTTGGATAATACATTTGTCTCAGAATGATAGGCCACCCTGTAGCAATGTAGCTTTCACTTGAAGTATACCCTTGAGAATAATGAACTTACTTTCAAATTGGTCTTGCTTTTGTGGTGTATGTGGCTTTTTAGCAAATCTGCCACGCTCATTTCTTTCCAGAACCATCTTGTTCACATGTAACACTAGGCTATACGCGCATGTATAGACAGATGACATAGATATACATATAAATTATATATTGCACCTGTATTTACTTACATGGGAATATTCCCTTTGGAAAAATGCAAATGCATGAACATATATTTTCATGTTATATATGACTTCAAGCTAACATATTATTTCATATTTATATTTTCATAGTTAGTCTAACATGAATAATAGATCCATGAGAACAATATTCTTTGTTTTCTTAAAAATTGATGGGTTTACTGTGAATTCAATAAATTACAATTTGCAAGGGGTAAGTATACTGTATGACCTTAGTTGCAAAGTACTGTTTATATATGCAGCTCAATAGCATAAAATATGTTGAATGAAGCATATGGTGCGGATTAGTCGTGTGACACACAAACTGACCAATACATGAGGGTATTAGCTACTTTTCACATAAACCAAAGGAGGACAGTGCTTTTATTTCAACTGGGAGCTTAACTCCACACGACTGATCATGTGACCATGGTGTTGGGTCCCTTTAATCACCTGGATTTTCCCACAGACTAAAAGTGGCATAGACTGCCACACTTTTAAAATACGTGCCGTGAGTCACTTATCATCAGTTCTATGCCATTGCTCATTGTAAAGAATTTTGTTGAATTAACTTACTGTACAAAACGAATAGAGAAATGTGTCCATTGAAAATACATGGCAAATTGAACATAGCTCAGCTTTAATCTTTCGATGTTATGAAAAACTCGGAATTGAATTGTCCTATCTCCATTTTTGATATGCTCAAAAATTGTTTTAGAAAATCTTAAAATGCATGAATTTTTTATTGTATATACACCAGTTTTTGATTAAAAAAATCTAAAAATTTCACAAATGACAGATATAGATAATATTGAAGTTACAGATCGGCCAAAAATTTCAAAAATTGATTTCTCAGTTTCACAAAAATGTGAGTTGGGACATTTTTATTATACCTCTGCAATCTGCATATATATATTTTTATACGACTGCCATCTATAAATGGAATTTGCTTATGCTGAAAGGGCTGCTAAGTTCATGCGGTTCTATTTCTGCAATGAATTGTATTTATATTAGTATAGAGCAGCACTTGGCGCACCCAGGAAGAAAAAAACGACGAGGCGAAAAACATTTCCAAGCGACGAGGCAAGTGCCTCGTCTGCCTCATCATTCAGCGCTACAAAAAATATTTTCATTATTCAGATTCTAAAATGGCGGCTATGAGTCTCATTTAGAAAAATACGAATGTATATAATTATTCGTTGGAAATGAACGTAAAGTGATCACTTATAAAACACCATTAAAATACAAGCTTAGTTCAATGATGGCAATAGAAGAACATGATGATGAATAAAGAATTTATAAAAGTTAAAATTTGCAACTCTCATCATCGAGGGATAATACTCAAGGGATGTCCTGGCTAGTCATCATGCTTTAAACTGAATTAAAAAATGTTGTATCAAAAAGCAAAAGTCTTTTCTGGGTCACTGCGAATGGCATGATTTCCTCGAGTCGCTTCAGTTGCAAGGCAACCATACTGGGACCGATTCGCGTCGTTCCACTACTGCCCTTGGTGGGGGCCCGCTACCATACTATATGAATCCCGGAGTTTCCCAAAGCACGTTAGTGGAGGAACCAACCACAGTCTCACAATCTGTCTCCGGCAAGAGCGGCCAGAGAACCAACCCATGCCAAGGGCCAGTAAACGGTTGGACCTTCGGACCGGGTGTCCGTAGTGACAATGATCAACAACTCCGTACCTGGGGCTCGAACGCGGGATCTCCGTATCCCCCGGTACATTCGACCACAGTCTAACCCAACCGGCCAAACTGCTCAGGTGTCTAAACTGCTAAAAAATGTAATATTTCTTCTACTATTTTGCTTGAATGAACACGAACGTGCCTATAATAATCATATTTTCTAAACCATCTGTTTTGAATTACTAACATCTAATTACAAACAACGACAATCACTGCGCCCAAACGTGTAATTGGCTGCTTCGTCATTGCGCCTTCTGAGATGTGATTTGCAACAGAAGAACAAGAGCGAATTCGATTATTACAACATCACGGTGTATAACCCAAACGCTCCTACATACACGACGGAGCGTTTCATTACCGAAATTAAACAAAGAAACGCTCCGGAGTAGGAAAACTGTCTGGCGGGAATGATGAGCCGTCTGACAATTTCCCCAATAATGGGAATAAGAGGTATGAGTTACATATTTCGAGTATACCATTCGATGGGTGTGATATTCATGTTGTACGTGGCTGGCTGTTGACGTTTGAAGCAATTGGGAAGAGCTGTACGAAGCAGTATAGTTATCAAAATTCAAAAACGTATTTGTCATTCTACCGGTCAAAACCCCTTTTGTCGATACATGTGATTAGTTGAGCCAAGATTAGAGCACCAACGTATATTTTAGTCAAATTCCAATGCTTCAACGCACCATACATTATCGTAATAGTGATTTGATGACCGAAAATCCAGTCTTAAAAATGATGACATTCTCATATTCAAGAAACGCTCCGATCTGGTTAACACAGTGAATTGGAAACGCTCCGGTAGTCTAGATCAGTTAAGGAAATATATAGCTTGCCTTTCCTTTTCAGGAAGAGAAAGAAAAGATCTATTATACCCCTTGGCATCAATAGAAGAAAGATTAATTCACATGTAACTTTTCGTTTTTTTCTATAGTTTTATGATTTAGCACATATGTAGGCATGACATCATCTAATGTATAGGCTTTAATCAGCTAGTTGCACGTTTAGCACCACCAGGTTCAGATGTTTCAATTTGCCTAACAAGTACAACACGTTTTTGAGAGATATATTCGATTCGGAACTCTTCTCTAATAATCTGAAAATGATATCAAAACAAAATGGTAAGAGCGTTTCTAAAATTGTGGTCTAAATCGACGGAGCATTTCGAGGAAAACAAGCGATTTCTCTAGAACAAGTAATGGATTTGGACTGGGATTTTAGGAAATGAGAATATACGAGTTTGTGATCTACTTCTTAAACAGAAAGATTAACGTTTTCATAGAAATACTAGTTTAATTCGTAATTTGTGGTCAAATCGTCATCTTCAGATTCGTTCGATCTACACTACGGAGCTTTGATCAAGCAAATAACAGTTTACCACCAGAAGTTGAATAAATAAGATCTTTGCTCACGGTATTGTTCATCGAATGGTACATAATATTTCACCATGACATATGATATGTAAGAGAAACGAGAGAAACAATACTTACGGTCATAGTAGAATCTTCATTAGCCGCCATTTTATTTTGCTCCGGAGCGTTTCCGCGTAAATGTAACGCTCCGTCGTGCATGTAGGAGCGTTTGGGTTATACACCGTGAACATTGTGCTTTTAAATCAATCAATTTTCAAAAGTGTTCATAAGCACTGCGGGACTAACATACTTTAAATCATTTCAGTCGGAGATTTGTACGTTAAGAACTCAGAAAAAAGTTGAGTCTAATTATATAGTCACCACAACGCGACAGATTTTAGAATAATCGCGTACATCGTACATATGTATATTGAGATATTAATTCGCCGTCTTGAAAACACACTGACTCGACACTTCACTTAAACAAAATTATGAAATGCAATCACTAGCATTTCGACAAGAACATGCCAAAATCTAGCCAATTTGCCCTTTTTGATGAAATGTATTTGTAGGGCTTGTTACACGAGTTGTGTTTGGGTTAACGCCTTAACTGTATGTGGTAATTAATGAGACGTTGGGCCAAACAAGCCAATAATCGGCCAATAATGTTGCCGAGTACTGTAGGTCATGAAAAAACCTGATTTCTACTCATTCAGTTACATTTACCTGAGACTATCATAAAATTTTATGTTAGTCTCAGCATTTACTGACGTTATTTACAAAGGGCAAAATCCGACTGACTGTTATTTTGTTTTTTCTTTTGTTTTTTTACAATCGATGGGTCTTGGACGAAATGTTTATTTGAATGGTGATTTGTTGATGACGTTGAATTTTGCCCAATTAGAGAATAAGAGTACTGTACAGTATTATACATGGCGTCCATACGTCATTGAATTCGAATTCACCAACGGAAGGAAATACCCCAGAATCCATAGCTAAGTACATGTAGATTTGGACCCCTATTATAGGTTTATTTTTGCATAGATAGGTTCCTTTGAATTCCGGGGCATTACCCATCTTGGGTTACCAGAAAGTCACTTGCATACGTATCCATATACGTCAGTTCACGTAATAATGAGGAAAAACGTTCATAGAAATAGAAGAACCCACTTTTGTACGCTATTGAGTTTTTGTAACAATAGCAACGTTTAGATTTTAACTTTCTTCATCCTAGATCAAAATACAATTTTGAATTATATTGTTCATTCAGCCATTGGGTTAAGAATGGTAATTGCAATCATGGAAATTACAAAAAAATTAGTCATCACGCGAAATTACCTTAATACAAGTGTTTTTGTTGGGCTCGAAAAATCAATTAGTGAACAAATATCCCCTGTAGTCTTTGTATGCCCGTATATATTTTGATTAACATCTTTAATAACCCAAGCTGCAATACAGATATTTTGATATTGCAATACGAATCATATCACCCTAGTAACAACATAATACACACCAGCAGCTTAACCTTGTATTCGCGAATGCAACTAACGGCTTCCAGCTGCCGGTTGAACATATTTTTTATGGGAAACTCATTTAAGTATAAATAGGACTTGTCATTATTCCATTCACATTTAAATGAGTTATGAGTTATGGACTATCTTAAACATTTTGTATCATTCCTAAGCCTCGATGATACCTACATGTTCATGCATCAATATAGACACGCGTGATAGACGTTCAGCATATTGCAATCAGTCCCATGATCGCGCCATAACAGTATTTAATATGTAGTATATTGATGAGTAGCCAGCTAAGAAAAACACCAGACATCTGCACATGTACAATAACATGTACTCATAGATAAGAATACACCTTGAAAAATAGCTTACATATAAATATAGCTAGAGCAGTCAAATAATATAAGTACTGTACATCAATTCTGGGACTTCTTTTGAATAATATCAGTAGAGCAACCGTTGGATTTAGGGACGGAGTCAATAAGTCAAACAATATCACAGTACATCAATTCGGGTACCTGTTTCAGCAACAATGCAGAAATTGTTAGCATTTGTAATTGGTCTGATTGGAGCTTTATACATGTTGCCAGTGTTTCCCCTCTGGAATACGAGAGTGCCACCAAAAGTTACAGAAGTTAACTCTTTACTGACCGAGTATGATTATATAATAGGTAAGTCCACCTTTAAATTCTTCTGGAAGATAAGTCTTTAACCCCTAACTGTCTGAGTATAATTATATTACAGGAAAGTAGTTAACCCTTAGCTGGCTGAGTATAATTATATAACAGGAAAGTAGTTAACCCTTAACTGGCTGAGTATAATTATATAACAGGAAAGTAGTTAACCCTTAACTGGCTGAGTATAATTATATCAAAGGCAAGTCTTTATAACTCTTTAACTGATTGGGTGTGATTATATTACAGGTAAGTATTTAACCCCTTAACTGACTGGGTGTGATTATATCAAAGAAAGTCTTTAACCCTTAGCTGACTGGGTGCGATTATATTACAGACAAGTCTTAACCCTTCACAGACTGGGTGTGATTTTATAACGGGCACGTCTTTAACCCTTAACTTACTGGGTGTGATTATATGACAGGCAAGTCTTTAACCCTTCACAGACTGGGTGTGATTACATTACAGACAATTCTTAATCCTTCACAGACTGGGTGTGATTATATAACAGGCACATCTTTAACCCTTAACTGACTAGGTGTGATTATATTACAGACAAATCTTTAACCCTTAACAGACTGGGTGTGATTATATAACAGGTAAGTAGTTAACCCTTAACCGACTGGGTGTGATTATATAACAGGCAAGTCTTTAATTAACCAATAACTGACTCAGTGTGATTAAATGTATATCACAGGCAAGTGTTTAACCCTTTACCGTTTAGATGTGATTATATAACAGATAAATCTTTAACCCGTAACTGGCTGAGTATAATAATTTATTAAATAACAGTTTTTAACCTATAATTGGCTAAGTATTATTACATAACTGGCAAGTCTTTAACCCTCTAACTCTTTACTGACTGAGTATAATTACATTACACGGGTAAATCTTTATGAATTTTGCATGACAATGTTACAGGTAAGGTCTGAACCCTTTACTGAGTATGACTATTGTATATTAGATATGACTACTGTGTTATGCAATTAACCAATCATTTGCAATTCACAAATGATATAATACAAATGTCCCTCTTCCACATAAAAACAAAATAATGAGATGACTTCAGGACATTTATGTGTTTATCAAAAAATTCAACAAGCAAAAAGCCTGTATCAAATAATGATGTGTATGCTGTAACATTGACTTTTTTGACATTGATTCAAAGTGCAAATGTGTAAATACTCCCAAATAATAAAAGATAGAAAAATAAACATAAATGTAAAAATCTTAAGTTTTCCTGGAACATACAAGAAATATTATTGGCCCAAAAAAGTTAAAAAATTATTTTTGGCTCGGTTGCATGCTTGATCTAAATTATTCATAAAATTGAATTTCTATAGTTGGTGCGGGGGCTGCAGGTTCAGTTCTGGCCAACAGACTATCGGAAGACCCCAAGAAGACGGTACTCCTACTCGAGGCTGGACGTGACGATACTTATGATGACCGCAGCGAGATTCCCATATTTTGCGATCACCTTCAGCTGACAAAATATGACTGGCAGTACAAGACTGTGCCCCAGAAACATTCCTGTAAAGGCCTCAATGATCAGGTAATGAGGAAGGCTGCTAATAGGTGGCACAATTGAATCAGGTTAAATGTTGTATTGAATACTGTATGATTCATTTTTTCAAACTATGTCAATCGATGTTGTTGCAAATTTCTCAAAAACATATTCATTGAAGATACAAGAAGTAACAACTTAATGAACACATCTCTCTAGTGAAGACCTGTCTCTAATGGACATCCCTCCTCCTCACATACTTGGCTAACTTTTATATAAATTAGCCTCTCTGTGATGAACTCCTACCTACAATGAGCACATTTTTGTGACTTGAAAGGTGTTCACTGTTTGGAGGTTTTTCTGTATAGGATACACTGGTGGATCTGGGGGGGGGGGAGATCAAGTCACAATGTGTTTAATAAATCAATTTTATTTTGATGATATTGACTTATAGCCATAAATTAAATGCACAATGCTGCTCCCAAAGTCTCCTAAAGGAGAAATTTATGCTCCTTTTATTCTATTTAAAGGTGAGTTTCTGGCCAAGTGGAAAACTACTGGGTGGATCAACCCGCATTAACTGCATGCAATATACGTGGGGATCTAGACACGATTACGACCAATGGGAGGCCCTTGGATGCAAGGATTGGGGGTTCAGAAACCTTCATCAATATTTTCTGAAATCTGTTGGAGTCATTGGTCAGACAAGCACAAATGGTAAATATATATTTTTATTATCTAATTTTTACTTATGCTTGACTGTGATTGGTCACTTGTATGGCTATGAGGGTCAACTTTAAAAAATTGCCTATTGAAACATCCATTACATCAGTTTGACTTGATGTTGCATTTTGATGTCATTAGCTTGATTTTTTTATAATTAATGTCTCACCACTGATATTGTATTCTATATCAGCGACTGATCGCTGATATTACGTTCTATTTCAGTGACTGATGCCCTACTGAAACTAAGTGTGGTGAAACAGACAAAGGGTATAGATGTATTACTCGAGGCAGCTAGAGAACTGGGCTACCCCACTGGGGACAATACTGGAGAAGGACTTGAAGGTAAGAGATAATTGGCAAAGCCAGACTTTAGACAACTTACAAAATAAAACCATGCTGACTTTTTTTGTTTGAAACTGTGAAAATGAAATCTAATGTAATTTTATACTGACTTAAACTCAATTTTAGCCTCAACCATTGAAATGTCCTTGCTTTAATTCTAGATCTTTGCTTCACCCGTGGTGGCAAAAACCAATGCACTTTTGTCATATATAGCCTATTGACTCCGACTGGCGGATCACGTGGGGGGCTAAACGGCCTCAAAAATGGGCCTTTTTGGACATAATTTGGCCTTTTTAGGCCACATTATCAAAAATGGACCTTAATTTTTTAAGATTTGGACCCGTCTTTAGGTTTTAGGGGCCCAATATCTTTTGCTCATTGAGGCAAAAGTACTGATCCTGATTTGTTCTTAAGAAAGCAATCTTTTGCAGGGTTTACTTTAGTCCTTATTTGGCCAATCTCTGGTAATCTTTTGCAGGATTTAGTCCTTATTTGGCCAATCTCTGGTAATCTTTTGCAGGATTTAGTCCTTATTTGGCCAATCTCTGGTAATCTTTTGCAGGATTTAGTCTTTATTTGGCCAATCTCTGGTAGTGGTAATCTTTTGCAGGATTTAGTCCTTATTTGGCCAATCTCTGGTAATCTTTTGCAGGATTTAGTCTTTATTTGGCCAATCTCTGGTAGTGGTAATCTTTTGCAGGATTTAGTCCTTATTTGGCCAATCTCTGGTAATCTTTTGCAGGATTTAGTCCTTATTTGGCCAATCTTTGGCAAGGAGAAAGATACCACACCTCAAGAGCATTTGTAGAACCCGCAAGTCTCAGAGCCAATCTTCATGTTTCCACTGAATCTTTTGTAACCAAGGTAAGTTACGTAAAAAGGTGTGACCAAGACCTAATTGAAATAGACAAGACTAATTGAAAAAGGCAAGGCTAATTGAAATAGACAAGACTAATTGAAAAAGGCAAAGCTTATTGAAATAGGCGAGGCAAGTTGAAAAAGGTGAGGTAAATCAGAATAGGTGAGGCAAATTGAAATTGGTGAGGCAAATTAAAATAGGTGAGGCAAATTGAAACAGGTGAGGCAAATTGAAATTGGTGAGGCAAAATTAAGTTAATGTCAATATTACTGTAACATTATATTTCATGTTTCGAGGTTTTTATTGACAAAATGCTGTCATTAATGTTAATCAGTAAACTTTTGTTCAAACACCTCACCTCACCTCGCCTCACCTACATTATATCTGTTCTACCAATTCAACTATTTTAACTGAAAAAATACTTATTTTGGATTGTAATTCCACTATTCAACTGCAGGTGATCATCCAGAACAAACAGGCTAATGCAATACGATTTGTGAAAGATGGACAAAGACTGCAAGTAGGCGCAAAGAGGGAGATCATTCTCTCTGCAGGGGCAGTAGGCTCTCCTAAGATACTTATGCTCTCTGGGGTAGGACCTAAACAGCACCTGGATGACATGAAGGTACTAGGAAGTATTTTGATCAGTCAGTCATAATTTTTGACTAGGTAGAGGAAACATTTTGTGTTGTACAATAGTATCTAAAGATACTGTAATAACCCTGGGGTTAGTATTGGTACGATTGTAACTTACTACTCTACGAAAACCATTGTCTTTTTTGACAAACAATGACTTGCGACCAAATGATAAGTTACAACTTTTCCAAAAATGGACCCTTGGATGGCAAGTTACAGCGCAGCTAAGTTACAACAGTCCAACTGTAGTGTTTAAGCACTTATACAGAGTGACTCAAAAAGAGTGCCACCCACATAATGTTGCAGTTAATCTAGTTGAGCTGGTCATCTGAAACTTCCTAGGAAGTTGCTCCATGAAGTCTCATTTTAATGTGCAAAATAACAAGGCAGGAATCATGCAGACAAAGAAGCAATGCAACATTATGCGGGTGGCACTTTTTGTGTTACCCTGTAGATGGTTAAATAAATGCCAAAATGAAGATGAAATAGATTAAATGGACTGAATGAATGCCCTGCTAATCCGAACACTTTTGGCCAGTCCAAGAGGTGTTCGGATTAGACAGGTTACTGTAAAATGGAAAGTTTTCAGATACCTCTTGAGGCTGATTTACCTGTTGGAGAAAACCTCCAAGATCATCTCAGGACAAATCTACATATAGAAACAGAGGGAGATATACCTGGGAAACATGTGGAATCTATATGGAGCAAATTAAAGTACAGCCTGTTTAGAACTGGTAAGATTTTTTATTTTAACATTCCCATTATAGACCAATATATCAATTGTTCTAGTTATTGTGACATCACATATATTTACTGCACCAGCTTAAAAGAATATTTTTCCATTTCTCCTGCATGGTATCTTTGGGAACCTTGATAAGGGGACTTTCTCTGAAATGTCAAAATTTCTCTTGATCTAAACTTAGGTCATGTGGATACTAAGGTCAAACAGAACAAAATTTCAAGGTCAAATGTCATCATGACCTTCTTAGGGAGTCCATAAAAACTGACCTATTGCCTGGTGGAAGGTTTAAACCTGAATTGTTCTTTATTTCAGGCTACATGACTATGCCTTATGGTTTGGAAGGGACGGGTTTCTTAAAGTCGAAGCACCAAGATAAAGACGACCAAGCTCCACATATACAATATCAGATACAAAACCTGAAATGTTCTTTTATTTCAGGCTACATGACTATGCCTTATGGTTTGGAAGGGACGGGTTTTTTGAGATCGAAGCACCAAGCTAAAGACGACCAAGCTCCACATATACAATACCAAATGATAAGTGTACAAGCACCCCCTGAAGATAAACTCAATCAAGCTAAAAGTAATTATAAACAAAAGGTGAATTTCTTATTGTATTAATTCTTTGAGACAGTTTCAATCAAGCTGGAATATAAAAAAATTGAGTCTAATTGCTGCACGACTTTGGACCCTCCTCCTTATCTACTTCCCCAACATATCACATCATGTAAGGAGGTGTGCAGTCACATAGATCATCTAAGAAAATCAGATGTAATATAACTAATATACATTAAAGGTGTATTATAACCATTCTGGAAGTCAATTAAGGATGCATTTCATCGATATGTCTCAAATGTTACACCTCCCACATTACCACGGTTACCATATCTCTTAAATATTTATTTCAGATTTGGAAAAATTTATTTCAAGACAGCAAACCAGGATTGACATTCACCAGTATATTACTGCATCCTAAGAGTCGGGGATCAATAAAACTGAAAAGCACAGATCCGTTTGACCATCCCCTCATAGACCCCCAGTACTTGACAGAGCAACAGGATCTGGATATCCTCATAGAAGGTATATTCTTCAACTTATTTATGCTTAACACTGGTAGTTGTAAGAGAAAGTGGCTGCCAAACACCGCCTGCCAAACACCATCCTCAAAAAAGTTGGAGACTGTAACAAAAACTTAAATTTTTATTTCCAGCTCGAGAAATTGCAGAACAATTTGCAACGACAGAACCCTTTAAAGCTTTGAATGCTAAAGTTCAAAATGCCATACATCCAGATTGTAAAGTGCACAAAGTTGGAACGAAAGAGTACAATGAATGCTTTGTGAGACACCAAGCTGTGACAATATACCATCCAGTTGGTACATGCAAAATGGGTGCCCAAAATGATGATTCTGCAGTTGTTGACCCTGAGTTAAGGTAAGAGTTCATAGAAGAACGATAAACCAAGAGGTTCATCTTTATATGAATATAATCTTTGAATTCTGGGTTAATTTCCTCTTGGTTAAGGTTTGTCTTATGCCTTTGTACGATATTAATTGACTGTTCGATAACATTAAACTTAACTTTTATTTTGCAAGGCGTTAGTATTTTGGAGTGCTTTAGAACATTTAAATAAACGTGTTTCAGGGTTTGAGTTATCAAATGACTGTTTTGGAACATTTTAACTACGGTAACTTTAAAAGGTTCACTGTAATTTACAGGGTTCGTGGTATCAAAGGCCTAAGAGTTGCTGATGCTTCCATTATGCCAACTTTACCATCAGGTAACACAAATGCACCAACCATCATGGTAGCAGAAAGAGCCGCTGATTTAATAAAAGGACTTTGAGTAAACATTAAATGAAAATATAAATACTCATAGCAGAAAGGGCCGCTGATTTAAAAAAAGAACTTTGAGTGAACATTAAATGAAAATATAAATACTCATAGCAGAAAGGGCCGCTGATTTGATAAAAGGACTTTGAGTAAATGTATCAGATGCTGGCACAGTTTTGCCGGAAGTTTGCAAGAAGTAACTTTTGGCAATGCAGTATGTTAGAGTAACCTAGTAGGTGTAAGAAAATATAAGGTGATGGCCTTTAAAGTGGTAAAAACAATTTTCACGGCCGAATTGGACTTCAATTCCTGCGATTTCAGGGGGTACTATAAGACTATTTCATAACATAAAGGATATAGTTGCTATTGTTCTGCTTTCTACAGCACACATTACTAGTCCAAAGATGAATAATATCCTAAAGTTATAGGCCGATATCTGTATTAGTCTCAGAAATATTGCAATTAATAGGAAAAAATATGCAATTTTATTCATTTTTAAGTCTCACGTATCTTATATTTGTAGCTTCCAGCAAAAGATGGCAGCTTAAATAGCTCAAAATTGTTTTCTAAAAACTAATTCAAGCTTTGTTTGATATTGTAATACAATTATAATAATGATAATGTACTATTTATGATTTTTAATATGACTTTATAGTACCCTACCCCTGGAAAGTGGGCGTGGTCAATGTTATCATTTTGCAGCATACAATGAAAAACTTATATTGATAGAAAGCAAATCAATGCATTTTTAACATTTTCACTTGTTACTTGACATTGTAATTCATTCATTACTAAAATATAGGACTCTACATATTTATATATACGTTTTCAATTTTGTACAATGTATCATGATGAAATCTAATAGGCTGGTTCATTTTCAGTGTTCACTAACGCATGAAATGTAAGTCACAGTGTTTCCAAATTACCTTGGCAATGAGAAAGTACCACAAAGACTACATAATATGAGCAGTTTCAAGGTCCTAATACTAATACTTACCGATCTATCGGCGTTCAAAAATAGAGAAAGCTGTCGTGAGTGCAGTTTTAACTGACTTTGAACTGAAACTGCTGCTTAATGAATATTTTTCTCAACATCTGTGACTTTTTTAGACCCCAAACATAAGATACCAAGACATAATGCTACCAAGTTCTGATATTGGAAGTTTCAGAGCTCTAGATCAAATATTCACTTCTGCATGTACTTTTAAAAAGAGGCAAAAGGACAAAAAACCTGTCAGATATTGTGAAAAATATGAAAGATGCACTATTCAGAACAATTTATCTCTTAAATGTTACTTTTATTTGACATAATTTCTGATTCTGCCTCCAGTTAGTACCACCAATAATACATATGAGAAGACTTAACGTCATAGTAAGTGGGAGTACAGATCTATTGGCTTCTGAAAATGGGAAAAGCTGTAGCAAGTATGATTTTCACCAGTTTTTCATCTAAGACTGCAACTTTCTGAATTTTCTTTTTACAAACTGCACAGTAAGACCAAAGACATTAAAGGAAACCTGGTCATTGTACCACCAATAATAGGTAAACATAATATTGGTAATATATACCAAGTGTTTACTTTAATTCCAAGGCATCTGAATTGATAAATAAATAAAATCAGTACTTTATTGTATCTTGGGACAAAATACACTGTTTGAATGCTTAGCTTGACATCACAGTATCAAGTGAAAGATACGTTGTTATATACAGCTATATATCACTTTAACTGACTTTACTCTTCAATTTGAAATATGCCTGGCCATCCTAAGAAAAATGCGAAGGAGGGCAAAGAGGGTGCATGGTATAATTGGTAATTAAGCTCTTCTAGAGTTTAAAGCTCCCACAATTTTTAAAAACGAAATGGAGAATAAGATGTGAAAGTATAGGATGGACTAATTGTTCTAAGAAAGTTTTTGAAAGTAACATTGCATGAAATATTTAAGCAAGAGATATGTTCCAAAATACTTTCAGGTAGAAATAAAGCTCCGTAATGTAAAAACAATGTATTCTCAGTATTCAATAATAACATTCTTTATAGGTTTTTTGGTCTTAAGCATATCAGTGATTATCCCATGGTTGCAAGGATATAGATCGAATATCACATGAAGATATATTTGATATGTGGATCAAGTTATAATATTTTAGCAAAAAATTCACAAACCATCGAATATCACTTTTAAACTATCGAATATCACGTCTTAAAAAGTGATATTCGGTGGTTTGAAAAGTGATATTCCATGGTTTCGATTTTTTTCAAAAAAAAATTTCTTTTTACATTTTTTAATTATTTTCAAAAATATTAAAAAAAAATTTCAACATTTTTTCACAATTTTTTTTCAATTATTTTTTCAAATTTTTTCTCGAATTATATTTTTCACATTTTTTCGCTGATGATGATTTCCCATGGGATAAATAAATTTTTTTTCAAAAATATCAATTATATCCACTCATGGATACAAATATCTTCACCATAGGATATTCCTATATTATATCAATCCGGATGCTGAAGTCACTTAAAAAATAATAACTAGATGTAACTCCTAGTAAGCACTTCAAGTTTCAGTTCTAAATAAAATACAGTTTAGTTAAAAAATTGTTAAGAATACATACAATTTCACCATTTCTGACTGTATTTTGCATATTTTTAGGTGTCAATGATTCAATGATTATTTGATCACCTCCTAAAACTACTCTCATATTTATTTGGTGGTACAGTGATATGGAATCCTGTCTTTTGGGGTCTCACGGAATTCTTGTTTTAGAGAAGAAAATCCTGAAAGCTGCAGTTTAATATTATGAATTATAGGTGAAAATTGCACTTGCTACACTGCTTCTCCCATTTTTAGATGCTAATAAATCTGTAACTACACTTACTATGACCTTAAGTCTACTCATATGTATTATTGGTATTACTAACTAGAGGCAGAATCAGAAATTATGGTAAATAAAAGTAAAATTTAAGAGATAAATTGTTCTGAATAGTGCATTTTGTCACATTTTTTCGCGATATCTGACTGCATTTTGTGTCTTTTGGGTCTTTTTAAGAGTCCATGCAGATATGAATACTTGGTCTAGAGCTCTGAAATTTTCAATACCAGAATTTGGTAGCACTATGTCTTGATCTCCTGTGTTTGGACTCTAACCAAATCACAGTTGTTGAGAAAAAAATTCATAAGTAGCAGTTTTAATTCAAAATTAGTTGAAACGGCACTCAAGACAGCTTTCCTCATTTTTGAAAGCTGATAGATCTGCAAGCATTTACATCATGATCTTGAATCTGGGCATACATATTCTTAATGGCACTATCTCATTGCCCAGATATTGTGGGAACATTGTGACTTATATTCCATGTGATAGTAAGCACTGAAAATGGACTTGTTGCATTGTGGGGGACCCCATACAAAACAAACATAGGGGTAGGGGAGGGGGGGGGGGTTTAAACGTTGATCAGTTCTGCTATTTTTTGTGGCTATTGGTCATATAGTAGATCATTTTGTCAAAAGGTAAGGGTGATCCGAGAAAAAGTTTGTAAATTGAAACAGCCTATTAGATTTCATCATGATACAGTGTACAAAATTGAAATTGTATATATAAAATAAGTAGAGTCCTATATTTTAATAATAAATGAATTACATTGTCAAGTAACAAGTGAAGATATTTTATAAGCATTGATTTGCTTTCTATCAATACAAGTTTTTAATTGTATGCTGCAAAATGATAACATTGACCACGCCCACTTTCCAGGGGTAGGGTACTATAAAGTCATATTAAAAATCATAAATAGTACATTATCATTATTATAATTGTATTACAATATCAAACAAAGCTTGAATTAGTTTTTAGAAAACAATTTTGAGCTATTTAAGCTGCCATCTTTTGCTGGAAGCTACAAATATAAGATACGTGAGACTTAAAAATGACTAAAATTGCGTATTTTTTCCTATTAATTGCAATATTTCTGAGACTAATACAGAAATCGGCCTATAACTTTAGGATATTATTCATCTTTGGACTAGTAATGTGTGCTGTAGAAAGCAGAACAATAGCAACTATATCCTTTATATTATAAAATAGTCGTATAGTACCCCCTGAAATCGCAGGAATTGAAGTCCAATTCGGCCGTGAAAATTGTTTTTACCACTTTAAAGGCCATCACCTTATATTTTCTTACACCTTCTAGGTTACTCTAACATACTGCATTGCCAAAAGTTACTTCTTGCAAACTTCCGGCAAAACTGTGCCAGCATCTGATACAAAACATAAAATGAAACTAGAAATACTCAGTGAACATTATTTCACTCTTGGTAGCAAAAAGGGCGGCTAATTTAATAAAAGGACTTTGAGTAAACATAAAATGAAAATAGAAATACCCAGTGAACATTATTTCACTATCAGTAGCAGAGAGGGCTGCTGATTTAATAAAACGACTTTGAGTAAACATAAAATGAAAATAGAAATACTCAGTGAACATTACATCACTATTGGTAGCAGAAAGGGCCGCTGACTTAATAAAAGAACTTTGAGTAAACATAAAATGAAACTAAGCTACTTTGAGTAAGCATAAAATGAAACTAAGCTACTTTGAGTAAGCATAAAATAAAACTAAGCTACTTTGAGTAAGCATAAAATGAAACTAAGCCTAGAAATACTCAGTGAACAATATTTCACCATTGATTGGTAGCAGAAGCGGGTGATTTAATAAAAGGCCTTTGAAGGTAGAAACACCCAGAGTAAACATACAATGAAAGTAAAATGAACATTTTTACCTTCAAAACACTGAAAATTGATTTGCTCAATGATTATAATGTAATTTGCTATCAGTAGTGAAGAGGGCTGCAAGATCAGTAAAAAAATATTTATTATTACCCTACACTCTATCTTTGGGGTATCCCCACTGGTAAAGATTAAATGGGGCCATATCTGGGCTATGGGTATGGGTATCGTCATGAAATATGGCAGGTTGGTAGGAAATTGAATGATGTACAAATGTGTAAAATATCAGGGAGTTATTTCTTAGAATGACAAAGATATTAGGAAAAACTAGGGTTGCCGTTTTTTTTACCACCCTGTACTTACGCTCGGAGTACTCTAAGTGGCTATTTCTAGATTCAGTGAAATTAATAACCCTCATCAATTTCATAGTTTCAAGTTGGCAGATGAGTTCAAAGCTATAAATAGCAACATTATGAATAGCAAGGCAGGTGCAGGTTAAAATGTCAAATGATCAAATCTTGCAAAGTTTTTGGTAGAATTAAATTCTTTTAAGAGATACTGAACAAAAGCTTTTGCAATATGTGAAAAGAATTAAAGCATATGACTCTATGAATTGTGGGTGATTTAATGCACTCATATCTTGTATCCTAACATTTAAATTTAAGCAACTGGCCTCATTCAAGGTCTTGATCCAATACACTTGCGATCCATTGAATGGAGAAATTAGAAGCCATGTTTTGAACAGTAAGATTTAATGTGAGCCCAGGGATGATCTTAAGCGCAAGATCTTCTTGGGCAGATTACTTCTAATATTTTATTCTCTCTACGACCCTTTAACTAAATGATAAAAATATTATGAAATTAATGCCTACCAAAGGCAGTTTCTCGTACCAGCCTCAATCATGATAAAAATCCATAAGGCATTAACATGCAAAATGTCACCAGCTGCCATTTGTTGCAAACACTAACCACCAAACACTGTCCACAAAAAGTTGGAGACCATAACAATATGTCACCACTTCTAATGGTGACATAATAATTCAAAAGTCCTAATATCATATTAATTAAGTTCAAATGATGTTTAAATATATTTCTATTGCATGTTTGTGAACATCGCATTTATTGTACAACATTTTATTGTACTACAAAGAGCTTCAAGCTCCATCTTTTTCCTGCCCCACATCAACCATTAAGGCAGCTAAGAAACTGGGAAATATTTTGGGAATGTTACTATGTTATTCACTGTAAAATGGACAGTTAGTCCTGTCAAATGGTTATACACACTATTGTTCCTTGCTGTATACCTGCAGTCTGCAACCAATATTTTGGCGTCGTTGGGGAACCAATTCGACGGTGAAAAAACGTAGATTTTCGACGTCATTTCAGCGATAAACTAGCAGAAACAATCAACGTCGAAACGAGGTCTGATTCAGTGTTGAAATGGCGTCGAAATTCATCGTTACTTGGACACCAACACAATTTGACACCAACACAATTCAGCATTGAAACAGTGTCGAATTGACGTCACATCTACGTCACATATACGTTGAATCGATGTGGAATTATATTGGCTGTGTACTTGAATAAAGGACTAAAAGCAATCCACGAGTTGAGTACATGTAATAATGCACAGAGTTTAATCATATGCACATATAAGTATGAGTTTGAATCCAAGGATCGCTTAATTAGCTGAATAATGTATTTCCCAGCGCTGTGCTCTGCAGTCCTATGTTGGACTTTAAAGTATTTAAAAATCAAAAGGCGATTAGTTCTTCTGCTAGTGTCATTTTAATCCAATAGGTGTCATTGAGTTGCTTCCTCGCTGTGATTGGTTGTTTGAGTTGTCATTGGGTCCCTGTGAAGGAGGCCTGAAAGCAGAATATTATTGGTGCATTTTGGGAGAATTGCATCATGGGAAAAGGATATTTCAAGAAAATGCATGATGGGAACAACCTGATAGTGATAATAGTTCAAGGTCAGATAAAAAAAAGCAACTTCTGCAGTTAAAGAATGAAGAAAAGTCAAAAGTTTTCTTATGAAAAAAGAGCTTATTAGTAAAGGGTTAATTCCTTAGCCAGTTAATTTTTGAATGTTTCATGCAGACATGAAGGACTTCAGCCCTAATAACATTAAAACAAATCTGAATAAAGCACTTTTCAATTCAAAATCATGGGTCTATAAGAAATATGTTTATGAACTTTATAGTCAATCATAAAATATGAAACATTCACAGAGCATGAAGTTTGAGTAAGTTTGAGTGCATGCAACTCGAGAGGGCATTATTCCACATAAAAACGTAATTATCATCAGCTCGGAACAAGACCTACATGGATTAAATGGACTAGGTATTTACAAAACAAAAACACCTACAAAACGTGTACAATGATTGATATTAAAAATGTTTTGATCGTATACCTCACCTGGAAGGCTGAGTCTTCGGTTTAGGCATTTTTTGTAATAACGCCTGGATTTCTTTCTTCTCATCATAATTTTTCCAGAGTTCGTAGAGTGCCAAAATGTGCCTGGTTATCTCTAAAATCTGGAAAGACAATACAATATCTCTGGTGATCTCTAAAATCTGGAATGTCAAGACATAATATGCTTTAGTTATATCTAAAATTTGGAATTACATCAAAGTATGCCTTGTCTCATTATAAAATACCTTTTACAATGAGACAATTCTAACTTTTCAGAACTTCGCTCATTAAAATTCTGACTTTTCTCTGACCTTTCTCAGAGTTCTAATATTCCCAGGCCTTTTTGAGAAAAATGTGAAATTCTTAAAAAAGTGGTTTGGGTTTTCCTGACTTTTAGCTACCATGGCAAACCTGAGTTCACATGAAACAATCACAGTAAAAAAAACGTCACAGACCATAGGAATGAAGCAATTACAGAGCATGAAATTATCACATTCCATGGAACAATCAGAGTACAATAAACAATCACATATCAGAGGACATGAAACTATCACATTACAAAAAAAACAAAGGACATGAAAAAATCAAAGAACATGAAAGATTCATAAAACTACACCTTTCCCTGGCCTTTTTGAAAAAAATGTGAAATTCTTTTGGGTTTTCCGGACTTTTAGCTACCATGACAAACCTGAGTTCACATGACAACGGACAATGAAACAATCACAGAACAAGAAAAATTCACAGATTATAGGACATGAAAAAATCACAGAACATGAAAAAATCACATAGAACAATACCTTATCCATGTCCACCGAGAGTTCAGCAAACCACTGTTTGGCATCTTTTTGCTGTATAACACACGCCATATGCAGACATGCTGGAAATACATGTTAATGCTTATTCATATCCATATGGTCACGTGTAAAATCATCACATTTAATCTAAAATGTTCTGCTTTTTTGAGCATGTCAAATTTTCCATTTAAAATGCCCTTTTCAAAAACTGATTTGGACTATTCCTTTCCCATGATTTTTAGAAATCTCATTTTCCCCTGATATTTGATCTCTTTTTCTACTGTCTTAAAATCTTTCACAATGGAAATATCAGGCCTCCTACAGCCCACGTGGTCGTCAGTTCTGACCTCGCTGACCTCCCATCAAGTTCCCATATCGCGAAACATGCAGCTATGTGGTTCATGATGTGGAAACTTGATGAACAATGCACATAAGTTTGGGAGAGAGGAACTGTTGGATATTTGCGATGGTTTGGGTAGAAGGGAATGAAGACTGAAGACAGCGATGTCAGAACTGATGACTGCTTGATTCGAAAACGAGGTAAGAGGCCTGAATGTGCAAATTTAAGCTTTTTAAGTTTATCTAATTCTTAATCTTTTTTATCTTACGTGTCTTTATCATAACTGAATAACTGATGCTAATTCATCATTAGAGTGTCAGTTTACAACCAATATGAATACAAAATAAAACTTATAATGCTATAAAATAGTGAAGAAAATTCTTTAATCACCTAGGGCTATTAAATAAGGGGGGTAAAATAAACATATATCAGTTCTCAGGCTATCATTCACAATTCTCCATGCCAGTTGCAGTAAACTCTCTTCATGCCCAATGTCAGCTGCATATTGTATAAGGGGTCTGTAGGGGTGGAATATCACTAGGCAACAGTCCTGGAATCATAATGCAACAGTTTATTTGCAAACGATTTCCCATAATGCAATAGTATTGTATTCTGTCAAACATTTATGTTGCTTTTAAACAATTACCCAAAATGCAATAGTGTAGTCAAAGCTCTAAATTGTATTGAAATGTCAGAAAATCAGACAGTTCATTCAAATTTTTGAGAAAAAATACATGAGCAGACGAACAAATCCTAAAATCTCACCATCATTTCTAACAGGAAGAATTCACACTCCAACACATGGTTAATCCTGTATGGAAACTCCCCACTGGGGTAGGCATAGCTGAATTTATTTTTTACTGAAAATATGAATGTCACATATAGTGATATACATTGCACTTTGAAGAGTGAAATGGCAAAAATATCCTCTGTTTTGACTGATCAGTTGAATATTTTTTCATGGGTCCAATTTTTGGACCCCTCCCAGGGTTCTCACCAGGAGAGTACCCACTTTATTCTAAGATATGTAAGTTACTCACTGATTCACTAAAATATTCTCTTACATATCAAGATACTCATTTCAAATACTCACTGATATACTCAAGACTCACTGTTCAAAATATACTCACTTATCTTTCAAATACTCACTTAAATTCTGACAAGTTGATATCAACCGGTTGTTAGAGATCACACCAAATTCCTAAATAAATAAAAAAAAAATTTATCAAGCAATGAAGGATTTATAGGCATTAACATGCAAAATGTCACCACCTGCTATTTGTTACAGATGCCAAACACTGACTGCTAAACACAAACCACCACCATCCACAAAAAGTTGTAGACTATAATAATATGTCACCACTTGTGAGGGTGATACAAAAAAACAGGGAGCAGGCAGAATGTAATCATTTTATTAAAGTACCAAAAATTGAAATATTTCAGTCAGAGGGAAACATGTAAAATAATTAATGAATTCAGTGAAAGATAAAACCGGACACAGTCAGGTGAGCACATTTGGAGGGGGGGGCATGATAAAAGAAAATTTTATCAGTCATATGCAGAGTGGTAGTTAAAAATATTAATTGATGTGCAGGGTAACTACTCACCTCTACTTTTGAAGCCAGAAAGATACATGTGGGGGCCATCAGGAGAGGGTCTATGCATTTCAAAGGGTGGCTGGAACAGAAAATAAAGTTGACTTATTTAAAGGCATAGGGTCTATGCACTTCAAAGGGTGGCTGGAACAGAAGATAAATTTGACTTATTTAAAGGCAGAGGGTCTATGTATTTCAGTATAGTTGGTTGAATTAGGTGAGGGCATCATGTGAATGCCACGGTGAATTGGCCACCGTGTGTATTCCATCATCTCCTGAAGAAGAAGACTTGATATTTTGAACTGTAGATTTTTTTCAAATGGATATATCAACAATGGGTACTGACTGAACATTAACAGAGAATATCATCATCATTAACTCAAGAGGGGTGTCAATTACAGAGTTCACTTAGTTCCCCCCTAGGCAAATCCTGGCTACGGGCCTGGTATCCCCATAGGTAACAGAACTTTGAAGTGTTCTATGTTCAACTTCAACATGTTTAGCTATGGTCTAAAGTCCTTAATTTATCAATATTGTGTGGTCATTGTATATATTTGTTTAACCTGAGGCTGTGTCTATTTAGAGATAAGTTGATGTCGAATATGGTATAACCTTGCAGGCTCGTAGAGGGGGGGGGGTTAGGAGTTTGAGTGAACACCCCTGGCCAAAAGTTCTTTCAAAATCATGGTTATGAGGATTTTTCATGTGATTTTAGGCCAGATTTGTCCACGTGAATCCCCCAAGAATTTTTCTGAAAAGTGCAAAAGCTGGCTCAATGGGCCTGATCCTGACAGTGAGACTAGTAAACGAGCCTCTTATTAGATCAAACAAGCCATCAACATGGAACATTGGAACATTGAATGCGGGATCATACCAAACACTGACACTGTCCACAAAAAGTGGAAACTACAAGTATAACAATATGTCACCACTAAATTGATGTATTTCTCTGCGTCCAAGAAACAGCCAGAAATCAAACTACAGGGTGTCAAAAAACAATGGCATCCCCCTCTTCAGCAAAAAGTACTTAATATTACATGGTGTCTCATATCTCATTTTAAAGACAGTTACCTGAGAAATTTCAGCTTTAAATCATATACTTTTACAGATTTACAGTGGATTGATTGTAAATGGTATGACCACCACTTGCATTTTTAGAAAAAGTAACAAGAAAAATGATAGAAACGTAAATTTTCATTTTCTCAAAACTGTCTTGGATAAGAGCTCTGGGCTAAAATGTTTTGGGACTCTAGTCATAACGAGACATCTTGTAATGTAAGACGTCTTACAAGGCGAGTGGTAAACCATCAGTTTTAGCAAAGAACTCTTACTCGGGATATTATTGTATTGCAATTTAGCTAAATAATGCATTCAAAGCTGAAAAATCATCTTTATTTTGACAGTTTTACTTTTTCCATGTACCTTAGATATGCTCAGAAATATTTATTACTCATAAGAGTAGTGTAAAATCCTCTTAAATTTTGCAAGAGCTCTTTGTCAAGCTGTTATGGAATGCTATTGTATTGTATAAATAGGGCATGGTAAATAAACTGGGTGTTTTAAAGAGCAGCATAAAGTGTAATGTTGACAATTTGCATAAATAGATTTTACTGTTTTATATGTCTCTGCTTAAAAGGTAGGTAAACACTGTATAAATTATTATGTTGGATGTATTGTTAACACTTTGGAAGTCAAAGATGCATGGGGGAGATGATGTTTATAAATATCTAGACATACGAGTACAAGCAGTTTTCACTGGATAAATAAAACAAGGTCTAGACTTTAAGGTTCAGCTGGACATTTTGGTAAGAAATTGCTATATCTGCAAATGTTATTTTCTGGTATAAAATTAAGTATGAAGGCATGTTTATATTTCCTTGCTTTTTTCAGGAAAGTATTATTACATTATTTACATTGAAATTGAACATTGCCGTACTAGATACAAAACTGTACATATTATATAAACCTACATGGACTATTTATAACACTCAGTAATCATTTATAATTTATTTTCAGACTTGACATTGATCCATTAAGCCAATTTGCAGTTGTATTGTTAAGATTGTGTGAACAACTATAGCAAAAGGACACAACCCATAATACTACATATACTTGTAACTGGTTGGGGCTCCCAAAGGGATACCTGACAAGGTGGCCTATAAAATGTGACTAAATGCAACTTTGGATTTTTTTAAAATAAATGAATATGCTTGCAAGTTACAAATTTGGAAATTGATCTCGCCGACAAGTATCTTGAAAAGTGATGAAAAATGACATAATGCACACAAAGGTGACTTTTTCTAACCAGTAACAACTTTTAACAACAATTGAACATAACAGACCATTCCTTCCATTTTATGCTTTGAATTCACTAAAAAATAAATAAAATAGACAAAATATGACCAGCAAATGAAAAATGTGGCAAGTGAAAATTTTGAAATTTTAAAAATGAATAAAGTGATCCTACTACCCCCTCTTGGGGAGCCCTCTGTGTTATGGCATGTGACATGGCCGTCAAGTAGATGATTAGAGTTCACAGTGTTAAAGCCAGCCAGTTAGCTATTTATATATAGCATGTATAGTGGTCAAAGATATATGCAGTATTTAACACAGACCAGCAATGAACAAGCCTACAATTACATTAACTGGACTCCTTGCTATCAGCATTATAATATTCATAGTGATCAGAATACCACTGATTTCACGAACTGGCCATTCCCATAGAATATCAAGGGGTGGTCCCGACACGAGAAATTGGCCAGACAGGATTTTATATCAAGAGTTAAAAAGGACAACAGAACCTGATCTAGGATTACAAATACTCAGGTCTTTGCTCAAGAAATGGCCAAGCAACAAACCTAAGGCATTTATTTATTTACTAATGAACGGCACGCCAGAAGGAATAAGACGACTTTTTTCAGGTCTTAAATCTGTAGATAAAAACTACAACGATGAATTCAAGTATCCAATAGTAATTTTTCACGAACCTGGTGTAACGCACTCGCAAAAAATATTAATCCAAAATGCATCGAAATCGTTAATTGTTTTCCAAATGGTGGAGTTTAAAATTCCAGAGTTTTTGGAAAAAGAAGTACCAAAGAGGGCATGCAGTAAAAATGTAGGATATAGACATATGTGCCGTTTTCACGCAAAGATTGTCACAAAACATCCACTAATGGAATTGTTTGATTATTATATGAGACTCGACGATGATTCACAATTTAATGGGAATATAAAGTATGATTTATTTAAAGAAATGAGCGATAATTCATATATATACGGCTACCTGGGAATCACCAATGATTCACCAGAGTGTGTGATTGGTCTATGGGACGCCGTTCGAAAACACATATCGAGGACGTCATTATCATTAACCTGGCCAGAGCCAATGATGTACTATAACAATTTTGAAGTCGCAAGTACGAAATTGTGGCTTAAAAAAGAATATCAAGACTATATTGAATACATCGACAAACTAGGCGGGATTTATTATTATCGTTGGGGTGATGCACCGATCAAATCTCTCGCTGTATCATTGTTTGTACCTCAGGAAAATATTCATCAATTTACCGATGTATGGTATACTCATGACACTCTATCATACCCGACAGTGCTTACGTTAATGTATACACATAGTATTACTATAATAGCTTTGTTTGTGATAATAGCCTCAATTATGACATATTTGCTAAGAAAACATAAATATCTAAAATACGGCCAATCACTGTTGAGGGGAAGTGTCAAATGAGAAAGCTATTATATAGAGGGACAATGTCAAAATGCTTATTCTGTCTGATACAGTGTAGGATTATTCCTTTTCTGCAAAAAATATGAAAGGAGTAATTGTAGTCTGTAGTCAATATATTTACTCATTTACTCATCATACCTTGGTAATCTAATATGCCTGTATGTGTCAAGCATTTAAACTAGATTAATAAATAAAGACCACTAACACTGGTGATCCACTCGATTACGATGGTTACCGAAACGGTTCGTTTCGATAACAAAATGTCGGAACATCAAAGGTATGATTTTTCTTTTTCCCTTATTTCACACGTTGTAGGCAGAATTCCCACAACATTTTTATCACGACATGTATCAGTGTTATGTGTATAAGAAAATGTACATATTTGCGAACAAATAGTTCAGAAGGCAACAAAATCGTCGATTTAATTTTTATGTAACTTAAAGGGTTCCGATTAGCATCCCGTATAAAAACAATATGGCGGCTCCAGGCGAATCAACCGGATCAGTCCATTTTTAAGAAATAAGGGGAGTTCTGTAAAATCCAGTTTATTGAAATTGTCTTTGAGATAAAGTAATCCGTTTATAATGATTTTGAAAACGTTATCCAGAGAGTGATTGCGTTCAAAGAATACATGTACAACAGCCAATATAAATCCTTGTATTAGAAACCGGTTTGTCTTGCTTTGTTTCATTTGTAGGATATTTCATATGCCAAGCTGTGTGCTGTTACGTTATGGGGAAACTTAGATGCCAATTTTTCCTTATTATACACAAATAGAAGATCCTGAAACTTCACCCATAAATGTGGAATTGATTTGTCAAAATAAAAATCACCATTTTATAAATGTGTGACGATCTATAATATACTTATGCTATATAACAGTTAGAGGTGTTGACACAACAACCTCGAACCTGTGAACCCTTGAGTATTATTCCGGGATTGGGCCTTTTATTATACTAAATGGTGAGCAACACCAGAAACGAGCGTTCGATTTGCTAAACGATATGCGTCACCCTTTAAGTGTGGAAAACAGCGGATTATATAAAAATGGACTGTAACAAATACCTGGATTTGTTGATTTTTAAAAAAAGTAATTTTTTGATATCACTTTTTATGCCCGGCATAAAAAGTGATGTCCCATTTTATGCTGGCATAAAAAGTGATATCCCATTTTATGCTGGCATAAAAAGTGATGTCCCATTTTATGCTGAGCATAAAAAGAGATACTCCATTTTATGCTGGTATTGTTTAGGAAGTGATGTTTAATGGTAGTTCAAGATTTAAGACCCATCATTCTGGCACAGATTGCTGAACCATTGTTAGTTAAGAATTCCTAATAGAATTAAGAATTATTAGCTGAAACTGAGTTGTTTTGCCCTGGCAAACAATTTTCCAACTTGTAGTTCAACTTCTTCTGTCTATTTGTTGACAGTCTGTGATGTCATCATTAATCATCACAATAGAAATGAGGTAATTCACGATGACATCACAAAGTACTCTGATGACATCATCAAACATCACAATGGAAACAAGATAATTCATGATGACATCACAAAGCATCTCTGTCATAGATAGAACTCTGCCACATTTCTTAGAAATCAAACTACTATGTGACATCATAGATAATCTCACTGTCACAGATAGAATTCACCTAATTCCCATTGTGATGATTGATGATGACATCACAGACTGTCAACACATATAGACAAAAATGAATTTCAAATGCATATTGGGATATTGTTTGCTAGGACAAACAGAACAGTTTCAGCTATTAATTCTTAATTCTATTAGGAATTCTTAACTAAAATAAGTTCAGCAATCTATGTGAGAAAGATGGGTCTGAAATCTTGAACCACCTTTAAACATCACTTACTAAATAATACCAGCAGAAAATGGGGTATTTTTATGCTCAGCATAAAATGGGACATCACTTTTTATGCCAGCATAAAATGGGACATCACGTTTTATGCTGGGCATAAAAAGTGATATCAAAAAATATTTTTTTTAAAAACCAACAAATCCGGGTATTTGTTACAGTCCATTTTTATATAATCCGCTGTTGGAATTAAATTGACGATTCTGTCTTCTGAGCTATTTTTTGCAAACATGTACATTTTCTAAAACATAAGATACTGATACACGTTTGTGAGAAAAATGTCGTCAGGATTCTGCCTACAACGCGTGAAATAAGGAAAAAAGAAAAATCGTATGATTCGTATAATGCTGATATAATAACCTTATTTTCAACATTATCACATACACCATGTACACACTAAGTGGTTGCTAAGAGGGAAAGTACCCCAGAATTCATATATGAATGTATTGCCAAATAAAAATGAGCCTTTAGGTTCGTCTATGTATTCTGGGATATTTATTTAACATATTTAAAAGTTATAAAATGCATTTCGAAAATATGAAATAGAAAAGGTTATTGTATACTGGGAATTCCTTGAAAGCATCTTTGTATGTATAGAAAATCCTGTCGGAGTGAAACAACTTTGGTACTTCTAAAGAGCGGGAGGTATTCTTCAGAGGTCCGTTCAAATTAAGTCATTTGGTCTTAGGACTCTGAAAAGTGTTCCACTTCAAAAGGTGTTCCACTCAACAGGCTTCATTGTAGTTACACATTTTCTAACAATAAAACATGCAGAATAAAACTTTAAAAATATTTTTTATTGTTCCAGTGTTATCAATGTTGAGGCCTGAAAAGTTACTTTTGATATGTTTTTTCACCTACACTCATGTATATAAAAATAGAGTGACATTAATATTTGAGCCAGGCCACAGGAAAGGGGTCTTATCACAGATTTTTTCAATATTCTGATTTTTTTTGTTTATCTTAGAAAGCACAAAGAGACCTTTCAAATGAGCCATAGCTTATGTCTTAACAATTTTTCCTTGCATATATACACCAAAAAGTCGGATTTGAATTTAGCACATTTTCCTCTTAATCTTGGGCACATTTTTGGCTCTGTGGCACAATTCTTAATTTTGTGATAAGACCGTTTTGCTATGGGCAGGCTCATTTGTTAGTGACTGGTCTATATTGAGACTTCCAACAAGCTGATTGTTCTAGAATCTTGTTACGATCTGCCAAACTCAACGAATTGTATGCCTTTTTACATTACACATTTTAGGTCTGGAGGCATTTTAGTAATGGGATAATACTAAGTTACTGTTTTCTCTTTCCTTGTCTACAAATGTGTCTGTCTCATATTCGTGATTATAAAACATTTAATGGTTGAATCTTTTCTTTCATAACAGACCCATGGGATGTAAAAAATGTTCAGAATACAAATCAAAAACATCCAGTTAATTTCCAATAATGATAAACCAATTAACCACTGGATTCACACCTTTCTCTTAATCCAAACATAAAACATTCAGTTCTTTTCTAATAGGATAAACCAATTAACTCCTGTATTCACACCTTTCTAGAGCATCCTGTTGTTTTCCACAATTAGGGGTGTCACCGAGACACACGCTAATTAGGACAATATTGGTTCTTTGATTACATTAATGTAAAGATAAATTTTACAACTACAACATTGACTTCAAATATGTGGCTCTTTTCATGTTTTGAGTATTAATGAAATGTCCAGACAAATCCGGACATTTGATTTTTGATAAAAATGTTCAGATGTTTAGATTGGAGCGCCATCTGGCGTTTGGGAAGTGAATCGGGACTAAATATTTATAAGGTAAGTCCTAATTTATCTGAAAACATGTCAAAGTTCAGTGGAAAATCTCATTCTAAGCTGGCGGCGGAGTGATTTTGACCTTGGTGATTTTTACCACAATTCTCTTAGAAATCTGACGATAGAGGTAGGTAGTGTCTTAAAGTTTATTTATCTCAAAAATAGGCTATGCGAGTCTCTCCCGCACACTGTGTTATGTTGCACTAGGCTTGGATACTAGTCGTTAATAAGATACAGGGTAAAATGTTATAATGGCCACCTATGGGAAACTCTTATATTGTCTCCAACCTATACAGGTTCTACTGTACTTTATTTTAGCGAATGTGTATTTACAGTTTATGATTAACATTATGGTAAAAAACGAACTGATTGATTTTTCCTAACAAAATAATTGTCGAGGCCAATGCTGGTCGGAGCTTCACGGTTTCAGTTAACCATCTGAACCCTAATCAAAATTATATACAGTGTTCTCCGTAGGATTTTTTTGGTCATATTATGCCAATTTTTGTGATTTTTCTCATTTTCAAGTGGGTGCGAATTGATTATCACGTGGGTGCAAGCCTGATTTTAATGCTGGGGAGATCACTGGTATATTTATTCAGAGGGAAAAAATCAATCATAGACGTCATACCTGCAGTAAAATCGTTTGAAGTAGATGGTTCCTGTGGCGATCACTTGCTGCCTCACTTTCAACTGTTCTCCTAATGCCTGCAGCACTGAAAAGTAACACACGGCAAATGACGTAAAAGAGCAAGATGACAGAAAATGCAATTAAAATCTAAGATCCATCGTCTAGAGTGATATTATTTTTATGAAGGAGTTGATATCAAATATCAGAACAAATGAGTATATCATGCCTGTAGCCAGCGGGGGTTCGAGAGGTTCGTGCGAACCCCCGGTCAAAAATTCCCAAAAGTTCATGAAATAAATTAGATAAGATTTAACCCATCAATGAGAAACCATGGCCTTCATATTTCTTGTTAAAGGCAGAGTGTGATGAGTATCAGAATGGATTTAACCATTTACTGTGCTCATGTGGGGCTATGTAGCGTATTGTGCCTGGGTCACATTTGCTCCGATCCATCGGCCGGCGTCCGGCAGATTGAGTGTTTCGTTCAAATTTGTATTCAATTTTGAACAAAACACTCAATCTGCACTCAATCGTCACTGTTCTAGCACCATCCACATTATGGCGCTTCAAACGCGTGTGCCATCCCCAATAATGGCGCAATTGCTCAAGCACCATCCACATTATGGGGCTTTCAGACTCGAGCGCCATCCACATGATGGCGCTCCAGACTCCAGCACCATTCACATTATGGGGCTTTACCATAGGCTAAGGGCGATAGAAATCATTTTTTAATAAAGATGTCATGGTAATCGATCTGTGTTTATCTATGTTTCTCTTTAGAAAAAAAGATAATACTGGATTCTGTTGGTGCTGCCATCTCTATATCCGCCCAGAACCTATGGGCTTTACGAACCAAGCACCATTCACATTATGGGGCTTACAGACCTAAGTACCATCCATATTATGGCGCTTTCAGACTAACGCGGCACCATCAACATTATGGTGTTTTCAAATATAGCACCATCCACATAATTATCGGGCTACTGATTTTCATTTGCCTTGAAGGAGATTTCAACTTTCATTCACAAGCCGCAAACAACGCGACTTCATACGCAAGAGAGTGTCACAGTCAATTCATGAGATGCCCATGCAGATGCCAACATGTTTGTATATACTTATGTTAAGAGATTAATATTATTATTATAACATGCATTTTTATATATATTTGTTTGTTTCCTATAAATCGTAGCAAATGTGACCAAGGCATGTGTCCTGTTCGAAACTATAACAAGACCGGTGTGAAAGAAATGATGGTCCCCCAGGGACGGGCCCAGGGATTATGGTCCCCTTTCTTATCGGCCCTTACTGGCCCTGATTGTGTATAAGATAATGAGGGAAAGAGTTGTATTTAGGTTACCATATAAATCGGAGAGTAGGACCATAATTTGATAGGAACTTCTACCCTTTTACACCTGGTCTAGTAGGAGCAAAATCATTTCGACATCAGGATATTAAACCATAGGCTCAGGGGCGATAGAAATCATTTTTAAATAAAGATGGCATGGTAATCGTTCTGTGTTTATCTGTGTTTCTCTTTAAAGAAAAAGATAATACTGGATTCTGTTGGTGCTGCCATCTTTATATCGGCCCAGAACCTATGATAAAAACAGTAATTGGCCATTTAATTCAATCATAACAATAGATTTTTTCTGAAAAGTTTCGAATTCACAATGAAGCAACGGTGTATCTTTTATAATCAATATTTTATAATGAAGTGTATTTTTGAATTTAAATCTTAAATAAAATAATATTAGCGTCAGAATGAAATGGATTACATACGCTATTACAATTTAATAAATGAGAATTGTAGGAACGGTATATACTCTTTTATGATCAATATTCAATCGTGCTATAATAGAATTCAACCATTTACTGTGATATATGTAACATATTAGTTCTGTTCGTATCTGTAATTGGAGCTCATGTGGTGTCTAGAAGCAAAATCATTTTATCCGAATATTATAGTAATACTAATTGGCCATTTAATTCAATTTTTAATGATGTTTTTTCTGAAAGGTTACGAATTCACAATGACGCAACAGTATATCTTTTAGAATCAATATTTTAATGAAGTGTATTTTTAAAATTTAAATCTTAAATAAAATAAGATTAGTGTCAGAATGAACTGATTACATATAACTGTATAACAATTAAAAAAGAAAGGATCGAACTTTATACTCTTTTATGATCAATATTTGATCGTGCTGAGTCTTGGCCCATATAGACAAACTAGTGACAAAAAAGCTAACTTAATTGACATTAAAAGTTAATCTTGCAGCAGAATTTGCAAGACGTATATGTTATTGCAAACAATTTTAGACGGTTACATCTTTGATTATAACGCTCAGGCTGACCACGAAGATAGGCATATCTTTAAGATACATTCATTATCCGAAGGAAAGTATGTCAATGATAATTAAGTAACTGAATTAGGTATTGCGCGCGGTGCAAATCTGGATGTAAATTAAACAAAAAGAGAACCCCACTTGAGAAATCCTGGCTACAGGCCTGTATATAGACAATGAAGCGATGGCTCAAGACTTGTATTTCATGGACTTGCACATCTACATACTACCGAAGGAGAAAGACATTTTGTTAAATCGCACACAGTGCTATCTATTTTTAAAATTCCCAAAGATAATCATAACTTTGTTGTATTGACAAAATACAGTGACATCTATACTTACAATTTGCAAAGAAAATCATAACTTTGTTATATTCCTGTTCATCTATCACCTTCAGATCAGCTTCTCTTTCCTTCATAAGATCTTGAGGGTCTAACAGCCATTGTTGACTGGAAAAAGAATGTTCATTTAGCACTATATACAACATTTTTGGATTTGTAATATAAACATCTAATTTGGCAGATTTTAGAGGATGAGTCTCTTTAACATATTCTTTTGTGTAGGAGGGGGATTTATATTATCCTATGAGGGATATGGGTTGTGACCTCTACAGTCATTATGGTATTACAAAAGTGGGTCTCCTGCGCATGTTAGAATTTTTCTTCAAAACTCAACTTTTGTTCAAGTTGATATGATTGTTACTCAAGTCTCTAGCCAATTCTTGGCTAGAAGTAATTCCATCTGGAACTCCTAGAACTACTCCAGTAAAATTTCTTGCCGGGGTTCAATAAATTTAAGTAATTCTAAAAACTGTCATGTTAAAGGCATACTGTAACATACAGCCGACAAAATGGTTAAAAAAATATTTTCTCAGGCTTTAGAGTCGATTTCATGGTTTAAAACCTTCTCTGGTGATTCTATTTTCGAACTATGCATGAAAGTCCATTCTAAGTCGCCTATTGAACCTTGAAAAGTGATATTTAGACTGAGGATTGAAAGGTGTTCACAACTTTCAGCTCATCTTTATTACGACAGACAGGAAGTGAATTTTCGAGTATACTAATTGGTGATAATGTTCTTTTTTTATGAAGCAAGGAAGTCAAAACATTAATAGAAATCATAGTAAGCATTAGAAGATCATTTAGAAGTATTTAAAAGTTTTAAATGCGAATAGCTCATTATAGTATTAGTTGATCAGTAATCACATGACGTTTTATGCCAATGAAAGAATCAGTTATAATAAAGCTGCTTGGTTGGCAATAGTTCAACAAGTTAAAACAAATACCACGGCTTTCATTTATTAATCTGAATGTTCTTGTTCAGTACAAAGAAATTTTTGATCGCAATATTTGCGTGTAATATTTAACTTATTTCAACCGTCAAATTCCTCCATTTTTGGTTCTTCCGAGCCACTTCCGGGTCGGTCAAACGGGGAATCCCCATTTAAATCCAACCGCCATCTTGGAAAGTGATAGAATATCTTTCGATGAAAAAGAAATACGTTCCCATTCTGCCGATAAACCCAGATAATTGTAGATTCAACTACACAAAAGAATGCTAAAATACCCAGGAATCTATTGAAGTAGGAATGTTATAAAAACCCTTCGACCTTCGACCTGCACCTTCGACTTACAGGGTGTCCAAAAAGAAAATATTATAGAATTTATTTTTGCCGATCTCAGACCACGCAAGAGTCACTTGATTTGTGGTTCACAGGTGAGATCGTTAAGATCTTAAATTGTAGCAACGTTTGCAGTACTCTAGGTATAGTTACAGGGGTGAAATAGCGTTTTCATGTTATCAAATTAAGATTCTGTTGATGTTGATCGGGTAGTCAATCGGGTAGTTTAAATGGGTTACTTCCTGGTTTTGATTCGATTGAATCAAAGTAAGATTAGAGTTAGTAGCAATCAATTACTGTTCTATTTATTGAGTTCCAATTATAGTCTTGTTGTGTGATCAATATTAAAACGGGATATGGCGTCAATAACTTGTTATTTAACTTTGAAATCTTGTCCGAAAAGTGATGACGTCACTGGGCCTATAAAGTATTTCGCCGATGTAAACTCAAGAGATGGCAGCTATAGCTTTTGACGAGGACAGAGCTCCGTTCAATTTCATAATCTATGTGAAGTTGGACTTAGTCGTTTTTCAAAGAAATATTTTGGGACTTTGACAATTTTCATAAGAAAAGTCAAAGGTGCAGGTCGAAGGGTTTTTATAACTTTCTTTTTGGCCCGCTTTTTGGATACCCTGTAGGTTGAAGCTGAAGGTCGAAGGTGCAGGTCGAAGGGTTTTTATAACATTCCATTGAAGTAGGTATCTTAAGTGTAAGAGGCATAGAAAATTCTCCCATTTTGTAAACGTACAGGCAAAAGATTGAGATGTTCTCAGGACTAAAGTCCTGGCACGGGATAAGAATTGGCAATATACGGTCAGCGACTGGGTTTGAAGCGAGAGGTGGGAGCTAACAGGAAGTACTGCAAGTACTATTCATATTTAAATAAATTTGCCCTCAAATCGCAATCACCCCGATAGTCATTCGAAAATACAAGCTTATTCTTAGAAAATTGGTTTCACTTTCAATGTACTTAACCCTATTATCGCCCATTACAAATTGTGATTCTTTCAAGCTTCGTTTTAATACGATAAGTCAGTAACTTACTAATGTGAACTCTGCCAAAAGTTCCCTGCCATCTTTCTATTATCTAACAGTCGTCGCAGCGCAATCAACGAACCAGTTCGGCTGGAATTAAGCAGCTTCACTCACAGGGGATTGCATGGAGGGTCGGGCAGAACCCTCCCCAACCTCCTAAGGCTACTTCTCTTTAAAAAGGGCTCTCGAAAACTGACCTGTGTAGAAAAATAAAAAAAAATATTTTATACTAAATATAAGTCGAATCATTCCTATAAGCTAGATACACATTCAACATATAGAATTAGCAAAGGAAAAAAATAATGGAAGCAATCCGTTGACTAGTTGCTCAGAAATGTAGACGGATTCTTCGAAATGATGGAAATCGACGTTTTTACGAATTTAATCCGCGTTAAATGAAATACATTTCAGTCTATTTCTTTCTTATATACACTCACCATTAAAAATTGTTACTTCACAGGGTACTTCCTTTACGTGGCTTCCCTATGGTTACACGTTTATCACGAATTACATCTCAGAACGACTGCCACACGTGGATTTGTGTCGAGACGAAACTTTTGTCGAAAATTGTAAATAAATAATGGCCGGCAACCAGATATGAATGAAGATCTGCATTTTCATTGGCCCATTCACAATCGTTATAACAATTAATGATAAATGTAAAGGAGACATTTGAAACGTGAATAACATATTCGGCGCTTAGTTAAAAAGAAACTTTGATTTTATATAATACAAAATATATTTTTGTGTGTCTTGAAATAGGTGAAAATCACGTCCAGGCAAAGGTTGAATTTCATTGGTCAGCGAAAGTGACAAGATGGCGGCCCACATCATGGCTCACGTGTCTTGAGAGAAATACTAATTATAGGTAGGTAGAGACTATCGCTGATATGTACTTACTGTTTGACATTGTGTGACTATATTTTGTCCATTATATGAACCATTGTTGATGAAATTGGTAATGTCATAGCTGCCTGTAAATGTTTAATAACATCTTTGAATCTTAAAAATGAACTGAGTGGAAATTTCATTTCAATCGATTCATGATTCAATGATAACAGCTTTGTAACATATTTTTGCCAAGACTTCCTATAACTAAGAACTGCCGTGGCAGACTGGCAATTCCGTAGGCAGTTTTTGAAAAGAGAGGAGGGTTCATTATCAAAATTGCATTGGGTTCATATTTGACCGATCAGTTTAGGTGCAAAAATGTTAAAAAAAACTAAATGATTGTTAAAGAATTTTAGACAAGGTCTTGAACCCCCAAATGCACCCCCTCCCCCGTGTCCACTCTGGATAAAGACCTGGTTGGGATGCGGAAATGAGTAGTTGATTTTTCATTACCATATTGTTTTGAAAGCCTATCTTTTGCAAGACTTATGCCTGGCACAACCGTCACCATGTTATTAAGTGTTTTTAAGTTTCGTAAGGGTCCTGGCATTACCGTGCTAGTGTTATCATGATAGCCAGATATAACCGTGACAATGTAATATTATATTGCATGGCCTGTCATGACCATGGTAATGTTAACGCCTGATATGACTGTGACAATGCTATACTAAATTACTATACTAAATGGTTATGTTAAAGCTGATATGTATGGACAATGGTTGCAAGGCCTGACATGACTGTGGTTATGTTAAAGCTGATGTGTATGGACAATGGTTGCAAGGCCTGACATGACAGTGGAAATGTTAAAGCTGATATGTATGGACAATGGTTGCAAGGCCTGACATGACAGTGGAAATGTTAAAGCTGATATGTATGGACAATGGTTGCAAGGCCTGACATGACAGTGGTTATGTTAAAGCTGACATGTATGGACAATGGTTGCAAGGCCTGACATGACAGTGGAAATGTTAAAGCTGACATGTATGGACAATGGTTGCAAGGCCTGACATGACCGTGGAAATGTTAAAGCTGATATGTATGGACAATGGTTGCAAGGCCTGACATGACAGTGGAAATGTTAAAGCTGATATGTATGGACAATGGTTGCAAGGCCTGACATGACAGTGGTTATGTTAAAGCTGACATGTATGGACAATGGTTGCAAGGCCTGACATGACCGTGGTTATGTTAAAGCTGATATGTATGGACAATGGTTGCAAGGCCTGACATGACTGTGGTTATGTTAAAGCTGATGTGTATGGACAATGGTTGCAAGGCCTGACATGACCGTGGTTATGTTAAAGCTGACATGTATGGACAATGGTTGCAAGGCCTGACATGACCGTGGTTATGTTAAAGCTGATATGTATGGACAATGGTTGCAAGGCCTGACATGACAGTGGAAATGTTAAAGCTGACATGTATGGACAATGGTTGCAAGGCCTGACATGACCGTGGTTATGTTAAAGCTGATATGTATGGACAATTGTTGCAAGGCCTGACATGACCGTGGTTATGTTAAAGCTGATATGTATGGACAATGGTTGCAAGGCAGTGTCATGACTGTGCTAAAGTGAAAGCCGATATGACAGTGACAATGCTATACTATATTGCAAGGCCTAACATGACAGTGGTAATGTTAAAGCCTGATATGACCATGACAATGTTTGCAAGGCAGTGTCATGACTGTGGTAATGTTAAAGCCTGATATGACCGTGACAATGGTTGCAAGGCAATGAAGGCATGTCACTGTGGTAATGTAAAAGCACAATGTGACCGTGACTATAGTTAAATTAATTGACATTTAGTAGCATGAGAATACTGTAATGAAAAATTGCATCGTTTATCTACCTTAAATATGTAAATGTAGACTAATACTACTACATGTACTTCTACTTTAAGTCATAATTCATTTCCTCAAACTATAATTGTAATCCCATTCAAGAGCGTGAACATTGTCACGGTCATATCAGGCTTTAACATTACCACGGTCATGACAGGCCTTACAACCATCGCCACAGTCATATAAGGCTTCAACATATTACCACGGTTGTGACAGGCCTTGCAATATAATATACCATCGTCACGGTCATACCAGATCAGGATTCTTGCGAAACTTAAAAACACTTAATAACATGGTGACGGTTGTACCAGGCATAAGTTTTGCAAAAGATAGCATGTGGTCCTCCCCATAAAAATTTTTCAACTGGGTGCTATTTTTCAAGACTGAAAAAATCTGTTCTTTCAGCTCACGATGTCTCAAGGTTACTGCCCCAGGGTGCGGGTGGGTGCTCACTCCACAGGGTGCCAACTGGGAGGGGGGGATTTAGTTTCAAGTAGGGGGGCCCCTCAGTAAAAGTGACAAGACGACATGGGGAGATCACTGATACATTTTGTATATTCTCATCAACTGATGAATGGGCTCTTGAAAATTTTCTTATTTAAAATGGGAAATCCTGACTTTAGCAAATCCACTACTCCATTTATTTATTGTTCAGACTGTAGATATCTATTCTGTATCTGACTTCAAGTGAGATATGAGAATCAACATCTAGGTATTGCCTTTTGTCTGTCATTGAGTAGGGGGGGGGGGGGGGGGGTGTTTAATCTGCCTACCCCCAACTTGATAGATTTCCAGTACATATCATACTATGAGGGTTTGATTTTTTCAATTTCCCTCCCGATAATAAATGCAGAGTTACGGTTTATGTAATAGCTAAGAAGAATGTTTTTAGCTTAGCGGGAGATGAAATTGTATTCCCAATTTTATTATTTAGGAAATCATTTGATTAGTCTGAACAGATCATATATGGTGATAGAGTAGTCTGCTAACTTTGAAAGACAGACACAATACAAAAATACCCCGCAATGCAGGGGGGAGATAGCTGATTTGGTGCCATTTTCAAAAAGATAACGTAAAACAGAAACGATAAGGATTTAAAATCTAAGTTGTTAATAATGCAAACACATTTTGGTTCAGTGAAATAGACCTTCATTGCCTCAGGGTAAAGTTGAATTGACTAATATTTGAGAAAATAATATTTAAAGTGAGAATCATTTAAACTGAACTCCAGTTATTTTCGCATGCTACTATATTTCAAGTGAGTTTTGGAAAATTCGCGAAATATAATGTTGATATAGTTTCTCACAAGAATTTTTTGAAAAGTTTAATGATATATTAATCCATGTTTTCATGTAATAAAAATCTAATTCATTACGTATTCTGTATTCTACTTCATTAATTAAAAAAGTCTATCAACATTTCGATTTTTGAGTACTATTTCATCACTCATGATACATGTGCAATAAGTAAGTACTCATAGCATGAGTGCTCATTGAGTAACGAAAACTCAATGAAATTAGTGCTTTTTCATCACTCATGATATATGTACTCATTTAGTACTAAAACATGCACTTCATAAAAAGTGCTCATAGTGTTAGTGCTCATTGGGTAATGAAAAATTAGTGAAGTTAGCGCTATTTGATCACTCAATGAGTACTCATTTAATACCAAAACATGCAATAAATCAGTACTCAATCCATAAGTGCTCATTTAGCACTAATATTTACTGAAAGGAGTACTCACTTAGCGCTAAAATGGCATGAGTACTATTTTAGTACTCAGCATATCTCCATGTGTAGTGCACAGTGTAATATTCTGACTATGTCTGTTGCAGGAACAGTAATGTTTTGTTTTTGGGGAGAACAGTTGTCTCACTTGGACTGAATATACCAACACAGTTAACAATGGTATGTACAATATTTATATCGTTTTACATTTGTATGAGAACTGAAAAAGTTCAACTGAATTTCATATTTTCATATCTGCTTGAGGCCAGAATGCCAACACATGGTGTTTGTTATTTTGTCAATTGCTTGTATGAAATGGTTGTAATGTATAGTGCATTCATTGTTTGCAGAATACGGCATGGAAGAGGTAATTTAGTAACATATCATGAGTAGCAGTCATTAACGTGTAACCATAGTGAAGCTTCACGAAACACAAGGTTCAGATTTGCAGAAATGAAAGAAAATGCGATTTATGAATTGGTATGTATATCGTTTACACTTTTTCAATGTTTAACATTATGCAGGTGTACTTTGGCCATAACAATGATTTTGAAATATGTCATATGGGGGGGGGGGTCAAGGCATGTAATGCCTGACTGACTGTCATAACAGTAGCAATGCATGCCACATTAGCCCTTGGGAA